GGAAACCTGGCAGAAGCTCTTGGCTTTAGCCTAGCCCTGCCCTGCCCTGACCTGTTACAGCCATCTGGGAAGCGAGCCAGATCTGTCCAACAACCGCAATTGTTTCAAATAAATACATCATTAAATAATAACAACAACAACAGCAAAATCCCTGAGCCAAACAACTAACTTGCTATTCCACTTCTCAGTTCAGCTCAATGGAGAACAGAGTCTTGTAGCCAAAATGCTTCCTTGTGTACTCTGCATGTAAAAGCTATAGCTCTCTTCCTGACCCAGCTCATTCTCAGCTCACCCACACAAAATTAAGGCTCCTGAAGACCTAAAATCTTCCTTATGTGGTCTCCACAGAATCTCTTTGAAAATCATATTGTGGGCCCAGCACAATGGCTCAATTGTCTAATCTTCCCCTTGCAAGTGCCAGGATCCCATATGAGCACCGGTTCATGTTCTGTCTGTGGCCCCACTTCCCATCCAGCTTCCTGCTTCCGGCCTGGGAAAGCAGAGGAGGATGGCCCAAAATCTTAGGATCCTGCACCCACTTGGGGGGCTCCGGGCTCCCGACTTTGGATTGGCTCAACTCTAGCTGTTGCAGCCACTTGGGGAATGAATCAGCAAATGAAAGCTCTTTCTCTGTCTCCCCTTCTCTTTGTAAATCTGCCTTCTCAATAAAAATAAATCTTTAAAAACAAGAAGACCACTTTGTGGCGATGGCTCCTTTGGTACCAGTCCAAGGTAACTGTTGTACAAAGAGCAAAACAAGTCTGGTATCCTGCATCCTTCCCACATACCCCACCTTTCCAAGCATCCTTCTTTCGCCACTATGTCCATTCCTCCCCTCGCTTAACAGGGGCTTAAAGGCACAAAGGCAGTCATCTTTCATTCCTGACGAAGTTTGGCTAGGAAGATACGTAAAATCATGTATTTTAAAAATACATATTCTGGATCCCACCTTGGGCTTCCTATCTCAGCAAAGGCCCAACCCTATGCACTAGCCATAGTGGCAGGTGCCCTGGGAAGGCCTGCGTCATCTACCGGCCTGGAGTCTCCTCCTTTTCTGCACCGAGGCCCCAACAGGCCCCGTGAAAAGTATTTCCACACTTCAGACAGTACCATTTAACCAATCCACGCAGGAAACCCCCCAAGGGAAAAATCAGCAGAAAGGTTTCCAAGCAGCCGACAAGCCCAGTTAATGAGATGGCAGAGATGGAGCCAGTGATTTCAGCGACCACGGGGATAAAGCCGTGTGTTGCAAATACCCTCGGACCCTTTCCGGAAGTCATGAACATCTATGAAATCAACAGTATGCAAAACATTACCCTTCTTTTCCTGGCATTCATCTTTTGCTTCGATTCCTTGACAAAGGCCTTGTAGGCCGGCACCTCTCCAGCGTCGATGGCCTGCTGAATGACGTCCCGTATCCTGGGCTCCTCGGAGTACTGCACGCAGAGCACCGACTCCAGGATCCGGTCCATGTCACCCTGGAAGTCCAGGTAGGCCTGCTTGATGTCTGCCAGCTCTTCCTCCGAGCCTTTGTACGTCTTTTCAAAAGCCTGGATGTCCTCTAAGGATATCTGCGAACAAGTGGGAAACGCTGTAGTGGCGAATTTTTAGTTAAAAAAAAGCAAACATGGGTAAACAGGAGATTCAAGTATCCGATGCCTCTTCCCCAAGCGCACCAGTCATCTGAGTAGCTGTGGCAGGGGACCAGATCTCCGAGGGACCTAACCCGGCCCTCCCAGCTGCTGCACCTCCCACTCGAGGGAAGGGACCCAAGCGTGTACACACACGTGTAAAATTAAGCACATCCCATCAAACCAATGCCAGGCCTTGTCAGTGCAAACGCCACATCATACCAACTCGCAGCCCAATTCGCTAACTGCATTTCTACTTCAAGGCCAAATCCGCACAAAATCCACGGCCTCAGAGGCACTGGAGCTATGTCTGTCAGTCAACACACGCCACTCCCCAGACCGCGACCCCGCAACTCCCCAAGATCCCCCCGCACCTTTTTAAAGAGCAACCTCCAGTACGACTCCCAGTCCCGGTCCTGGCTGAGCACGGCCGAGTCTTCGTCCACGGTCCCCTGCTCATCGTACACCGCTCTCTGCTCTTTGTCGCTCAGCACGGAGTAAACTCTCCCGAGGATCTGAGGGGGGGGATGAGCGCCCCACGTTCATCCCCGCACTCCCACAGGTAAGAAAACGCCGGGCCGAGGCCAGCCAACTCCCCTACCGCCACCCGGGGCTAAGGCTGAAGGCCAGGGCCTGGCCGGCCGCCGCGGGCCGGACACCTGCATACCTGGAAGCGGCGGGTGGCGTCCTCCTTGTCACCCTCGCCCACCCGGTCGGGGTGCACCTGCAGGGACACCTTGTGGTAGCCGCGCCGGACCTCGCCGTCCGAGGCCTCGCGCCGCACGCCCAGCACCTGGTACAGGTCAGCGGTCCCGAACACTTGCTCGCACAGCTCCAAGAGTGCCATAGCGGGCGGTGGGCGGACTGGGCGACCTCGGCCAACAGGGAGCTACAGACCCCGCCGCTCCACCCGGGCGCTCGCTTTTTCCCGCCCAAAAACCCGAGGGCGCCTGCGTCACAAGCGGCGCCGCGCAGGCGCGCTTTACGACGGCCGCCCTGCGGGGCGTGGGCGGGGCCGTGGGCGGGCCGAGGCCGGGGCCTCCGCGGGAACCTGGGCGGGAGCAGGTGTGCGGTGAGCCGTGCGGACTCGCCAGGAAGGATCTGCTAATTGCACACCCCTGGCGGCCGCAGGTGCTGGCTCAAGCGCTTGGGGCGCTGCCACCCGCTCAGGGCACCTGGCTGCAGGCTGGCCCTGGGCCTACGCCGTCTTGGGGCCATTTGGGGAGTGAAGTAGCAGCTGGCCTCTTCTCTGCCTTTAAAATTATTTTCTCCCCAATTGAAATGCTGGACTCAGAACCCTAACCAAGAAGACAGAAGACAGAACAAGTCAATCAACCACCTCAGCTATATGTTGGCAGTGAAAAACTGGGCAAATGGAGGCTCTAAGGTGGAGTTATGTCAATCAGTGGATTCTTCAGGGACCTCATCGTGCTTGGAGTGGCAAGATTGGCAACAATTCATAACTGGTGAACTATCAAAACCACTTGAGCGAGTATCTCAGAGCATGCCCCACATCCGGGACCTGGGATGGGTGGGAGGCTGGGTGGGGCTTCTCCCTCAACATCCCCCTCTACCTCAGATACATGAAGGAAACAATATGGAAATAATAGTCTTACCCACTTTCCTATAGCCCTTGAACCTTTTTACCCAAATTAACTATGTAAAGAATGTCAAAATATAATAAAAAAATAAAATAAAATAAAATGATTTTCTAAGAAACTTACATGGTAGTGGAGGTTTCATGACTCAAACCCTTCCTTTCATAAAGTGCTAAAGCATAAGATTGTTTTATTTGGGTTATGGCAGGCTGCCTGCTAGCTGCAGGCAGGGCCGACAAGCCTGGAGAACACTAGGGAAGATCCAGGAGAGGGAGGGCTGCTGGAAAAGAAGTGTGAGCAGAGCCAAACCAGAATTCCAGACGAATCCCTGAGTGGGCAGAAAATGAGTGGCAAAAACAAACACCCCAAAACCAGGAGTGTGTGTGGTGTCAAGTCAGGACAGGGCAAGAGGTCTCCTCTGATAGTTCGCTCCCCAAATGCCTGTGACAGTGAAGGCTGAGCCTGACCCAAGTCGGGCACTGCATCAGGATTGCCCACGTGGGCAGGCCCAGCTCCTGGGAACAACAGCTGCTGCACCCCGGCAGGATGCTAGCCTCACGGGACTCAAACCCAGGCACTCACGTAAGGTCAAAGGCATCTTACCCACTAGGCCAAACACCCACCCCATATTAACAGCTTTGATGCTCCTCAGAGTTGCCAGCATTTTCAAAATGTTTCTCCTTCCCAGATCCAAGGTCCAACACAGCTACAGTACGTTCTTTTCCACCTGCCCCAGCCTCAACATCCCCTTAACTCAAACCTGTTGGCCACAACTCCGGGCAGGCAGCAGTGACCCCAGCACCTGTAGCAGCTAGCAAGTGCCCGCGGAACACAAGGGACCCAAGGGGTGAGCTGGCACATGGACAAGGCTGATAACTTTTTGTGTGAATTTCCTGCACCTGAAGTCTGTGTCCAGATTTCCGCAGAGTGTGCACTAAAGGTAGCCCCAGTGCACGGGGGCAGAGCACGGCAGCTCTGCAAGAGCAGCCACTGGCACAGCTTGGCACGATTGGCCATCTGCCTCGACACCATTCCACCACTGACTTTCTATGTGGACTACTTACGAGCCCTCACCTGGCTCGTTTTTCTTCTCCAAGCAGAGAAGTCGGAAGGGACTCGGCAAGTAGGCATGTGACAGTTCACATCGGGCATCCCTGGGCATGCTTGTGGCGCTGACCCTCAGCCTTCCCACCTGTATCCATGGAGATAACCCTCCCTTATCTTCCTGCTCCTGTAGAATCCCCCCGAACGACGTGCATGGCCAAGACAGAGAGTGCGCACAGGTGCTGCCCGAGGGACACTCTCCTGCAGGTTCTCATTCTGACGATGGGGCTATTACAGCCTGAAAGGCTATGTTCATACCCAGTCTTATAAATTTGAAATTGTGTGTTGGGTAAGATGATATAAATCTCCAATTACAAAAACAATAAGCAAGGTATCTATTTCCTTGCCTATTGGTGCGATCAGGAGGGCATGAGTCTGCCTGATTAGGGAAGGATTTGTACATGCCACGAAAATGCTGACAGGAGGTCATGAAGCAGGGATGTCATGGAGAGTCCTGGCTAGACACACTGGCTGGCCAGCAGTCCCAGGGCACAACCCCGAGGTGCCATCCCCCCTTGCCAGCCTTTCCCACGACACAGGCCCCAAAAGCTAGACTCTGCACTGTGCAGCCCAGGGACAGACCTCTTGGGCCGGGTGAGTAGCACATGGCTGACTCCAGAAACTTCATTTATTGACCTCCAAATGCCACCAGGCGGTGTGCCTATGAGTTTCTTAGAGAGCAGTGCCCTCGTGTCCACTGCTCGGCTCACTGCAGGCCGCTCTCTTCTGTCTCATCAGCCTTGGCATCTGTTTTCTGAGATGCTAAGAGGACTTCCTGTGCCCGCTTCCTCCGCAGTCTCTCGGCGTTTGTGACCACCATGGGATGCAGAGGGAAAAAGCCAGCAAGACCTAAAAGAGCAACACATGGTGTGTTTAGTGGAACCCAGAGCCCACAAGCCAGCCAAGGCCTGGAACCCTGCCCCCACCCCACTCCCAGCATGGGGAGTGTTCTAACACCTGCTTCTCCCCTCTCCCTCTCCTGGGACTACCTCCTCTCCCAGCTTCCTCCTCTCTGCAGTTTGTCCCCTGCTTGAATGAAAGGCCAGTGGACAGACGACCACTGGAGACACACAATGACCCCCCCCCACTTTTTTTTTTTTAATATTTTAATGCATAAAACTCCAGTCGCCCACAAAGTCACAAAGGACTCCATACCAATGGCAACTCAGAGCACAACCCGGGCTCCCATTTGGTCCCAGTAGCCTGCAGAGCGGACCTCACTGTCCAACCCCCTCGGTGGGCGCCGAGGCCAGTGCCCAGTTTACCCAGCAGCTTTTCCACAGGCTTGGAGAGGTGGGCCCCGCAACCGATCCAATGCCTGATCCTGTCCAGGTTGAGGGCAACGAGCTTTTCTCCGTGGCTGTTGGGCAGTGGGTCGTAGGAGCCCAGCTGCTCCACGAAGCGGCCATCCCTCGGGCACTTGTTGTGCGCGGCTACGATGCGGTAGAAGGGGCGGTTGGTGCAGCCACCCAAGGCCAGGCGGATGGTTAAGTGGCCCGCGCGGTAGGCCTTGCAGAGCGGGGCGGCTGTCGGGACACAAGCAGTGAGGGTGTCAAGACGGGGAAACGAAGCAGGTGCGACACCAGGGGCGCACCTCCACTCCGGTCTTGCAGTGTGCTTGTCGGCCCGGAGGAGATCCCCCTCGGCCCACCCGCACCCCGCATTCGCCCGTCCTTGACCAGCCGTGACCCCGCCGGGCCTCAGCTGCCAATCTGTGCAATGGCACAGGACATCAAGTGGGAAGACTACTAAGAGGAGTCCGTTTCGGGTTCGGGGGAACCTCGGGGCCGACCGGGAGCACAGCTCCATCGGGTTGCGCACGCCTCAGTCCCCCGCCCCGAGGTCGCCGGGACGGCCCGGCTCACTCACTCAAGTGGACCATGGCGCGTCGCTCCTCAGGTGGGCGCGTCGCCTGCACCTGCCGGCCCCCGCTGTCAGGGCGCGGATCCACACGATCCCCTTTCCCCCATCTATCCCGACAGCCCCGCTGCCGGAAGCCCAGGGTCCCCGAGCTCCACCTCTTCCTTCTTCCGCCTTTTTCCCACAGCGCCGCTTGATGCTTTAAGCTGCGGCGGAAGCGGCGCTTTTCCAGTTGGCGTTTCGGGCGGGAGAGGTTCCATCCGGAAGCTGGGCGCGTGAGGAGATGGCGAGGGTGCAGGGACACGTTTCTGCGACCCTTAGGGACGCGGCGCAGTGTGGTGGGAAGATGGGGACCCTGCGGGAACTAACCTGGTCGTTCCTCGGGGGGAACCTAACGAGATCGGAAGTTAACTTCTCTGTTCAGCATTGACTCCCAGAGGCAATCACGCCTTTCCATAAAGGAACGAATCAATCAGATCCTTTCGTTCCGGTAGTCCGGGAGAGCAGGCGCGGGGTGCAGGGCCCGGGGTGCGCGCGTGAGGGCACCCTGTTGGTCACGGGCAGCTCTGGCTGCAGGGAGGTCGTGCCCCGTTCATTGCTCTGTTGCTTGGAGCTCCCCATGAGGGCGCGTCCCCAGCTGACAGGCCCCGTGCCTGAAGCAGTGACCAGTCCTAGCAACTTCAAGTAACCCTCCTGTGGAGATGTCTTCAATTCCAAATTGCAGAAGCCCAAATAATGACCCCACTATGCCTTAATTTATACACATAACTGTATAAGTAGTATGTCGTTTTAATAATATAAAATTATCTGTGACTTCAATATAAACTCCAGAACCACGCTGATGAATTTTGAACTTTCTTCCACTTTTTATTGTAATCTCGTTTATACTTAATGAATAAAGCATCCAGTAACAGCCAGAGGCCAAAACATGTGGATGGGTCTCTGTGGTTAGCAGTGCTTCTCCAGCTCCACGCTTCACATGGTGAAAACTTTTTCTGGGAAGGAATGCGCGAGTCCACGTAGAAAGTTCTAGAGTTGCACAGGTTATCAGAAAGATGGATTCCCAAAGCCAACTGTCTCCTGCACCGTGTGGATCTCTTCAAGCAGAGCCTCATCTTTCAATTTCAGCTGTAAGAAGGAAGAGAGTACCTGGCATACCTACATGGCTTGGGAGACCTCTCATTTGTGAAGCCACGACATAGTTCCCTGACATGGAATTATCTTAATATATTCCCAATGTAATGGAAATTCCATTAAAGGATTTTGGTGATGTGGCTAGGTGTATTTTGTGAAAATTCATTAAGCACTATGAACATTCATGATTTGCCTAATTATTTTGCCAGAAAAAGTGCAGGGTATTACTGCAAATCTAGCAGTTCCCAGAGAATATTAAAGGTGCTAAAAACAGCCTCCAGGAACACGTGTCCTGGAATGCTCCCAAGTCCTGAACTAAGCCTGCACCTTCCTGTTTCCCAGTGCAGGCAAATGAGAGAGGCATTCGTGTCAGACCTTTATTGTGTACTTGTAGGCCTGCTCAGCTTCCAGTTGCCGTCCAGCCTGGAAAAAAAAATGTAGAAATGATGATGACGTTATGTCATTAATATGGTGGGGCAAGTGCCTGATGCAGTTTTCTAAGGCAGAGGATGCTAAACTTTTCCCAGTTAACAACTTCTAAATTCAAAGAGGAAGCAAGAAAATGAAAGTGGTAAAATATTAATGTGTGTGTTTCTAAAAGCTTGAAAACAACTGCCCTCTCATCTTTTCCGAAGCACTGTGATTCATTCAGTCGGCTTGGAAGTGAAGCCATTCTGTTCAAGATAGTTAACATTCATAATGCTTATGAGGTGATTTATAGTTTTCATTGTTGACCTTTTTTTAAAAAAAGATTTATTTGGAAGGCAGAACTACAGAGAGAGAGAAAGACAATGTCCACCCACTGGTTCACTCCCCAAATGGCAGCCATGGTCAGGACTGGGCTGAGCCAAAGACAGAAGCCAGGAGCTTCACCTGTGTCTTTGATGTGGGTGCAGCAGCCCAGGCATTTGGGTCATGGTCCACTGCTTTCCCAGGTGCATTAGGAGGGAGTAGATTGGATGTGGAGCAGCTAGGACTTGAACCTGTGTCCATATGGGATGTGCTACAGAGGACAGCTTAATCCCATTCAATGCTAACCTCCTGTTGACCTTAATTTTAAATGCTTTACTTGCATTCATTCTTAATTCTCAAGAGCGAGGTGACAATAGCTGTTCTTTACCACTTTTGATTTACAGAGAGAACCTAAGCACAAGAAATAAATAACTTGCTAAGGTCTTAAGCTAATAAGTGGAAAAGTCAGGCTTTATTTTAAATTTATTTTAAACTTAATTTTCAAAATTTATTAAAAAGCAAACAAAGACAGAGATCTTCCATCCACTGGTCCACACAGCAGGGAATGGACCAGGCCAAAACCAGATTATTAACTCAGCCTGGGGTCTTTCATGGGGTGGCAGGGACCCAAATACTTGTTTTTAGTCAATCTCTTTCAGTCACCTACTTGGGGTTCAACAAATGCCCACACACAATACAGTCAGGTGTCATTTAATGATGGGACTATGTGCCAAGAAATTATTAGATGGTTTCAGGGTTGTGAGCATTGTGAAGTGTGCCCATGCAAATTAAGATGGTTTCATCAATCCCCAGGTAATATAACTATATGGGATCATTTTTTCTGATACTGTGCAGCATATGATGATATATTATTTCTGAAAATTCCATAGGGAAGCTAGGCTGTTCTTAGGCTGATCTTTCTGTTAGGTCACTTATGCAGCTGAAGTCATGACACTTGCAAGGAATGGTGGGTGCAGGATAGCCTTTTCCCAAACAGCTGGTGGTTCGTCAGTTCTCTTCCACGCGGACTTCAAGCCTTGTAAAGGCTAAACTGGGCTTCTCAACGTTACATTGTGGTCCCAGAACTTCAACAGAGCAAGAGCAATAGCTGCAGTAAAGGCCGAGCCTTGGAGAACTCACACGGTGTGATTTGCACCCTATTCTACCACAGGAAGTCACAAGCTCAACCAAGATTCAAGTGTAGAGAAATTAAAAAGTCCCCATTTCTTCAAGAACAGAGTGACAACATCATATTGCAAACAGTATGGATTTCAAAGTACAATTAATCAGGGTTCTTTATTATAAAAATCTACTTCTATTTTTATGTACTGACTCACCACACTTAGAATCTTAAAACTATCCTGTCACCTAGGTCAGATGGCTGATACTGCTCAGGGTCTTCCGAGGCTAACATCAGGATTTTTCCAGCTGGGCTTTTATGTCCAGGCTCTGGAGAAGCAGCCACCTCAGAGCTGCCTCAGGCTTCTGGTGGAATTCAGCTCCTTACACTTCCTCAACGAAGGTCCCCATGGCCTTGCTGGTTTCAGGGGAGACTGCTGTTAGTTAGCGTCTAGAGGCCACTCACGTTGGTTGTCATCTTCAAATCAGTGACAATGTGTGGATTTCTTCCTGGGATTCAGCTCTGTCTGACTTCCCTTTCTACCCGTACAAGAGAAAACTTAACTTTTAGAAGATTACTAGCCTGACTGGGATAAGGGCTGTTACATCAAATCTTTATATTTTACGGCCAACTAGCTTGGCACTTTAATCTTTAAAATCCTTTATACCAGGACCTCAATAAGTATTTGAATAATATTGGGAAAGACAAGAATCTTTAGGATTCTAGCTACCAGGAGACCTCATAGTTGAAGCTGTCATATGACTTCCTCTTTGACCCATAAATTAAATCCAAGCAAGTTTTGTGTTTCCATGTATGCATGTGTGTGTATGTATGCGTGTCTTTGGCTTATAGTTACACTGTATTTTTATCATTTTATTCCAGTGTGTATTTGTTAAACCTTTCTTGTGGTTTAGTATGTGGCCAACTTTTATGAATAACTTGTTTGTGCTTAAAAAGAATAGTTCAGATTTTCTCATTGGTGTCAAACTCAATTAGGTAAACTGGGTTATATAGTTTCAACACATTTTCCCCCTATTCGAACCGTCAGTTTCAGAGAGAAATACATTAGGATCTTCCATACTGAGTGTTGGATGTGTGGCTTGGCAGTTGAGACACTTACTGTGACGCCCACATTCCACAGCAGAGTACCTGGGTTCAAGTCTTGGCTCTGCTCTCAATTCCTCCTCCCTGATGATGCAGACAATGGGAGATGGCAGGTGACAGGCCCAGTAGTCAGGTCCCTGGCACCCAAGTGAGAGACCAGCCTGAGCTCCTGGCTCGCAGATGCAGGCTTTCGGCCCCAGCTATTGTGGGTATTTGGGGGTGAACCAGCGGATGGGAACTCACCTCTGCTTTCTGCTTCTTATACACATTTATAACTTCTTTAAAACATCTGTTGCTTTCTGCGCCTGATGGCATGGCCGAGCAGCTAAGGTCCTCACCTTGAACATGCCGGGATCCCATATGGGTGCCGGTTCTAATCCCGGCAGTTTCACTTCCCATCCAGCTCCCTGCTTGTGGCCTGGGAAAGCAGTCGAGGATGGCCCAAAGCCTTGGGACCCTGCACCCATGTGGGATACCTGGAGGAAGTTCCTGGATCCTGGCTTCGGATTGGCATAGCATCGGCCATTGCAGTCACCTGGGGAGTGAATCATCGGACGGAAGATCTTCCTCTCTGTCTCTCCTCCTCTCTGTATATCTGACTTCCCAATAAATAAATATATAAAAAAATAAAACATTTGTTGCTTCCAAGATTTTTTATACTAACCTTCTTGGTTTAAAGATGAGGAAATTAAGGCCCAGAAGGCTGATGTGTTGTGGATCCTATATCTAGTTAAAGTAGAACTGAGGTAGGAATTAAAAAATTGTGCCAACAATGTAGCACAGCAGGTTGAGCCACCACTTGAAATGCCAGCATCTGATCTTAGAGCACCGGTTCAATTCCTGGCTACCCCACTCCGCATTCAGCTTTTTTAAGAATGAACACCTTTGGACAGTAGTTCAAGAAAAAAAGAAAGAAAGAAAGAAAGAAAACAGACTAGTAAAGCATCCCTTTAGCTCATCCTTCACCTGGCTTACATTCTGATCCATTATTGCTTCCATTTTTGGAATGTCCAGTCCAGCAAAACCTGAATATAGGATTTTAAAGCACAATGCAAGTAGAAGCTGCCCAACCTTGGCTCTTCGTTTATCATCAGTATAAAGACCAAATCTAGATTTCATCAAACTTCAACTATCATTCGTAAGTTGTCCTCTCACTGATGCTTGCTAATTTGGTCCCTCACCTCTGTTCTCTAAGGGGATACTGTGAAAGGATAATAAACACTCACTTCCACTAGAAATTGTTTATTTTCCCTCAATTTGTGCAGAACATAGTTCTCTTAATTGCTTTAACTGAATAAAGCTCAATGAATAACTATAATTCAAAATATATTTTAAATCTTTGATAAACTTACAAAAATTATTGTAAACTGTATCATTCCTGATTAGACAGAACTTTATGAATGGCTTGAAATACATTTTCTACTTCTATTTTGAAGCAAACAGGCAAAAGGAAATACTTACTTTCAGGCAGACCAGAGCCAGATACGCCCATACTTCAGCATTGTAGTTGTTCAAGGCATTGGCTTCAGAGAGCGCGTCCTCAGCCTCCGTGAGCTCCTCCAGCTGGACCAAAGGGGACAAGGGAGCGGGGTTTTCACTCATGCCAGCTGGGGTCAGCTTAGAGGAGACCACTACCTCCAGGGACCATCAGAGCCTGTGACCCATAGCAACAGTTTCTGATTTTTTGTATTTTGGCATCCTAATTCTTATTTTAAACTAAGTCATGTGTGGTTGTGTGATATTTGAAACAAAAGTAGCACTATTTTGGTGGAAAAGTCTGATGGGGTGATCTGGAGGACTGTAGCTAGGCTCTTGTCTCACACCACTTCTCCTTGCCCCTTCTGGCAGACCCTTCAGGGCATCTGTGAACCATGATATTCAGGTGGCAGTGTTGGAAGCCACAAGTATTTACTATCCTGTGCTCTTCATTCAGCACTTTACATATGGGCTCTCAGACACAAATTTAGTTTTTTCTTTACAATATGCATCCCTTTCTTGAAGTTAAAGTTCTATCATTTCTTCAGGGACACATTGGTCATTCAGTAGCACGTCATTAACTTCATGTTGTAAATTTTCTAGTTTTCTTCCTGTTGTTGATTTTGTTGTATGGCTTTTCATTTAATGGAAGGTATAGTAAGTGTGTAATAGGGACTATCATATCTAGATGTGAAGGTACAATGCAGTATACGTCCAAATCAAAGATGGACTCCCAATGAAATTGTTCAATATATCTTGACAATAGGATGCTGGACTCTGTGAAGGACTATACCACTGTAATAATATGGGGAAAATCAGTTGGGGGAAGGGGATTTGAAGAGGGCAAAAGGGAAATCTCAAAGCCTATGGAATTGTATTCTAAAATAATAATAATTTAAAAATATATTTAAAAGTAATACTTTTAAAAATAATAAATTTAAAATAAAAATGTTAATAAATTTAAAATATTTTTTTTAATTTGTCAAAACACTATTTTCTAGAAACACTCCTTTTTGTTAATATTGGTTGCTCACAGCACAGTCATGAGCATTCAATGCTGTATGCAGAAAGTCTAGGGTACACTCCATGCTCCAGGCCTGCAGACATTATCACTACATCTTAAAACTGCTGGTGTGCTTTGTAAAACCTTCCAACAGGCCAACTGAAGACAGAACAGGTCTTTCTCAAAAGTGGCTTATCATTTATTTTATTTTATTTGTTTTTTTAAGATTTATTTATTTTGTTTGAAAGAGTTAAAAAGAGAGAGATCTTCCATCTGCTAGTTAACTCTCCAAAAGGTGGCCACAATGGTTGGAGTTCAGTCCATCCACTGTTGGGAGCCTTGAGCTTCTTCTGGGTCTCCAGCATGGGTGCAAGGTCCCAAGGCACTGGGCCATCCTCGGCTGCTTTCTTAGGCCATTAGCAGGGACCTAGATCAGAACTGGAGCATCTGGAACTAGAATTGGTGCAGCAGACAGAGAGTATGCAACTGTGCCAGCTCCCATTTTCTCCATTTTAAAAGAAGAGAATAGGAGCTAGCCTGCAGAAGGTTTTGCCGCTGCCTATGATGCCAGCATCCCCTACTGGAGCAACAGTTTTAGTCCCAACTATTCTACTTTCAATTCAGTTCACTGCGAATGTGCCTGGAAAGCAGTGAAGTATGGCCTGAATCCTGTGAAATACCTGGGTAGAGTTCCAGGTTTCTGGCATTAGTCTGACCCAGCCCAGCCACTGCAGCCTCTAGGGAGTAGACTAACAAATGGAAGATCACTCTCCCACACTCTGACTCCCCCTCTCTGCAACTCTTTTAGGTATAACAGAATAATCTCTTAAGAATGGATGGAAAATCACATTTCAATCATGCCCATACTTTGGCTCACAATGTGGATGTTACTGAGACACCGAGTCCACCTAGATTTGCTGAGGGACTACTTTGTGCCAGGCAGCATGCTAGATTCTGAGAATAACAGAAAATACAATATAATTCCTGCCTCCCATGAATCCACTGAAAGATAAGAAAAAGTGACAGGAGAAAAGGACTGCCTACAGCACCCAGGAGGATCCAGCAACTGTGGTGGGGAAGAGAGGAGGAGCAAGCATAAGAGGTAAACCTTGGAGAGGAAGGGGCAGAACCACTGTGGGAGCCGAGAAAGTGGAGCTTCAGGAGGGATGTGAGCCACGGACTGAGTGCTAAGGAGACTTCTGAGGGCCCCTGCATTTGGCAATTTGGAAATGCTTGTAGCAGAGTTTCAGCTAAGTGTTAAGAGATACATGCCAAGCTGTGATAATGCACATTGTTGATAGGTTAAGACAGATTCTCACACTTTCTGGCAGAGTACAGGTGAAAATACAGCCTCTCTAGGAGGCACGTTAAGATCATCATTTAAAGACTAAAAGCAGTTTTAGGAATGTATCTTAAGGCATTAATGAGAGTTAAGTAAAAAGATTCATGTCCAAGAATGTTTATCCTAACTTTATTTTGAGAATAGTATAATTGTGCAAATGAACATCAAAGTTCAATTAGTGATTGACCAAATAAATCATGATATATACACATAGATATATGTGCCCTGTGTAACTAAACACACTGATGAGGCAAAGATTACTTTGATAACTTTATAATGTTTAGTGGAAGTGTTTTGACTTTTATTTCTATCCCAATGAAAATATTTTTGTTATTGTCTTTTTTTAAATTTTATTTTTGATGATTTAGATATAGTTGATTAGGATGCAAAGGGCTTGAGGAAAGTGGGTGAAACCATTGTTTCCACATTCTCTTTTTTCCTCTCTGTATCTATGGGGACAGGGGGAGATAAGAAGCCACACCCTGCCTCCCAGGAAAATGTTTTTATAATGCTCAAAATAAATAAAAGCTTGGCTAATCCCGAATAGTTGGTATAGTTGGTTTCTTGCACTTTTGCCAGTGCTGCCAAGCTTCTAATAGATTGAGAAGTATAAAAATATAAATCAAGGAAATAGTAAAACTTAAAACAGTAAGGTATTCAGAGAAAAGGAATCATATGGGATCAAAATGGAATAGCAGGACGTTTGCATCTGCTGAGGACAGGGAGGAAAGGAAGGGGGAGGGGGACCTCCCAGGGGTGTGCGCCTAGCTACCCCCTGAACCTGCAGCAGCTCCTCCTGCCTTTCAGAGGGTTGCTGTGCCTAATAATCACCCATCCCTGGAGCAGACTCATCTCCCATAGCACCTTTTTCTCACAATCACATCACAAAGTGTCTGTAACCAAATAACACTAGGATTTAAAAACAGAGGGTGACAACGATGGGACCTCTGACATGGTCAGCTGTTGCCAGCTGCATCTGTATGCACTGGCCACACGCCGTACCCAAAATGGTGCCGGCCGGAGAAGCCACACCTTGGTGCCTGGTGGAGAGTCACGTAGCTTTCGCGGTACTGCGCAGGCGCCTAGCGCATAGGCAGTGAGCTGCGGCGTGGCCAGCACGTGAACACTGGGGACTGACGAATCCGGTCGCCCAGGACCCTGCGTGATCATGACGCCGACCTATCATTGGCGGAGGCGGGGCCAGTCAGCACATAAGAGCAGACAGCCTGCCGGGGTCGGGGCCCTTTCCTCTTCCTCATCTTGGTGCGCACAATAAAGTTTACCGCAGAAGGCTTCACTCGCGTCTGCCTCTTATCGCTGGACACATGGGCGCGACAGTCAGCTGTCTGAAGGGGCCTCGTCCTAAGCCTTCAGCTTCTTACCCGGTAGCAGGCGATCCCCAGGCCCAGCCAGGTGAGGCATGAAGGTGATCTTTTACAGACTTGCAGGTAGGTTTTCTTGGCCTTTTCATACTGTAGAAAGAAAGCACCACTAAGCTGCCATTATTCTGAAGGCCTCAAACACTAGGATTTAGAAAATACTGATGGGACCTCTGATAATTGTATTCCAGAACAATCTAAATTTTTTCCAAGACTGGTTTATTTATTTGTTTATTAGGAAGGCAGATTGAGAAGGGACACAGAGAAAGATCTTCCATCTGCTGGTTCACTCCCCAAACAACTGCAACAGCCAGGGTCAGGCCAAAGCCAGGAGCCAGGAGCTCCATCCTGGTCTCTTACATGGGTGGCAGGAGCCCAAGGACTTGGGCAATCTTCCCACTGCTCTCCCAGGTATATTAGCAGGGAGCTGAATGGGAAGTGGATCATTCAGATGCACTAATATGTGACGCTGGTGTCATAAGTGGCCGCTTAACTTGCTGTGCCACAACATTGGTCCCCAGAACAATCTAAGTTACCTGAGTAATGTACTGTTACATCTACTTTCAGAGAGCACACACCAGAAGACCAAGTAGAAGAGATGGGCTGATCAACACATTGAGGTAAGGAACTAGTGTTTTGCAAGTTCTAGGCAACCACAGTGATTATCCCAATTCCACAACTACTTCACAGACCAGATTTTTCTTGTCAAAAGCGACCTCATGTGGCATTATGCTAGACACACACCTTACACTGAGTCTCTTCCTTGGGGAATAGAAGTTTAGTCTCAGTGGTTCTCAGAAAAATTCAAAAGGCACACTTTAAAAGAAGTACCCCTTCTGGCATTCATTCCTGTATTATACTCCAACGTGAGAGATGGCTCGACAGCAAAACCTGACAAAATAGGTCAAATCCTGCTTGCCTATCAGACTGCTTAAGCCAGAAGAGACGTGAGGATGCAGCTTTCAATCAACACCAGAAAGAAAAACTTGTCTTACCTTCTTTACTGCAGAGGGGTAGCAATTTCTCTCAGGCCTTTCCACCAACATATCGTAAAACATTGCACATGCTTAGTGTCATTTTTAATTTACATGAAAAAGAAAGAAAACTAGGGCTTTTGGGATAGGGGGATTAAATGCAGTCAAATGAGAAGCCTGGAGCTAACAGGCCTTTTGGAGAATGCTGGTAATATCTACAGTGGTCTGAGTCCATGACGGTTTACTCTACTAGCCAGTTTTACTTTGAAATTTCCACAATGGAAAGTTATTTTTATTTTATTATTTTTTTTAAGTTTTGAGGTATCCCTAAAATATGGAAGATCAGGTGAAGGTACCCTTTGAAGTGCAATTAGCAAGATTAAATACAACCTTTGTTGTTGATGAATTCTGGAGAACTCCCTTTGAGGCTATGACACTTTGTTAAGCTCAGAATGTTTCTATTATGGCAAATTGTAGCCAAAATAGCATTTGCTGAATTCTTGATTTTCAGTAGCATAATGGGTAAAACCAGACTATTCTCTCTCTCTATTTTTATTTTGATAATCTTTAAATAGTTGATTAGGGCACAAAGGGTCAAGGGCTAGAGGAAAGTGGGTAAGACCATTGTTTCCACATTATTATTATTATTATTACATTCTGTATCTGGAGTAAGGGATTTGATAAAGGGAGAAGCCCTACCCATCCCCCCACCCATCCCAGATCCCTGATGTGGGGCATGTTCTGAGGGTTCTGCTCAAGTGAAAACGAGATTATTTTTTAACAGTTTGGGTTTGAATCCTGTTTCCACTGATTACTAATTATCTGTGATCAGGCAAGTCAACTGACCTTTGGATGTGAAAGGGTTATTCTCCTGTTGCTCTTTGTAGTCCACACAGATGGATGTGAACACTAGAGTGATCATCAGGTTGCAGACCATGGCCCAAAGGGCAGACACTTCCCCTCCCTCAATCCCTCACCTCTTTCTCTTCCAGGTAGATGAGCCCTAGGCGCAGGAAGATGAAGTGCATCTCAGCAGCATCTACCACAAAGCTAATGGTGCGCTCGTAGCAGGCTTTGGCTTCACCGTGGTTCCCACTCAGAAAATAGAGATGACCCTTCAAGCCCCAGACATTAGGGTTCTGAGAAAGGGAAGAACAAGCAGTGCTTAGGGTGAGGTGATCTGTAAAAGCACGTTAATGACCTTTGCTTAGCACTGATGGTTCATTTATTTCCTTTTCCCAATTGCATCTGGGGAAGAATCTCATTCAGAGGCATGGAAGGTGCTTCTATAGGACTGTCTTCTCATTTCTTTCACATACTCCTCAAGGCCATCTTAAGAGAAGCATGGGGTACACACAGAGAAAACATAAGTCCAAAAGCCTGAAATAACATCCTCTGGTAGAGCTATCCTTCTTTCTCTGCTCTTTGCAAAACTCAAGATTATTGAAGAAAAGCCAATGGAAAGGTATAGATTGATGACTTTACTTGCAGCTAATGAGCCCCACCCCACAGATCACAAAACTTTCCCTATGACATGCCATCTCTACCTCTAATACAGCCTGCTCCTCCCTTCCTTAGACTCATGAGACCGTAGCAGAAGTCATTACCAGGTAGTCCATCTGGGCTGCTAGTTCAAGATATTCCTCTGTCTTGGCAAAGTCCTTCTTCAGAAGGTGTGTCTGGGCCAGCACCAAGTAGTACTCACAGCTGGGGCCTCCTTGAGGGCATAACACCTCATGGGCAAGTGCTCTGTGCATATACTGCAAAGGAAAATCAGATTCTAAGAAACCCTGTAGTAAGACCCTCTGAAGGGATTTGCGGAAAGTGGTTCATATTTGGATATTCTTCCTATTGGGGTTAGGTTGAGCTCTCAAAAGCATATTTGGGTCCCTAGTGTGTCAATAAAGGTAATAGTGATATTTAAAAAAAAAGCATATTTGGGGTCCAGGCATGGTATCCTAGTGACTAAAGCCCTCGCATTACATGTGCCAGGAACCCTAATGGACACTGGTTTGTGTCTCAGGACTCCATTTCCCTTCCAGCTCCCTGCCTGTGGCCTGGGAAAGCAATAGAGGATGGCCCAAAACCTTGAGACCCTGGAAGAAGCTCCTGGCTTTGGATCGGCTCAGCCCTGGCCACTGTCACTTGGGGAGTGAATCCGCAAATGAAAGATCTTTCTGTCTTTCCTCCTCTCTGTGTATCTGACTTTCCAATAAAAATAAATCTTTAAAAACAAGCAAATGTGTTTTCTGCTTTGTGTGCATTTAAGCTTTCAGAGATAAACCAGCATGGACAGAATAAGTTGTTCTTATTTCCAGATACTCTGACCTGCACAGCATTGACTTTCAGCAAGAAGCGAATGGTCTCCATGAAGATGGTGGTGGGCGTTTGGGAAACACCAAAATAAGGGCTGGGATGTAGAAAGGCTGATGATTCTCGACATTTTGAGGCTTCTGAAAATATTATATTTGAAAGACAGAAGGTTAGATGTGAAGAGAAATACCAAAAATTCAGAAACACAAATGCAACCAGCAGGGTATTCTGATGTCACACATGAGATGGACCATGATCTGGAAAGCTTAAATATCTCCAACAATGGTCCACCAGAAGCAGAACTCAGACACTGGCAAAGTGAAATGGCTGGTGGTTCACAGTAAGGTTGTAAGCAAATGAAGGGATTTTCAAAAGTATTCACATCTCTTTGAATGTCAAACAACCTGCAGATACACTGAAGACAAAGGATCATTAGGAAAGGTCCGGCCCCCGGCACGATGGCTCAATAGCTAAATTCTCACCTTGAGAGCGCTGGGATCCCATATGGGCACTGGTTCATGTACTGGCTGCTCCACTTCCCTTCCAGATCTCTACTCATGTCCTGGGAAAGCCGTAGAGAATAACCCAAAGCCTTGGGACTCTGTGCCCATGTGGGAGACCCAGAAGAAGCTCCTGGCTCCTGGCTTCAGATCGGCTCAGCTCTGGTTGTTGCAGCCACTTGGGGAATGAACCAGTGGATAGAAGATCTTTGTCTCTACTATCTGTAAATTTGATCTGCTTTGCCAGCAAAAATAAATAAACCTTTAAAATAAAAAGTTCTTGGCTGTAACTGGCTTTTCTTTGAGTTAAATTTAAAAATCTATGTTTATTCATTTTATTGTTGAATGTGGTTTTCAGAGACCAGAACAAAGTGAAGAAACAGGGGCAACAGGACATATTAATCAGTTTCAAACAACCTGTATAATTTGTTTGTGCCCTTCTTTCAACAGGAAATCTTTATTCCTAGTTACCTTTTTTCTCTGATGCTTCTTTAAGAAATGTGTTGGACGGCTTTAGGCCCACATTTGGATCCTGAGGTTGTGAAGCCAAAGTGGGTTCTTGTGATTCGGCCTGCAGTTTGGAGGATTCTTCAAGAAATTCATCAAGAATGGATAGTGTAGTTCCTGGAGCTGAAAGGATTAAATTAGAACTATAGGAGGTCAAAATGACAAGGCATGAGAAATATATTCCTTAAATAGTACACGAATGATGCAGAGTTTTTGGTAAACTTTATGCTTCTGAATAATTTAAGAACAAACTAAACTCAGGACAGAGTTTCTGTCACTAGATGCCCCTGCACCCATCTAACCCCAGTGCACAGCCCAAGTCATGCGAATGCCTAGCAAGTCATGAGAATGTCTGGCAGATCCCCAGTGTACAAGTTACTTCCTAAAGCCAGGATCTCAAGAACCCACAGGACAAAATTCATGCAGTTTTAGAAAACATTACAGCCACTACAGGAACTCCATTTACCTTCTCTCTGTGGTCAGATACTACCCAGGGACCCAGTGACTGAAAGGTATCTCACTGTCTCTGCCTCTTTCTCTGCTTCTCTTCTTCCAAATGCATAAAAGTAAAAATCTTAACAACAACAACAACAACAACAACAAAAAGCTGATGGAGGGGGTGGTTGAAAGATAAGGGAAGATTAGATAAACTGCTAGGAATTTTCTCCACAAACCCATACACCAGATTGCAGCGAGTCACACAGGGGGTCTTTATCTGAGCAGAGAAAGATGCCCTTGGGGAAGAGAGAGAGGGAGAGAAAGCATGGGGGGGGGGTGTACTTTCATAGCAAGGGACGGGCATCAGGGATATACACAAAGCCTAAAAATTGTGAAACTGGTGCAGGGTCTAAAATGACGGAGGTCTTATCAATCTTCAGGGCTGACACTGGAGTCACTCCTCACATAAACAATAACAAAAACACAGGAAGTAATAGTTTCCAGAGTTCTCTAACATTATTGTGAACTGTAGTCACCAGTGCAGGAAAGCAGGGATGCTGAAAGCCTGATTTAATCATTTCACACTGTATGCACTGGTTGAAACACATGCTAATCAAAACTATTTTAAAGTAAACAGAGAAAAGCATCAAACTGTTACGTTAAATATGTTCAGTTCATGAAATGTCAATTTCATCTAAAAAAGTTCCTATAGCTGTAATGTAGAATTAAGATAAACGATTAAGGGCCCGGCGCGGTGGCACAAGTGGTTAAAGTTCTCGCCTTGAACGCCCGGGATCCCATATGGGCGCCAGTTCTATCTTGGCAGCCCCGCTTCCCTTCCAGCTCCCTGCCTGTGGCCTGGGAAAGCAGTCGAGGACAGCCCAAAGCTTTGGGAACCTGCACCCGTGTGGGAGACCAGGAAGAGGCTCCTGGCTTCGGATGGGCATAGTATCGGCCCGTTGCGCTCACTTGGGGAATGAATCATCGGACGGAGATCTTCCTCTCTGTCTGTCCTCTCTGTATATCTGCCTTTCCAATAAAAAAAAATAATAAAAGTAAATCTTTAAAAAAGATAAACAATTAAAAATGTGTGTAACCAACATATGAGGGAGACAGATGCTAAAAGATACAAGGAAATCCCTCTCTAACTGAGGTTTACTATTTTGGGATATGATTCCAGTTGGGCCTTATGCCAGCACAATAATAAAAGATTACGTCTTGTTGGGTTCTCCTGTCTGTTCACAAATCCCACTGTCTCACACTCACTGAGAATATTCACAGCAGCTATCATACATATTCAGGCAGGTATGCACCAATGGATGAATGGATAAAAAATGTGATATGTATACACAATGGGATATTATCCAACCAAAAATATTGAAATTTTGGCATTTGTGGTAAAATGTATGAAACTGGAGGTTATTATGCCTAGTGGAATAAACCAGACACAGGAAGACAAATGTTAAATGTGCTTTTTCCTGTCATCTGAGCTTAGGAGATGGCCACTGAGAAGAGTTGGAGGAAGGGTGAGAAAGACAGAAGCAAGGATAGCAAAGAGTACACTCCCCTTTTCCTAACAGCAAGCTTCCCCTAACTGCCAAACATACTAGCATCCTGTAATTGTCGTTTGCCTGTCTGTGGCATGGTAATTTGCTGTGCCCATAATGTAATCGTTGCTAAAAATCTTACTTTTTTGCACTTTGGGATAAACCTAGACAGAACCATTTACAGGCAAAATCATGCATGTATTCTGCACAGAGCAATTCCGAATGCACTGCGGGAACCTTGGCCTGATCTCACTGCTAACCGACATGCCTTGGAGGACTTCCCAGCAGCAGCCCTGCTTGGATACCCACTGCACTTACATAGAGGCTCCTTTGTTACTGGGAATGTCCAAAGGTCTCTCCTTCCCCTTCCTTCTGCACCTGTTCTCTCACTGTGTTTATGTCTCATTTACACTAACTCCATAAATTCCGAAGCCCTTTCCCAATGGGGAGACAGATTTGGGTTTTGTTGCACCTCTATCCCCCATCTTCTCACAGGCCTTAGTAAAGCTTCTCTTTCAAGGACTGTGTAGCACCTGGTATTCTTTTGTTGTTGTTATTTTATCATATAGTTTCACAGGCTCTGGGATTGCCCATCTTCCTCCTCAAGTCCCCTCACCCCCTACTCCCATCATTGAAGTGTTTCCCGACAAAGAAGGTGAATTTCAATAGCAGAAGCTCTGACTACCAGCAGAAAGAAACACTTAGAAGGGCTTCTCTTGTCATCCTGAAATAACTCAAAATTCCACCTACTTATGGCCAGTGCAATGGTGTGGCAAGCTAATCCTTTGCCCACTGGGTACCAGTTTTGAGTTCTAGCTGCTCCACCTCTGTTTCAGTTCCCTGCTAGTGGCCTGGGGAAACAGAGGAGCGTAACTCAAATGCTTGGGCTTCTGCATCTACTTGGGAGAAACAGAAGCTCCTGGCTGCTGGCTTCAGATTGGCTCAGCTCCAGCTGTTGTGGCCATTTGAGGAGTGAACCAGTGGATGGAAGATTCTCTTTCTTACTTCCAATCTCTTCCACCCACTCCATAACTCTTTCAAGTAAAGTAAATCTTAAAAACAAACAAACAAAAAAACTCACATACTCATTCAGAGAACAACTATTTACTGAGTGCTTGCTATCTGACAACTTGTTCAGCACCCTCCAGCACCATGCTCTGGCCTTACCTGCTGGGGCTTCTGTCTTGAATGCCACTGTAGAACCACTTGTGGCTGCCCAAGCACTCAGGACGGATTCTACTTTCTTTCCTTCTTCTGTGTACTCTACAGTACCAACACTCTTTTGCTTTGATACTTGTGCCTGAACCATTCGTGCCTGAAGCTGTTTGGAGGCCTCATGAAATGCCATTTCCATTCGAATATCATTATTTTGAATTTCATAGTATAAGCCTGAGTAAAGAAAGATGTTGATGTTTATATGATGGATTTTCTAAGACAATATGATAAAGAATTGAATTTTTCACTTATTTTTCCTGCATTTTTTTTTCTAAAATTTAAGTACTACATTATGAGCCACTGAAGAAAAATAAAGCATCTTAAAATGGATCACAGGAAACACTATACCAAGCAAAGTCCAGGCTATGACATTAGTGGGTTCCAAGCAGGTGGCGTCCTCAAAAAAAATTTCTGCTTGCTCGTAGTTCTCCATCATGACCGCCAGGACACCACACAGCAACAAGCTGAGAAGAGACCACTGTGATAGAGTGAACATGGACCTGGGCCACACTGTGGGTGCAGGGCAATCCCACGCAGAAGCTCATCTAGCATCCCATTGCCCCCCGACCAATACCTCTGGATGTGACTTTCATTGAGTGACAGGGCTTTTCGAAAACACTCCTGGGCTTTGATGTTGTCCTCAGTTAGCAGACAGAAGGCACCATAATCTATCCAGTGATCCAGGTTCTGGGGCTCACGGACTAACCTCTAGGCACATAAAATATTAAGAGCGCCATGGCTACTGTGACTCTGTGACCTGTTTTTTTTTTTTTTTTCAATTCATGTAACACCAAAACACTCCACAAATACTATAAATCCTATGAAAATAGAAACCATGTATTTCCCATTGAGTCTCAAATGCTTAACACAATCATTTACTTTTGTTTTTAGGATGGGGGAAAGGGTCAAAGACAATTTTTAAAAAACAATTTAAAAATTAAATCCTCAAACCACTTGTTCCTAGTGTATATTACCTATACTTCCTAGTGTATATCAAACTAATACAACAATTTAAAGACATAAAGCTTCACTTTTTATTGTTTGTCAACTAAATATAATCACTTCTTCCATACTCTTGAGATGGCAAATAAAATTTATCTCTGAAGTAAAAAAAAAACCACTTTCATATAAATAAGTGGAAAGACATTTCTCATTCATTGATTTGAAGATTTATATTATTAAGATGTCAATACTATACAAAGCAATCTACAGTCCATATCAAAAGTCTTAAAAAGTTAAACATGGAGTTGCTATATGTCCCAACAACTTTATTCTTGAGTGCATTGCAAAAATAATTTAAAAACAAGTATTCAAAATATGCTTATTTGAAAGTGTTACTGAATTTGGGGAGTTTTTAATATTCTAAATATAAATCCTTCATCAGGATTTGGGGAAATTTTCTCCTGTTTTGTGTGTGTTCTTTTTTTTTTCTCATGTCTTTCACAGAACAAAAGTTCTGAATTTTGAGTAAGGTCCATCTATCACATTGTAATGTGTCTCATGGTGCTTTGATGTCACACCTAAGAAATCTTTGCCTAACTCCAAGTCAAGATTTCACCTCTGTCTCTTCTAAAACTTTATTAGTCTCAGAGCTGACTTTTCTGAAATGTTTAAGGCTTAAATCAAGTTTCATTTTAAAATGATACATGGATTATCAATTATTCTAACATTATTTTTTCCCATTGACTAAATTACATCTTTGTAAAGAAATCAAATGATCTTTCTCATGTGGGCGTGTTTTTTTACTTTGTTTTACTGATCTAATGTCTACTCTTTCACCAATCAAGTTTTAAACAAGCAGTTACTATTTATGTCTATAATTTACTAATAATAGTAACAATCTCTGGGAAGATGTTTGATCACCTCTTCATAATACACCGCTGCCATTTCAAAGTTCTCATTGACTTCTGCTTCAAATGCAAAGAGTCGAAGCTGGTCGCTGCTCGTGGGAATGGTTGAGACCGTGCCTTGGACGTCATCTGGCATGGTCTTGAAAACATCAAGATGTTAAGCAGACAAAACGAAGCAGTTATAAGTAAATTCTAAAAACTGGATGTGGCAGAGCAGACATCTCACCTAGCAGCTGTGATGCCTGCAGCCTGCATCTGGACACTCGGGTTCAACTCACAAGCACTCTGCCTCCTGACCCCAGTGCCCTGCCGGCTCAAGTAGTTGGATTCCTGCTAAGCGCGTGGGAAACCTGGATTACAGTCCTGTTGCCAGTATTTGGAGAATGAAACAGTGGATGGGAGCTCTGAGTGTGTATGCGTCCATCTCTCGCTGTCTCTCAGTTTCATACATGAATTTTTCAAATCCAGAGGCAAGGGTCTGGCATGGCATAGCACGTTAAGCTGCTGCTTCCTGACAGCAGCATCGCAGATCAGAGGGCCAGCTGGAGATACTGATTCCTGTCCAGCTTCCTGATGATGTGCCTGGGTAGGCAGAGGAAGATAGCCCAAGTCCCAGGCCTCTGTTACCCACGTGGGACATCACAATTGAGTTCCTGGTTTCCAGCTTCAGCTTGGCCAACACATGGCTACAGTGAGCATTGGGGAGTAAACCAGCAACCGAGAGATCTCTGTCTCTGCTTCTCTGTCACTCTTTTTAAGTAAACAAATAATAATTTTTTTTTAAATTAAGAGATCCAGTTATGACATGTAAAGTGACACAATTTTCTTTAGTCTTGCCAATACAGAAAAGGAGTAAGAATGAACCAAGAGGGAAATTATCAAGGTGAAATAGCTGACAGAGGATATATGCAAAGAGAATATATTGTTTTTTCTGATTTTTCCAGATATGTCTAATGTTTCCAGACTAGGAGAATATGTCTGGTATAATTCATGATCCCTTGGGTAAGAAGTGTGACAAGGGAAGACACTGATTCCCTCTAACCTCTGCCATCATAAATGAGTGACTAACAAGTAAAGTTTCTAAGAAATGTGGAGTAAAGCCAAATTTGAGACTAGCCAGAATTTCTGATTCTTACTGGAAAGGCAGATTTACACTGATCCTCTGTCCACTGGTTCACTCCCCAGAGGGCCACAACAGCAGGTGCTAAGTCAATCTGAAGCCAGAAGCCAGGAACTTGTTTAGATTACCAACACAAGTGCAGGGTCCCAAGGATCTGGCCCATCCTCCATTGCTTTCCCAGGCCAGAAGCAGGGAGCTAGATGGGAAGTGGAGCAGCAAGGATATGAACTGGTGCCCATATGGGATCCTGGTGGTTGAAAGGTCAGGCTTTAGCTATTAGGCACTAAACTGGGCCCTAGTTCCTCCATTTTTAACTCCTACTCTGCCAACTGCTTTTGCCAAAGCAGCAGATATTATCAAAGATTTTTCATCTTTAAAGATTTATGTCTGGAAAGGCAGAATTGCAGAGAGGAAGAAAGAGAAAGAGAGAAAGAGACAATCTTTATCCACCGGCTCATTCCCCCAAATAGCCACAATGGCCAGGGCTGGGCTAGGCCAAAGCCAGGAGCCTAAAGCTTCTTCAGGGTATGCCCGAACACTAGAGCCTGCCCTCCCAGGCATACTAGCAAGGGATCTGGACGGGGAGTGGAGCAGCCAGCATCGAAACCAGTGTCCAGGGCCTGCCACAATACCCTTGTGGCCAAAGTCCTAGCTTTGCATGTGCAGGGATCCCATATGGGCACCGGCTTGTATTCCAGCTGTTCCACTTCTCTTCCAGCTCCCTGCTTGTAGCCTGGGAAAGCAGTCAAGGAAAGCAGTCAAGGATAGCCCAAAGTCTTGGGACCCTGCATCTGCGTGGGAGACCAGAGGAAGCTCTTGGCTCCCGACTTCTGATTGGCTCAGCTCTGGCTATTGCAGCCACATTGGGGAGTAAACCAGTGGATGGAAGATCTTTCTCTCTTTCTCTCCACCTCTCTATAACTCTGACTTTCCAATAGAAAAGAAAGAAAGAAAGAAAGAAAGAAAGAAAGCAGGCAAGCAGGCAGGCAAGCAAGCAAGCAGGCAGGAAGGAAAGAGATAGACAGAGAAAGAAAGAAACAAACAAATAAACAAACTAGTGGCTGGGACACTGGTGCTGCATACAGAGGTTTAATTGGCCATGCCACAACACTGACCTGCCTTTTTCATCTTTAAAAGAACACTTCTATAACTTATAGCCACTTTCCCACTTTTTTCCTTCATCATCCAACTTCTTGAATTTATGTTCATCTTGTTTCCCAATCCCTATCTTACTCTTCAATTCATTGTTATTTGAATGGACTCCATTTGCCCAATTAAAGTGCTTTATGAAGGTTAATAACAATCTCCTTATTTCTGAATCCCAACAAAAATTGTCATATTTGTTATCACTGAATTCCTAGATGTAATTAATGATGGCAATCACTTTTTCTTAATATCTTCTTAAAATTATTTTTCCTTGACTGCTGTAACATCATTGTCTTCTGCTTCCTTCATCTCCTGAACAATTCTACTTTTTTTTGGTCAGTTTTTTTCACTCATTCACTCCTTAACTGTTGGTGTTTGTTAGAGTTCTCTCCTCTCTCTTCACACACAAGCAGTCTCATCTATGATCATGACAGCTAAGTATTATGGCTCCCCAAACCTCATCTCAAGGATAGCTCTTGCTATAGCCTGAATGGGGTCAGACTCCTGAATTTAAAACCAAAAGTCATAAACTGATGATACTAAAGAGAGTTGAAACTTAGTACAATTATGGTGTTCAGGAGGTAAGCCTGGCGAGAAGGCATTCGGTCCCCAGGGGGGGCAGCCTTGAAAGGGAGCTGTCTCAAGAGGATGGGTTTAAAAGCTGAGTTTGCTAGATACACTTTCTGCGGGCCAATTATTCATGTGACTCTTCTGCACACATTCAGTCACTGTCATCCACCAGCTTCCAGACAAACAAACGGATGGAATTCAGCCAATCTTGGACTGTCAACCTCCAAAACCATGTGTCAAAATAAAACCCTTTCCTCCCTAAATGGTTTGTCTCTAATGTTTAGTTTAATGAACAAAAACCTGACCAAATACAGAGCTCTCTCTCGAACAAAACCCTACTGCAGCAAGTACTCAAATTTGAATTCAACACTACTTGCCTCCCGCCAGATGTAGTCATGTTGTATTCCTTGTCCTGGACAATGTTAGTATCAATTATTTAGTCATAAGTCTTAAATGGAAGAATCTATGATTTTCCTTCCTCTGTCTTATGCAATATCCAGAAAATATCACCAGTTTCACAACATTGTTATCCTATTATTTTTTATAAAATGCAAACATAATCATACTATACTTCAGCATAATTCTCTCGTTGCTTCTACCTGTGAATGAGGAAAAAGTCAAAACTTCTTTGTTTAGCATACAAGTCTCTCTCCATACTCCCAACTCCCAGCAACAGGAAGTGACTACTGGCCTCATCTCTTTGTTTCTCTACACTGGTCCCACTGCTCTTGAACTATAGCGACAATTTCTGAATATGTAATATTCTTCCAAATTCCAGTGTGACCCATGTGACCCAATGCTCTGAAACATCCACCTAAATAACTTCTCATCCTTCAAGACCCTAATAGACACAGTTTCTCTACAAGCCCTTCTTAGGATAAAGTGACTCTCACATCAGGCATCCCTAACTCACTCTATGACAGCCACACCTCTAGCACAGAACTCACTTCACCCAGTCGTTTGGATTTTGTGCTTGTCTCTTCAACTACACAGAGGCTGCTTAGGGCCAGAAGGCAGCTGCAACTCCCAAGGTTCAATTTTCAATTGTTTTCCAAACAAAATCATTCAGATCCACACCCAAAACAGGACTCTTTTCTTAATCCTATGATACCGAACATTCCTGTTCTATCGCTTCCAGGAAGGATGAATAAAGCAAAAGAAAAGGTGACAGTGCTAGAAAAGGAAAATCATGAGGGAAGGAACAAATAGAACAGGGACTTAGTAAACCAGAGCCACAAAGACTCTGATCCTTTCATTTCCCCCCGCCACCAGCAAATGAAAATGAAATGCACAGAAATGAGCAAATGAAGGAAAGATGCAACCTATAAAAATATAAACATAAAGGTTAAGTGAATGAGAGCCAGATCACTAGTTAAACAGAAAAGGCACGTTTGAAATCTGTCATGGAATATAATGTCTAGAAACTTAGTTTTGTTTTGTTTTGATCCTATTGAAGAAAAACTGAGAATTTCATACTCAAAATGGTAATTTTGTTCCACAATCTATATACTCTGTTTTATCTGCTTTTGGCAATTTCACCAGACTTTGGATATCACCAAATTTATTTTTCTAGGAAACTAAAGAAGTCTATACCCTGTTCTCCCACACTCAGGCTTATAAATTACACAGCTTCTTATTCATCTTTGTTATTCTAGGGCTTAGCACTAAACATGCATCTCAATAAATGTATTTGGAAGAAAGGAGGAAGGAGAGATGCAGAGAGGAATTGAAAAGATAAAGGAAGGAAGCAAGGGAAGGAGGAACTGGAGGGTTTAATGTTCCACAAAGAAAGGGAAAAGCTTTCAGTTCTAGGTACCAACCTGGTTTAGGGCCACATGCATCTGATCCACCAAAAACACATACAGCTCACTTATAAATGTCTGCAATTCCTCCTGGCTTTCAAACGATGTTGTCTTCAAGTATTTCTCTCTCACAATCTTTACCACAGCGTGCTGCAAGACACATATCATGTATTCCATAACTCAATCCAGCACCATGCTAAGAGCACAGGGTTCATTAATGCTTCTAGTCTAGGTCCATCAAAGCATTAGAATGGGAACGATTCCTCCCTTGGTCATGTTTAGTATATGTGCTGCCGAAGCAAGCACCCCTGGTGACATTTAGACTATGAGCTCTCATTTCCCCCAGTCAACATGCTCTGGATGACTTCATTCCTTGGCATCACCATCATCATTACAAAGAGGCAATGCAAGAGTCAGATTGCTCCGTATGTAAAGAGTCATAAAACTGAAGAAAACCTTAATGATGTATAAACCTGGGCTAATGCATTACATCTTTCATGGTGGTCACAGAATCCAAGGGAGAAAGTCTGATCTGAAAGTCCAAAAATTGAAATTCTGGTTCTAATATTGTCTTGTGCAAGTTCATGAACTGTTGTAGACTCTGGTGCCATTTCTTCATTTATTAAGTGAATATGTAGCTCTGATACTATTATATCTTAAAAGATGACTGAGATATCAAAGAAAGAAAGAAACAACACAGAGGTAGAAACTTCAAATGCTATATACTCATATAAATACAGTCCCTTCTATATTTATCCTATTTTTATGACTCAGTTATTTAGTCAACTGCAGCTTATGACCATGAAATGGAAAATTCTAGAAATAAGCAATTTTTAAGTTTTAAATTATACATCATTCTGGATGCTGTCCCAATCTTTCCTGTCTGACATGCAAATCATCCCTTGGCCAAGAATACCTACAATTCATGCTCTACCTGTCTATCAATCATTAGTAACTATCTTGGTTAACAGACTGACTGTCATGGTGTCACTGAGTTCATGTCGGCATTCCTGTTTTACTTACGAATGGTCCCAAAACACCATTAGTACAGTGCTTTCTTTCAGTGGAAAAGTTAGTTTACCATAGATATGTATGTATAGGAAAAACACTGCCCATGGTTTTATATATCTATTGGGAGTCTAAGAATATATGCTCACAGATGAAAGATTACTGTATAAACACAGCATGTGCTGTGGCTAGTGCTGGTTTTTTTCATATTCTTTACTAAGGTAACACTGTCACCAGGTTTTATATCAGGTACCTTCCATGTACCATATTTATTTAATATTCATATCTTCCCCATGTGATAATATTTTTAAAGATTTATTATTTATTCAAAAGTTACGGTTACAGAGAGAGAGAGCTTTCACTGGGTCTTTCATACAGCTGGGGCTGCACCATGCCAAAGAGCCAGGAGCCTCATCCAGGTCTCCCACTTGAGTTTCAGGGTCCCAAGTATTTGGACCATTCTCCACTCTTTTCCCAGGCTATTAGGAGAGAGCTGGATTCAAAGTAGAGCAGCAGAGACATGAGCTGCTGCCCACATGGTATGTTGACATTGCAGGTAGCGGCTTCACCTTCTATGCCACAATGGTAGCTCCACCAGGATAATACTAACATCGTGCCTCCCTATTAAGTCATGAATTTCAGGAACAGAGGGGGCAGTCAGGAGTGCAAGGTTGCTCAGATAATAAAAAAGCAAGAATCAATCCAAATTACAGGGTGGGCATTTGGCATAGTAGTTAAGTTGCCATGAGTGGCTGTTCTCCACTCTTGGTCTTGGCTCCACTCTTAGTTGCCGCTTCATGTTAAGGCAGACCCAAGGAGACAGAGGCAGCTCAACTTACTTACTTCTTCATGGGAGATCCAAATTGTGTGTCTGGCTCCTGGCTTCAGCTACTATGAGCATTTGAAGAGTGAAGCAGAGGACAGGATCTGTCACTCTACCTCCCTGTCTCTTTGCTATCTCCCAAATAAATAAAAGTACTTAATTAAACTATGATTATACATACCACTTCTTGACTCTATGAGCATTAGTTGTTTTTTACTTGATTGGTTTCCATATGTTTTCTGTATCTATTTTGTTTCGTGCAGGACATGTGGTAAGCGGGCACAGAGAGGCAATGTGGTATAGCAACGAAGAACATGAGTTGTACAGGCCAGCACTGTGGAATAACAGGTTAACCCACATATGTGATGCTTGCATCCCATGTGGGTGCCAGTTTGATCACCAGCTGCTTCACTTCCTCTCTGGCCCCCTGCTAGTGCCTCAGAAAGCTGGGGAGGTTGGCCCAAGTGTTTGAGCCTTTCTACCCAATAGGTCACCTGGAAGAAGTTCTGGGCTTCTGGCTTCAGCATGGCCCAGTCCCAGCCACTGCAGTCATTTGGGAAGTGAACTTGCAGATGGAAGATCTCTGTTACCCTCTCTCAGTATCTCTGCCTTTCTCATAAATAAAATAAATCTTTCAAAAAGAAAGAAAAGGAAGGAAGGAAGGAAGGATGGATGGAAAGAAGGAAGGAAGGAAGGAAGAAAAGAAAAGAAAAGAGAAGAGAAGAGAAGAAAAGAGAAGAAAAGAAGAGAAACAGCGAGCCAGAGTTGTGGAGTCAAACTACATGAAGTGAATCTCATCTTTGGCCTCTACCATCTCTACGACCACGGGTGAATAACCAATTGAGGTTGTATTTTCTCGTCTGTAAAATGGAGAGTATCCAACTCATGGGACCGTTGTGGGAATTAAATTAGTGATATAATAGACATTTAGAAATTACCAGTACATGGCAAATACTAAATGTTAGCTATTATCATTCCAGATACTTTTTACTGAATAACTTCTCAAATCTTAGTGATTTTAGGACTAGGGAGAAATCTGAATAGGAAGCCAAGAAATAGCTACGGATTCATTACTAGATATAGAGTTTCTATCTCCATGACAACATGAAATCTGGTACAAAATATAGCTTAGACTAAAGAGAGAATTTGTTTAAAGCTCACATTTTGGATGGGCACTTGGCACGTTGATTAAGATGCTGCATGGGATTCCTGCATACATGGGTATCGCAGGATACACAGGTATCACAATACCTGGATACAAGCCTAGCTGCATGTTCAGATCTGGCTTTCCACTACTGTGCACCCAGGGAGGCAGCAGGTGATGGACCAAGTACTGACACTCGTGTAGGAGAGCTGCACTGACTCTGGACTCCTGGTTTGGTCCTGGCCTAAATGGTGCAGGTATTGAACTGAAGGGAGGAGAATCTTTCTTCCTCTCCCTCTTAATCAAACAAAAATACCTCATACTCCAGAACATATGCTACACCATTCCAAGATGCTGGCCTTCCCTGAACATTCCAAAATAGAGAACTTAACTCTGCATCAATATCAAAAAACATGGGAGCACAGTTGAAAAAAAATTAACTGGAAACACAGTAAAGGTTCTCCATGAAAATGAAACATGGAATAATTAAATGAAATTTTACCTTAAGTTGTTCTTTGAAAGCAAAGTACTTTCCAGAGCAATTCAGCTCATAGTTGAGCTGGCACTTCTGTTCCTCTAAAGTTTCACTATCTATATCACTTCCAAGTTTGGTCACTTGTTTGCCAAACATTCTGTGGTACTCATCCAAGATGGATCTAGAAATATTCTTGATCTGTGCATGGTAGTCACTCACAGCCTAGGGGAAAGAAACACAAATATCCAATAAAGAAGCCTCTAAGAGGAACAGATCATGGATTGCTGCCTAAAACTAGGCTGAGTTTTATGTACAATGATAATTTAGACACATACATTCCCTTTTCTTTGTCAGAAACCATCAATCAAAGATTAAACACTGTATGTTCTTCACTGTATGTTAATGATCACAAATGAACCAGGAAGCAAAATATGTTAAGCTTCAAACAAGTACCTATCCTTTCTGGAAGAATCCATGCCAATTTCACTCAACACTTTCTTACCTACAGGTTCCCCTTGGCTTGGACACTTGCCTTTTGAGCCCCTCCTGTCCGACGGGTAAGAGGGGGCCTTGGAGGAACCATTTCTTTGACCCTGTATCAAGGAAAAAACAAACAAAACACATCATAGTCTGCAGAATTATATTATCTTATATCCCACGTCCAAAGAATCAGGATGGGAGAAGTCTGAGATCTCTTCTTCAAAGGAACTTGAACACTGTGCCACCTCTCATGTAAAACCATAGATGTGGGCCCAGAACAGTCTATGTTACCAACTAGAAAGAAAGAAGTGGGCCCGGCGCGGTGGCTCAGTGGTTAAGGTCCTTGCCTTGAACGCCTGGGATCCCTTATGGGCACCAGTTCTATCCCAGCAGCCCCGCTTCCCTTCCAGCTCCCTGCCTGTGGCCCGGGAAGGCAGTCGAGGACGGCCCAAGGCTTTGGGACCCTGCACCCGCCTGGGAGACCCGGAATAGGCTCCTGGCTTCGGATCGGCATAGCATCGGCCGTTGCACTCACTTGGGGAGTGAATCATCGGACGGAAGATCTTCCTCTCTGTCTCTCCTCTCTGTATATCCGCCTTTCCAATAAAAAAAATAATAAAAATCTTTAAATTTATTTATTTATTATAAAGTCAGATATACAGAGAGGAGGAGAGACAGAGAGGAAGATCTTCCGTCCAATGATTCACACCCCAAGTGAGTGCAACGGCCAATGCTGTGCCGATCCGAAGCCAGGAGCCTCCTCCGGGTCTCCCACACGGGTGCAGGGTCCCAAAGCCTTGGCCCGTCCTCGACTGCCTTCCCGGGCCACAGGCAGGGAGCTGGAAGGGAAGCGGGGCTGCTGGGATAGAACTGGTGCCCATAAGGGATCCCAGGCGTTCAAGGTGAGGACCTTAACCACTGAGCCACCGCACCGGGCCCAATAAATAAATTTAAAAAGAAAGAAAGAAGCAGCTGCTCAATTGGGCTACCTAAATTATATTTTTGGCTAATTCAAGCCCTGTTTTTACTCATACACATTTTTAAAAAATATATGCTATGCACAAGAGATTATCTATCTAGGGGGTTGATGAGAAATTAGATACCATGATTTTAAAGGCATTCAGGAGGTATAAATATTTGGAAATTCAATGGTACAGGCAAGAGAAATCTTTATATTCTCTCCACCTTAAAAAAAAAAAAAAGGTATATATGGGGCCAACATGGTGACACATGAGACTAATCCTCTGCCCTGTGGCGCCAGCATACCATCTGGGTACTAGTTCTTGTCCCAGCTGTTCTACTTCTGATCCAGCTCTAAATGGTGAAACCTTCAAAAGGGGGAGCCATTGGAGGTACTGTTTTGGGAGGGGCTAATGGTGGTCAGTCTGAATCAGTGAAGTGCTCACGAGAGAGGGCTGTAATGAGGGGAGGCAAGCCCTTGAGTTGTCCCCTTCTGCATGGCACTGCTCCCCTTGCTGCATCTCTGCAACATGTGACACTGCAAGGGTGGCTTTCCCCTGAGGAGGGATGCATGGGGCTACACAATCTCAGACTTCAAGTCTCCAGAACTCTGCACCAAACCAATGTCTTTTCCTTTGCACTCAGCTCAGGCATCTTATTATACGAAACAAACTACACAGGGACAGAGGGACTGTCTTACCTGTGCCTCAAACGCTTGTACAGAACAAGTGTAAGAACCACGGCTACCTACCGCCTGGCCAGCTCCTCTGGCATGCGTTTTGGCACCAAGGCTTTGTCCAGCTCGATCTCCAGCACAATGTACGTACCCGCTTCCACATATTGCTGCAAAGACAGTTTTCCTCATTTACCATTTCCCAAAAAAGTTTGAAAATTTTAAGTAATAAAAGAAAAAGTATAAAATGTTTATGTGAAAAATGCTCATATATAACTTGCATAATCTTAATTGTTAAAATCCTTTTACATGGAAAAATAACAGGGAAGAAATACAGCAACAGAAGTTATCTCTTGGAGGAAAAGGTTTCCAATCATGCTCCTGGAAACTGCTGCTTCAGCTGATGTCCCATTGGACCCTGTTTGTAACGCTCTCCTTGGAGTTGTTTTAACTGAAGGTCAATCTATCTAGCAACCCACTTTCAAGGATACTATGAAAGGATTCTCTTTATAACTTCTTACATTCTCATTAACCATCTCCCTGCCAACACCTGCCAACTTTGAATGCTTGATACATCTATGTAGTTCGCAAAATAATTTTGGAAAACATTCTCTATTCAACACACTTCAAACTGAACTTATCATGTCCCACATAACAATCTCTGCTTTGGTTTTTCTTATAAAGAAATTGTCACTCTTTGAGAAAATTGGACTTGACATATGAGTTACCTTTTTCTTTTTCTTCACCAATCCCTCCAAAGCTTCCAAGTTCTACACCCTATATCTCAGCTGGTTAATGACTTTCTTAACAATAACTGCTACCTTGAATCAGGTTTTGCCCACTATCACTATACTACCAAAAATCCCTACCTCATTTGAATTCCTCCTCTGCTCTCAATCCCTCTCTTTCATACCTATGTAAGAATTCTGACACTAAACACATATGAGATCTTATTTCTGTGTGACTTAAAAACTGTTGAGCTCAGTCTCCAAGATGAAGTTCAAGAGGTTTTTGTATCACTTACAGAATGAAGAACAAACTGCTTAGCAAGACTTTTGAGTCTTCACACAATCTGACTCAGTTTCTTTCCACTTATCCCTTCTTTTCATTCACTCTTTTCTACTATGTACCCTAAATGCTGATCTCCTAAGTTTATACTATGCTTTAATTCAAATTTTTTCCTGTCCCTGAAATGCTGGCAAAAGTTCTTTACTTTTTCACTGCTTTGTTTGGACACTGCCTCCTCAGCAAAGTCTTCCCAAGACTGCCCCATTCTAAATAATAATAATCGTTGTCTCCGTTGAGCCCACCCAGAACCGTTATTGATGCCTCTACTACAGCACTCATCAAAATCACATACTACAATTAGTTATATATAGTCTGACTGTCCCACAAGAAACCTGAGCAGCCCGAAGGTAGATGATCTGACACTGAAAACGATGCATCTCTGCATTTCTTACGGTGCTTAACACAGTAAAATTAATGGAAGACATAAAGCTTTAATCTAGAAAGTGTCCCGATGTCAGTCTGGTTACCGACTAATTTTACATAGTCTCCACAAAGAAATGTTCATGAGTTTATGAAATTTAATTCTGGACAAATACAGAATGCTAACTCGGATATCCCACCCCAAGGTATCCTTTACTATTGATGTCTTGCTCATTAGATGTCTGATGACTTTTAACTTAATTTTCCAAAACTTAAAAAGTATATATTTAGTTATTTGAGAGAGAAGGAGAGCCCATCCCATCTGCTGGTTCATTCTCTAAATGCCCTCAACAGCAGGGGCTGGGCCTGGCCAAAGCCAGGACACAGAAATTCAATCCAAGTTTCCCATGTAGGTGGCAGAAACCCAATTTCTGCAGCCATCACTACAGTCTCCCAGGGTCTGAATTAGCAAGAAGCCAAAATCAGGAGCTAGAGCTGGGTATCCAACCCAGGGGCTTCCACGTGGGAGGTGGGCTTCTTACTGATGTCCTAACCACTAATCTAAATACCCATCTCCTGCAAGACTTTACACGCAGTACCTGTCCTTCCAGATTGTGGCTGAGAGGGGGTTCACCTTCCAAAGGAGTATCTGAGCTCTGTGATTTTATACTAGGTGCTTGCTGAAAGAAAACAAACAAACAAATACACCTCAAAAGCAGAATGTTCACATGGTCTTCATGATAGAAATAATGATTGCTGCATTGCATCAAAATGAAAATTATATTGACACAATTTGCACAAATGTGAGATTAGTGTAAGTCTGTGGAATATAATAAAACAGGCAAAATTACCACTTTATTGACATCTGCATCTGTAGGCTTAAACTTGCCATCTATGTCCTTTTCTTTGACTGTTTTATCTTCTTTTAGGTTCTTGGAGACAACTGCTTTGGCCAATGGAGAATTAATTCCTCCTATTTTATTATTCTGAATCAAATGATGGGCAGTATCCCGGAATAAGCTAGATAAACACTTGGTCTGAAAAGAACAGGAAGAATGTAAGGAATCATAATTGAGTAAGACAAATTTGAAAGAAATTCATATTATATTTTAACGTCGCAACGTCACTTAGTCTTCCAGATAACTTCAACATGCAAAATAGAAAGGATTTCAAGAAACTTCACTGCATTTCTCTACCAGAGTAAAACAGGTAGAAGCACCACACAAAGGTAGCTGTCTATCCTATTACTTAAGAACTCGAGGACCCGGCGCGGTGGCACAGTGGTTAAGGTCCTCGCCTTGCACGCCCGGGATCCCATATGGGCACCAGTTCTATCCTGGCAGCCCCGCTTCCCAGCCAGCTCCCTGCCTGTGGCCCGGGAAGGCAGTCGAGGACGGGCCAAGGCTTTGGGACCCTGCACCCGTGTGGGAGACCCAGAAGAGGCTCCTGGCTTCGGATTGGCACAGCATCAGCCGTTGCACTCACTTGGGGAGTGAATCATCAGACGGAAGATCTTCCTCTCTGTCTCTCCTCTCTGTATATCTGCCTTTCCAATAAAAATTAAAAAAAAAAAAAAAAAGAACTCGAGACCTGATAATCTGGCTTAATTCTGAAGTCTCATTGTTCTTGCTATGAAAATCTTTTATACATAATTTTAAACTAACTTTAAGTGTTATAATTCATGTACAAAAGTAGATACTGCTCTATGAATATTAATTGGAAAAACAGGACAACTTGAGAGATCAAAATAAAATTTTTGTATGAAAAGATCCAAACTACAGATGAATGACGGGAAAGAAATGTTACAACACTTTTAAAACCAAAATGACATGAGTAACTCTCAAAATAACATTCACAATTTAAAAAAGAATCATGAAACTAGGAAAGAGAATACCATCCAGAATTGGGAGAAAGCTTGAGAAACCCTGGGGCTCACTGTATATACTCCGCATCTTGACTTCAGTTACAGTTTCACACATATATAGGTTTCCTTCTTTTTTAAAGATTATTTATTTTTATGGGAAAGGCAGATTTACAGAAAGAAGAAGAGACAGGAACATCTTCTGTCTGTTAGTCTACACCCAAAGTAACCACAATGACCAGAGCTGGGCCCATCTGAAGCCAGGAGCTTCTTCCAGTCTCCGACACTGGTTTGGGTCATCCTTTCCTGCTTTCCCATTCCACAGGCAGGGAGCTGAATAGGAAGTGAAGTATCCGGGAAACGAACCGATGCCCATATGGGATTCCAGCACATGCAAAGCAAGGATTAAGCCACTGAGCCATCATGCTAGGCCCAGATGTATAAGTTTTCAAGCTTAAAGTTTCAGACTTTAAATATATGTACTTTAGTATTTTTCAGTTATATCCTAGTAAAGCTGTTACAGAGCAAAATAAATTTTAAAATTTAAGTACTAACATTCACAATTGTATAATTTGTACCATGACTACTGTATTTCATTACTTGAAAGACATAAACTGTTCTCTGGGAAATGTAGTACAGTGAGACTGCTTCCACCTAACTAGCATCATACACTATGTAATCTTTCAGTTAGCACACAGTTCCTGAGGTTCAGCCAAGTTGTAGCACCTATCATCAGTTCATTTATTTTTCAAAAAATAGCTTTAAGGATTTATATAAAACATATTTCACAAAATTTACTCATATAAAGCACACACTTTGAATGTAGTAGATAATTAGTGGTTCATTAATTTTCACTGCTAAATAAAATTCTGTTTTATAAATATACTACATTTTGTACATCTGTTCATCAGTTGCAAACATTTGGGTTATTATTGTTATTCCTATAAAAGCATTTTTCATTCAAGCATTATGAGCTTGCAGTATATATTTATAATTGTTCGTGACGAATGGACCCTTTAATCATTATGACATGTCACTCTATCTTAATTAATATTTTTTGTCTTAAAGTTTATTTTATCTAAGAGTAATATAATCACTCGATGCCATTATAGTTTCTGTTTGCTTAGGAAAAGAAGCTTCAAAAAGTTCATGGAGGAACTAGCACTGTGGAATAGCAAGTAAAGCTGCTGCTGCCAGCATCCCACATGGGCACTGGTTGAAGTTTTGGCTATTCCACTTCCAATCTAACTCCTTGTTAATTTCCTGAGTCAGCAATGGAAGATGGCCCAAGCGCTTGGGCCCTTATACACATATAGGAGATCTTGAAGAAGCTCCTGGCTCCTGGCTTTGACCCACCTCTGGCCTTTGTGGCCATTTGGGAAGTGAACCAGTAGATGGAAGATCTCTCTCTATATATAACATTTTCAGGTAAATGAATCTTCTAAAATAAAGATTTCTTTTTATTGGAAAGTCAGATTTACAGAGTGAAAGAGAGACAGAAAGATCTTCTATCCACTGGTTTACTCCTTAAGTGACTGCAACAGCCGGAGATGAGCTGATCCAAAGCCAGGAGCCTGGAGCTTCTTCTGGGTCTCCCATGTGGGTGAGGGCCCAAAGACTATGGGCCATCTTCTACTGCTTTCCCAGGCCATCAGCAGGGAGCTGGATGAAAACTGGAACAGCCAGGACATGAACCGGTACCCATATGGGATCCCGGCACATGTAAAGCAAGAATCTAGCCACTAGACTATTGTACTAGGTCCAAAAATATATTTTTAATTGCATTGTCAGATGCCAGCACAATAGCTTAACTGGTTAATCCTTAACCTACAAGTGTTGGCATCCCATATAAGTGCTGGTTCAAGTCCAGACCACTCCACTTCTGATCCAGTTCCCTTGGTGATATCCTAGGAAAGCAGTGGAGGATGGCCTTAATCCTTGGAACCATGTCCCTGTACCCATGTAGGGGACTGGAAGAGGTTCCTGATTCCTAGCTTTGGATCATTTCAGCTCCGGCCATGGCAGCCATTTGGAGAGTGAACCAGTGGCAATAGTATCTTTCTGTCTCTCCTTCTCTCTGTAAATCTACCTTTCCAACAAAAATCAATAAATCTTTTTAAAATTGCATTTGTATTGAACATGCACAGACTTTTTAAAAAATCATTATCTTGCAACAATGTAAGAACTATTTACATACCATTCACATTACATTAGGTATTACAAATCATTTAGAAACAGCTGAATAGGAAATATATGTTATCTTAAGTGAGAACATCTTTTGAAAGGCAAAGTTAAAGAGAGATAGAGATAGAGATGGTAAGCCTGCTGGTTTACTCCCCAAATGGCCACAATGGCTGGGACTGTGCCAAGCTGAAACCAGCATCCTGAATCTTCTCCCAGGTCTTCCACATGGGTGCTAGGGGCACAGGCTCTTTGCATTGCCTTCCTGGGTGCATGGGCGGAGAGTTGGATTGGAAGTGGGGCATCTGGACCTCAAACCAAAGTCATTCTGGGATGCTGGCATCACAGGTGAGGACTTAACTTGCATGCCATAATGCTTGCCCCAATATGTCCTCTTCTATAAAATATTGAGCATCCAATCATTTTATACACAGGTTGTACTAACACTAATCCCTCATGGAAACAGAATGTGTGTGTGTGTGTGTGTGTGTGTGTGTGTGTGTGTGTGTGTGTGTGTGTATTCAAGCAAAGGCAGTTTCTTAAAATAAAGTGAGATTTTGAAAACATAACCACAGAAACATTACTTTATCATTATTAGGATTAGGTATTTTCTAACAATAGCATCGTGAAAGACCATCACTATCTGCACACCAAACAGGAAATTCTTGCTATACAAGAATCCTTTGAATCAGAATCACACTTACAGGAATTTCTCCTAAAAGAAATACTGTAACAGAATCATAAACCTTATACTTATGAAAACTCCTAGGGATCTATAATACTGGGAAAACACTAAAATGAAGATTTTTTAAAACACCTAACAATACAGACTTGGGTAGTGGCAGGCATGGTGGTACGGCAGGTAGAACTGCCACCTACATTGCTGGTGTCCCATATGAGCACCGATTCAAGTCCCAGCTGTTCTACCTCTGACTGAACTCCCTGTCACTGTGCCTAGGAAAGCAGCAGCAGATGGCTCAAGCCCTTGGGCCCCTGCACCCATGTGGGAGACAAGAATGAAGCTCCTGGCTCCTGACTCCCGGCTTCAACCCAGCCCTGGCCATTGCAGCTAGCCATCTAGGACGAACCTATGGATGGAATCAATCTCTTTTTCTCTCTCTGCCTCTGCTTTTCCTTCTTTGTAACTCTGCCTTTCAAAGAAATTAATATTTCAAAATCAAAAAGATGTTAAACTAAGATAAAATGATGGAATATGTAGCCTTTAAATACTTATCAATACTTTGTAGATAGATGGGAAAAATGCAGACTGTGACATATGGCACAGACTAAAATACAAACCAAATACAAAGTAAGTTAAGTGTGGAAAACTATAAATATATTACTAGCTATTAATTAAAGACATATGTTAAGGGAAGATTTCCTACACTTAAAAGCAATGAAAGATATATGTATATATAAAGATACATTTACCAAAAATAAAAAACTTGTAAAATAAACCATGTCTTCTGTATAAAAACACACCATCACCGAAAAACAGAGGAAATACATGAATACATGTAGTTAGGTACTGTATATCACAGCACTCCTCAATCTAAAGAAAAAGACACCAACTATTTCTGATAGGCAAGTGTTTGAACTAGCAGTTCATAAAAGACATGCCTGTGGACAACAAATGTAAGAAGGTACATTTAGCCTTGTTTATAAATTAAAGAAATATAGATTTAAACATTAATGATATCCTGAGATACATGTTAGTTCTATTTTGTGCATTTGTGATTTTTTGTTTTCTACCCCACTTTTAATTCTTATTTTGCAAAATTTCCACCCACTCTTCTAATTATCTACTGAAAAAACAGGTGTGTTAAGGATGTAAGTAAACGCTCACATATCGGATAAATTAGGATTTTTCCTTACCTTTTCATAAACTGTACTGTCTAGGTAAGGGTGAACATGAAAAGCTCCCCGGATTCTCTTCACACCTGGATACAGCAGCGGCACCATGTTAACATAAGCCACACCATGAAATGAAGGCTGACTCTCATCCTCAATCTAAAGGAATAAAACCAGAACACTGTTAGTGCAATAAAGCAATACAATGTAAGATACAGAGCTCACGGAGCCATTTTGTTAAGCCCCATTTTGTATCCTGGCAACATCACTTCCAATCCAGCTCCTGTTAACGCAAAGCGATAGTAAGTTCTTGTACCCATGTGGGAGACCTGGATCAAACTCCTGGTTCCTGGCTTCAGTCTGGCCCAGCACTGGTTGTTGCAGCTATGTGGGATGTGGAAGAGTGGATAAGACGTGTCTCTTTCTTTTTTTGTCTCTCCCTCTCTGACTTGGTCACTCTGCCTTTAAATGGATAAACTAATATACATATATATATTTATATAAATATATAACATATATTTAAACTATATATATACATATATATATTTATTTATGGAGCTCTGACTCAGGAATTCAAAAGACTGAGTCTTAGGAACTAATTCAACTTGGGGTAGATATTTTGGGCTTTGGTTTGTCTTTAAAACAAACTAAATAAATAATTCTATGATCAATGAGATAATGCATATACACAACATTAATGAACAGTAAGTGGAGTAACTGCATCAATACACACTCAAATCAACTGATAATAGATATAATCAGCCAAAATGTCAATTTGGGGGGAAAGAGAAGTTTTAGAAAGGAAAAAAAAAACCACTGTTAATAAAAACTTTCAGTCTAGCTTTTCACTTAAGTCCTCCTCAGCTGGAGGGCTTTGGCATGCTTTGCTGAGTGTTTGGCTGTATTTATCTGGGTGTAGGACAGAAGAATTCTTTCTGCCACGGACAAAGAAGGACAAGGGACAGTCTCCTACCAAGTATTTTCCACACCTGATTACATCTGGACTAGAATGCAAAGACAAAAAAACATGCACATCATTTTCAATAATTGTATTCTTTTGCCAAAGAAAATTTTTACATGAAAAAAACCCAGATTTGCAAAACAAAATACAGACAATCCAAGTTTAAAATTTTTAAATTTTGCTAAATTGATTACAATAATAATTAGAAACCTCATTTAAAGGTCTTGGGTTCATGTGATAACATTAGGTACTTTGGAAATCTAAAGAAAGTTAACCAACATAAATTATACGATACAAAGGGAGAAATGGTTATGGTGATAACATTTTTGTTAAACAAACAAAAAAATCCATCTAAAATCAGTCAATCTCGATACCCGCTACACGCCATGCTTGATGCTAGGTACCATGAGGATGCAAAGAAGGCTATCAGCTGACCCTTCCTCTCAGAGAGCTTATAAAACAAGTGGAAAATAGTTGACAGGTAGGTAAGACAACAAGAAACATGTTCTAGGCAAATCAAAGCTGTATAAACTGTACTGTCAAACACCTATGAACTGTATTAATGTATTATTGCTGTGGTAATACTGTATTAATTATCAGCATAAAACATTTTAAGTATGTAAGTCTAAAAGAAATTCAGGGGCCTGGCATGATAGCCTAGCGGCTAATGTCCTTGCCTTACACATGCCAGGATCCCATATGGGTGCTGGTTCATATTTCAGTGGCCCATTTCCCATCCAGCTCCCTGCTTGTGGCCTGGGAGGACAGTCAAGGACGGCCCAAAGCCTTGGAACCCTGAGCCTGAGTGGGACACCCAGAGGAGGCTCTTGGCTCCTGGTTTCTGATGGGCTCAGCTTCAGCCATTACAGCCCCTTGGGGAGTGAATCATTGGACAGATCTTCCTATCTGTCTCTCTTCCTCTCTGTATATCTGACTTTCCAATAAAATAAATAGATCTTAAAAAAAAAGAAATTCAGAAAAGTGAATTTCACTGAACCATATCACTAGGATTTGGTTACTGTTTACCTATGGCCAAGCTATAAGGTGATGAAAGGAAATTGGATCTCTGGGAATAAAACCTGATGAGTCATGAGTGAATAGTAAGAAACAAGGTTGGGCAATTCTCCCCATTTTCCCAGGATGGATGAGGTCTGTTGGACGAGAGCTTCTGGGTTCATGGCAGGAAAGGGAGAAGGAGATGGCAGGTTGAGTCTGGTCTAACATCTCTGACACAAATGCACGTGAGACAATGTCCTTACCTTCTCTGACTTGCCAGCCTTCCCTTTAGGCGCAGCAACCAGAGGCACTCTTGTGATCTCTACAGGCCAAAGCCGACAATCTCCAATTCGTTTCTGGAAACTGTAAAAACAAGAATCAACGTAGTGGCATGCGATGCAAACATGGGATCACATAATTTAGATGAAAACAAAAATCCCTCTCTTTTGGAAAGTCATGGAATAGTCAGGCTTATAAAAAATGTTAATGAAGTCAGTGTGTTTTAAACATTTTCAAATCTATAAAATTATTTTTCTAGAGTTCACACATAAATTCATTCAACAACAAGAAGAAAAACAAAAAGCATAGAAGTCAAATACAAGCCAGGGTGTCATGCGGTCCAGTTTCTGTGTTCTGGGTTGAAGTGCATGGAAATCCTAACCCCAGCACTCCAGACACGACTTTATTTGGAAGTCGGGTCACTGCAGACAGAAAAAGATGACAGCACGGCAGAGGAAGATGTTCCTTCCTGAAGAGGACTGCGGTCCTCATCAAAGGGGCAGGTGTGAGCACAGTCCTGCACACAGGCAACGCCCTCTGAATGAGAAGATGGCCCCTGACCAGCTCAGAGGGCCTGCGAGGCAGCAGTCTCCAGAACAGGGAAATATCATAAATGAAGGTAAATATAAAAGTGATCCTTTTTTTTAAGCTTTATGACTTATTTGAAAGGTAAAGTTATAAAGAGACAGAGACAGGGCCTGGCGCAGTACCCTAGTGGCTAAAGTTCTCACCTTACATGCAGTATCCCACATGGGTGCTGGTTCATGTCCTAGCTGCTCCACTTCCTTTCCAGGTTCCTACTTGTTACCTGTGAAAGCAGTAGGGGACAGCACAGGGCCTACAGACCCTGCCCCTGTGTAGGAGGCCCAGAAGAAGCTCCTGGCTCCTGGTTTTGGATTAGCTCAACTCCAGTTGTTGCAACCACTTAGGGAGTAAGCCAGTAGATGTAAGATCTTTCTTTCTGTCTCACTTTTTCTCTATAAATCTGTCTTTCCAATAAATGATAAATAAATCTTAAAAAGAGACAGAGAAATTTTCCATCTTCTTCACTTTTAAAATGGCTGTGATGGCATAGTAGGTGCAGCTAAGCCAGACAGAAGCCAGGCGCCTGGAACTCTACCCAGATCTCCCACCTGACTGGCAGGTGCCCAAACACTCAGGCCATCATTGGCTGCTTTTTCAGGGATGTTAGTAGGATGCTAGCTCAGAAGCAGAGCAGATGGAGCTCAAACCAGCATCTGATAAGGGAAGCCAGTGTCAGCAGCCTAACTTGTTGCATTACAGCTATGACTCCTGTTTTATTCTGAATGGGTCTGGTGGGTAACTGCTCCAAATATCAGCAATAGTTTATCCTCAGTTAAATATTAGCAAGTAAAATCCAACAGAATAGAAGTATGCATTATGGTATGGTGGGTTAACTGGCTGCTGGAGCACCCCACTACCCACCCATGCTAGAAGTCTGCGATGGAGCTCTGCCACTGCTTTCAATCCAGCTTCCTGCTGATGTCCACCATGGCAGCTGCAGATGATAGCTCAGGAGCTTGGGTCCCTGCCGCCCACCTGGGAGATCTCATTAGATCCGTGATGCCTGGCTGTGGCCTGGCCCAGCCACAGCTTCCAAATGTTGTAAGCATTTGGAGAGTAAAGTAGAAGATTGAAGATTCCTTTTTTCTTAAGATTTATTTTTACTGGAAAGGTAGATTTGCAGAGAAAAGCAGAGCCAGAGAGAGAGAGAAAAAGAGAGAGAGAGAGAGAGAGAGAGAGAGAGAGAGAATTAGAAAAAGAGAGAGAGAGAGAGATCTTCCATTCACTGGTTTGCTGCTCAGACAGCTCTGATGGCCAGTCCTGAGCTGATCAGACGCCAGCAGCCAGGAGCTTCTTCCCAGCTCTAGTGTGGCTGCAGGGTCCCAAGCACTTGGGCCATCCTCTGCTGCTCTCCCAGGCCGCAGGCAGGCAGCTGGATGGGAAGTGGAGTATTTAACACAAACCAACGCCCAGCTGGGATGCTAGAACTAGAAGGTGGAGGATCAGTCTCTTGAACTACAGCACCACTCCCAATTAAGATTTCTGTCTCTCTGTTGCTCTTTCAATTAAACATACACTTAAGGTTTTTTTTTTTATTTAACAATCCAGAAATATACAAAAAGAATTATTAGAAGTAGATTAAAATTAAAATGTTTGACCAATTTTTACATAAATATACAATTATTAGAGAAAAAAAGCCAGCTGATCAGTTCTGTTAGGTCAGAGTTACTCCTTCAGATTGTACACGTTGTCTGTAATGCTCTGTCTCTCTCCTCTCCCTAATCACCAGGTCACTGTGACAGAAACTGACAGTAGTCACCTACGTCATAACAAGTGCCTTGTTCTTTAGTAAATCCTGCTTTACTCTGAGTGACAATGTGTGCACGTAAAACAGTTTATTCTCTAGGCTTCCTGGTATCTATGCAAACAGAGTCAATGAAACAGAAAGAGGGATTGTGAGGCTCCTGGAAGGTTCCACGGGAGAAGTTAAGACAGCCAGCATGTAGCCGTTTAAAACCATAACCAACTCCTCTTTCAACCTCCTGCCAGGAATGTAAATGCACAGGCTGGAGTTCTAGAAGTCATATGAAACAACCTGTGGATGGAGGGCACATGATAAAGAAGGTAGACTACAAAGAAAAAAGGGCCTGGGACCGGTGGCGTGGCCTAGCAGCTAAAGTCCTCGCCCTGAAAGCACCGGGATCCCATATGGGCGCCGGTTCTAATCCCAGCTGCTCCACTTCCCATCCAGCTCCCTGCTTGTGGCCTGGGAAAGCAGTCGAAGATGGCCCAAAGCTTTGGGACCCTGCACCCACATGGGAGACCAGGAAGAGGTTCCTGGTTCCCAACGATGGATCGGCATAGCATCATCCATTGCGCACACATCCATTGCGCACACTTGGGGAATGAATCATCGGACGAAAGATCTTCCTCTCTGTCTCTCCTCTCTGTATATCTGACTTTGTAATAAAAATAAATAAATAAATATTTAAAAATCCCAAAAAACAAAGAAAGAAGGGCCTGGACACCTGATAACACTGTGGTACCACAATACTCACGGGCACTTTTTTAATATAGGAAAGACTTAGTTTGGTTAGGATTCCAGCAGTAGATGCCTCTGTTATGAGCAGATGAACACAAAACTGATACAGATATGGTTAAAACAAATAAAGTCAAAATTACCTTAATTTAAATGTAAATTTCCCTACCTCCCTACCTATGTTCACCATTTGTCAAATTTTTTCCTTTCCTACCTGACCACTGCAGAAGGATCCAGGTAGCAGCGACTTTCCAGGTCCCAGATAATCCTTTTCTTCAGGCATTCTGCTTGGTTTCTAAATTCCCTGTCCTGTAAAATAACAAAGTAGAGACTTCTGCTTTCTGTGTGTGACTTAGTTTCATCCTGCTCAATCTTTGGGGTACTGTTTAAAGATTTATTCATTTATTTTATTTGAAGAGAGACAGAGCTCTTCCATCCACTGGCTCACTCACTGAGTAGTCAAAACAGTGAGGTTTGGGACAGCCAGGAGCCAGGGACTCCATCCTGCTCTCCCAGTGGGCATGGGAGCCCAAGTACTTAGGCAGTCTTGCACTGCCCTTCCAGGCAGACCAGCAGGGACATACACTTGAACCAGCACTCTGACATGGGACGCCAAAGTTGCTGTGCCAAAACACTCTCCCGGGGGCATCCTTTTAATAAATTTGAACACAATATTTTCATTACTATACTACTGTAAGGATGATTATTATTGCATTTGCTAATATTGTTCTAAAAGTACAGGTACTTTATTAATAAAATCTATAAGCTACTTATGTAATCCCCAAACCAATCTGATGCTAAATACCAAATATTCATTTCACATAACCTCAATCAGTGACTCTCAACCTTAGATGAATATAAAAAGATCTAGGGACCCTGAAAAAAAATCAATATCTGAGAATTATTATTACTTTTTTATTTTTTAAAGATTTATTTTATTTTTATTGGAAAGGCAGATATACAGAGAGGAGAGACAGAGAGGAAGATCTTCCATCTGATGACTCACTCCCCAGGCAGCCACAACAGCTGGAGCTGAGCCAATCCGAAGGCAGGAGCCTCTTCTGGGTCTCCCATGTGGGTGGGCCGTCCTCGACTGCTTTCCCAGGCCACAGGCAGGGAGCTGGATAGGAAGCAGGGGCTGCCGGGATTAAAACCATAGGATCCCGGGCATGCAAGGCAAGGACCTTAACCATCACGCTGGGCCCAAATTAGTATTATTTTAAAAGCAAATACTTCATCATCAAGGTTTTGGTTTTTTTGTTTTAAAAATCATCACTTACTAAATTATTCTAATGTGCAATCACAGTTTAGGACTAGTGACTAAAACTAAAAATATAAAATATACATATATGAAATAGAATATATAAAATAAAATCTTTCATATAAATTAACACATAAATCTAAAGTAAGCAAGAATTGTCATCAATTATCATGAGAAAAGATAATACAGAATGTTATCCAAATACTGCTAACATTATCTCTACTCTTTAAAATATTCAAGTCAGATAATAAAAAGAATTCCACTATCCTTGCTTATAAACATTCCACTAATGAATACCAGCTAGTCCTAGAAACATTTACAAACTTATATCATTTTATATGTACTTAGCAAACATGTGCTGATACAATAGGTCTAAAAGGGAAGATCAATTTCAAAAACCAAAATATTCACCAATAGGAGACTGGCTAATTAAATTAGCAAATGTCCATACAGTGTCACAACATGTAGCAAGTACATGAAGAAAGGAATGCTCTTCACAAAGCATCATGAGAAAATCTCTAAGATTTACTATAAAGTTAAATAAAACAAGTTGCATAACAGTTTGTATAAACAGACATACCTTTCATTTGGGTAAAAATGTTACAGAAAGAAAAAAAAAATGTTACAGAAAGAACATTGTGTGTGTGTGTGTGTGCGCATAATACATATTCCCTTTTCCCCAACATGATTAAAAATTTCACAAGCCAAGCTTTTTTAAAAAGCAAAAACACTATATCCCCCAAGATAAAACAAAAATAGCAGCGCCTTCCAGATAAGTTCTAGTTACAAAAATAACAAGATTTTGAATAGTTCAAGTAAATCTGAACTCCCCAAAGAAAAAACAATTTTACTCCTGATGTCTGGGCTGATGTGCGGAGATAGACGCTTTTAAATCTGAGAAATAAACTTTTAAAAATTGCAATTTTCTCAACAGGAATAGACTAATGCAATTGTGGTAACCCTTGTTAATGTTCTTTTTTCTTATAAGTACTTGCTTTTTGTTTGATGAGCCAGTCAACTTCAAGTCTTGACTCCCTTTTGCTCTCTGCAAGAAAACTATTTTTTTGCTTCTTTCAAGATGCTTCTGTCTTAACCAAATATATTTCTTTTTAAATTTCTTTGTTTTTTTTTTTAAGTAGGTAGGACAGGCATTTGATCTATCACTTAAGATGCCCATGTACCGGGTTGGAAAGCCTAGGTTCAATGCCTGGCTCCAGCCCCTCACCCCAACTCCCTGCTGACGCAGACCCCAGAAAGCAGTGGCACTTGACCAAGTGATTGAGTTCTCAGTTTCCTGCTCTGGCTGCGGCCCAGCCGCAGACATTGTAGGCATTTGGGGAGTGAACTAATGGATGGAAGCTGTGTCTGTCTGGGCCCCTCTGTTTCAACCAAATAAATAAATGATTTTTTAAAAATGGATCTGAAAAGAAACAAAGGTTACTATTAGGAGAATAAAATGCGAAGAATTTAGGAATTAGAAACAGAAAAACTCACTGCATATATATATATATATATATATATATATATATATATATTTTACTTTGAACTGTGATGGTAGTATTACATAGGGAAAAATAAATTTAAAATAGATTTAAATCATTTTGTTTGCTGGAGTTCAAAAAGACATTTTCATCAGAATTAGATGCATAAGTGTTTTCTTTTGACTTATAATTGCTTCATTATTTTGACAGATATATATAAATCACAATGATTCACAAAAGGTTTATCATCTGTCAGTGCACTGAGTTTATCATAAAACCTCCACAATTTAGGTTCTCTCACCTCAGGGTGGTTGAGTTCTCCTTCTTCCTCCTCATAGGGACCACCAACAATGAACGCATCCGGAATATTATTAGCCCCTGGAGCCAAAATATTGGCAATAGGCCATTTTTTGGGCCGAGGAACAGGTTCTTTTTCCCCTCCAAGCTTCAGAATTCCATTCTTGAATAAAATAGGATAATCTTTCTACATAAATAAATAACATATATTAGAAAAAGTGTATATATTTTGAAATAAAAAGATTACTGAAGTGTTATTAGTGGGATGCTTGGTATTTTTAAGTTATTTTTATCTGAAAGGCAGATTTACAGAGAGAGGCAGAAAAAGAGAGAGAATCTTGCATTAGGTGGTTCACCTCCCAGATGGATACAATGGCAGGAGCTGAGCCCATCGGAAGCCAGGAGCCAAGAGCTTCATCTCGGTCTCCCATGTGGGTACAGGGCTCAAAGACTTGGGCCTTCCTCTTCTGCCTTCCCAATTCATAAGCAGGGAACTGGATCAGAGTGGAGTAGATGGGGCATGAACCACTGTCCATATGGGATGCTAGCACTACAGGCGGAAGATTACTGTGCTATACCACCGTGCCAACTCATTGAATGCTTGGTGTTGTCAAACACACAGGCTGCCTACTCATGGTCTGGTAAAAGCTGCAGAAGATGACCAAGCACATGGACGATCACATGGGTGACCCAGATGAAGCTCCCGGCTCCTGATTACAGTCTGGCTCGTTCTGGCCACTGTGGCCATCTACAGAGTAAATCAGCAGATGGAAGATACTTCTTTCTCCCTCTCTCTTTGTAACTCTGATCTTCAAAAAAAAAATAAATCGAAAAAGAAAGAAAAATGGCAAAGAGCACAAAATGAAAAAACTAAGAAAACTTCTATAATAAAGTACTGTACAAATTCAGTTCTATATGCACAGAAATAATCAATGAAACCAAACTGAAAACTTGACAACTTGAAATGTCATATATTTTCTACCTTAAGTGTGCATTAATAGAAATTACATGTAATAAATACTATGTACATAATAAACATGGTATAGATATATATTAGTAGAGCAACACTTTGCATGAATTCTTGGTAGGTGAGGAAGAGATGATTGTATGAATGCAAACATGCCTGAATCCAGATAACCATGTGAAAGCAGAACGTTACCTCTCCAAGGGATGGCACTTGCAGACCAACCATGTAGTTCTGCAGGGGCCCTAGGGGAATGAAGGACTCGGGTACGGAGTAGGCGGCCTCCAGGGTGACCTTCAGAAGGTTGCCCCCTAAGACCTGAGCTGTGGTCAGCAAGGGCTCCGCCACAAACACCTTAACTGCCAGACTGCACTGCTGGAAGAGAAAAGGAAGCAGCATATTGAAAACTGCCAGATGCCCTCTTTTTTCCACACCATCTCATTTGTATTTCGAGTCATTCCTGAAGACACATAATCCATACAGAGGACAAAAGTAACTTTCTCCAAGGTCTGTGAGTTGGAGTGAGAGTCCACAAAGAATTTTCTTCACTAGAGACCCTCCCATTCCATGATACTGAGGTAAAGTATGCATACAAATACATATGGAAGAGGAATTAGAAGGTTCTAATGCAAAAATATCAATGGCAGCTGCACAGGGGGTAAGCGAGACTAACTACTTTCATAGTTATTGCATATTTTATGATTCTTTTGGTGACTTAAACATGGTACTTTGTCAGAAAATATTGTTTCAAATATGTTTATAGCTGTATGTTTAGACATTTTTATATATCTGTATTTGTGTAGCTCTGACATTTTACACAGGATGTATACAAAAGAGGTTTCAGACGTATGTTGACTGCTAATTACATGCAAATTACTGTAGCTCTAGGCATATACAGATGAAGATGACATGCTTTCTTTCACCTTGAAATTCATGTTCTAGTTCCATGATTAATGACAAACACTGTAATAGAGATTTGTACAAAAAGGAAGTAATAAGTTGTCAGGTTGCAGAGAAGTAAAAAATGGTGACATCTGAGTCGACTTTCACAAAAGTGGAGAAATTAGCAAACTGGAGAAGCAGAAGGAAAGAGAAAATAATATTGCATAAAAGGGGGGACTGAAATAGTATGGGGTCTGTGTTGTGGTGCAATAGCCTAAGCTACTGCCTGCAGCACCAGCATCCCACATCACAGCACAATCCAGTTCTGGTGGCCCTCCACCTCTGATGCAGGTTCCCACTCATGCACGGGGGAAAGCCAAGTGTATGGGCCCCTGCCACCTGCATGGCAGTCCTAGATGGTGCTCTGAGATCCTGGCTCCAACCTGGATGATGTGCTCATTCAAGGAGTGAAATGACAGATGGAAGCTATCTCTCCCTCTCTCTTTCTCTCTGTATTTCTCCTCTCTCTTTTCTCTCAGTCATCTTTCAAATAAATAAATAAGTAAAATATTTTAAAAAACAAAATAGCATATTCAGTTCAGGTATATATGGGTAAATAGTTTAGAATTCTAGAACATGAAAAGAAAGAAGAGTAGTGCAGAGAGATGAGGTTGAAGAAGTGGATGGCTCCCCATTACAAAGGAGGCTAAGGAATTTGGTCCTTAACATGTAAGCAGTGAATAAATCCACAAACCACACCATACTAAGTAGAGGAACAGGTATGGTAAGTTTCACATTTAAATCACAGACAATCAGTGGGCGGGCTCAACTGGAAGAGGAGGCTTCATCAATGATCCAGCAGAGGGTCAACACTCGGGAGTGGTGGGTTAAGCCACTGCCTGTGATGCCAGCATCCCATATGGGTACTAGTTTGAGTTCCGGAGACTCCAGCACCAATTCAGCTCCCTGTTAATGCACCTGGGAAAGCAGCAGAAGATAGTTCAAGTGCTTGGGCCCCTCTAATCATGTGGGAGACCTGGATGAAACTCCTGTCTGTTTCAGCCTGGCCCAGCTCCAGCTGTTTCCAGTCTGTTGGGGAGTCATCAGTGGATAGAGCTATCTGTCCCTTTCTCTATCTCTACCTTTCAAATAAACATAAAAAAAAAACTACGATTTTAAAAAGCTAAGTAGGTCTGAGGAAAGATTCTGAGTTCAGTTTGGAAATAATGAGTTTTAAGTGCTAGTGGGGTATTGCTACATATAAATCCATAAGGCAGCTGTAAAATCTGAAATTCAGGAGAGAGGGCTCTCATCTGAAAGTGTTGAATTAGAAGTCTTCAACTCAGGCAGGCTACCATGCCTGTAAGTGTGTTAGACACTTTCATGGACTATTTAATCCACCAGCACACAGTTCAGAAGACATTCCCATGGTTAAAGCAAAGGAACCTATGCCTGCAATAAGCCCAGATGTCCCCCACACCACCAACATTTTATCACACCAGGTTATAATCCATGGTATGTATATTTTAAGTTCTCTAAGTGTGGGACTCAGCCTTACTTAACTCCCCAGAATCCAGCACTAAATGTATTATAAAAAGATCCCGAGTAAACAAGCTTCAGTTGAGTTTAACCTTAACAGTAGACAGACTTGTTGGAATAAATGGTAGACTGAAATGCTGAGGGTGAAAACTCTGATTACCTTAACACCTGGTCGAAGATTTTCTAAGGGTGAGCCCAGAACCGGGTGCAACGGAACCTTCAGTTCAAACGAACTCTCTCCTGCAGAGCAAACAACAAGAGAAGCAAAGGAAGACAAAGACAAACGTGTTCATTGTCACCTCGAGTCCTTCAAATTCAAGGCTGATTTTTCTGGATCTAAACTATATCCTTCTCCTTGGTATTTCTGTTTTGGGCAAATCACATATCTAACCTTCTAGCAAAGGAAGAAGATCCACCACCGCTTGGCCAAGAACCAAGGTCTTCTCATCTTTCTGCTTCTTTTCCTTTGGCAAAACTTCATTCATGGTTACTAGAAAAGTCAAAACAATGACAATGGACAGTCCTAACTCATCCATTAGATAATCAAGGTGCAGCATGCGCTGCACTGACAAAGAAATTTAAGAAAAATGAACTTTAAACCAGAAAAGGTACCAGCACAATGAATTGTGGTGGAACATATTAAACCACCAAGCCAGTAAATTTTAAGAAAAACTGGACTCTATGTCATAATCACACGTATGCACATATGTGATAAATGTGATTATATAACAGATTCATAGTAAGAATAATCTTCACTAGCTTAAAACCCTTAGGTATTTTCTATTCTATCCAATATAGAATCGAAATTACTGATATATTTGATATAGAAAAAAATTACTGGTGATGATTTTCCTCAATTCTAGGAATGACTGAAGAATCAGAATCTTGAGTTTGGAGACACTGCTCTGGATCTTTGTTGTTTAGCAGTCCTTGGAGTGCCCCTCAGACAATCCAGACATACAACAGGTTTCTCACAATAGCATTATTGTTTATGCTTAACGCTTGTTAAAAATTTTCTTTAAATATAGAAAAAAGTAAAACCGTGTAATGAATACTCATAAAACTACCACCTATATTCAACAATTGTTAACCACGCTGTTATAATTATTAAGGATACCTATATTTAAAATCTGTTTCTGCTTTTGCTTTTCATTTTTTCCTAATCTTGGTAATGGTAATAGAGACATAAAGAGGAGATGCCACCAGCTCAGGGCAGGGGATAAAGGCTGCGTGCTCAGTCATATATCAAAAGGTCTTTGACAAAAACAGGTAAAATTAGCATGTAACGATGACTCTGCCAGGAGCAGGTAGGAGCAAGGACATTGCACTATGCCTATGGAATGGAGGTGAACTCTGGGTGGGTACCCACCCCAACATCATCTACTATACACCCCAGAAGCCCCTCCTGACAGGTCCTCTAACCTGTTGAGAAACACAGGTACTTACAGAACACAGGTTTGTGGGCGATGTCATCTAAAGTGATTCCCCCTTCAGGATTAAACTCAAAACTGCTGGTGAAATTGTATTTTGCAGTTCCTTCTGGAGAAACGGTTATTTTGGCAGAGTCCCCCAGAACCACCTGATTGAATTCCGCACGAATAAAGGTAACTGGAGTTTCTCCTTTAAAGCCTTTCTGTTGGCAGAGATGTAGCACATCACAATCAGAGTTGGAATTTTCCTGCACAACTGGGGATCTATCTTGATTTGAGCTAAATAAAAAGCGTTACCCACTTGTTCACATCATACATACGAAATGGGCAAATAGATGCCATAAGCCGGAGGTGTGAAAAAGGAACGTGCAATACGTTTTACCCGATAATAACAACATGTGCTGGAACATTCAAACAACTGAGAAAATCATACATTTTGAAACAAAGTGGAGCTCATTAATTTCATCTGCTTCCAGAATGAGCTTTTTAGAGCCCCATAATACTGAACACTTTGCCATCTAATTATTCTCCTAACTTGGAAGCTACACTACATGACTATTTTTATCAGTTAAATTCATCTAATGAAATTAACCACAGGAGAAACTGGTAATTCACATCCTTCTCAGAAGAAAGGGAGAAAAGAAAATTACATATGAGCTGTTGCTGTCCAGGAAAACTAAATCCTCTTCTTCACTGGTTACACTTGGCACTCAAATTTCTAGGTATTTCAGACACACAGTAATGTGACTGATTGTGGGCCAACAACACGATACGGAGGATGGAAGTTGATAACCCATTCCTCCCACTGATGCCTCCAGACCAGGGGCTTTGAAGACTACCCAAAGCAACGTTACCACATCATATCCATCGGCCACGGTGATCTGCACCAGTCTGCCTGTGGCTGGCACCTGCTCCATATCAGCAACTGGGCAAAGTCCTTCTGGTTTTCCTTGGTCTCTGTTAAGACAATGAATCTGATTCCTCATGTACCAAAGGCACAAAAACCCGCACATTATACCACAAATAACCAGCCCCAGGACAGAGCCTAGGAAACTCCAGGCCCAGGATTTTTTTTTAACCCTTTTCCAACCTCAGCTGCTGGATACACAGTGTTCTCGCAATCTACTTAGAAGGATAATTCCATGGGATAGTGCTAAGAAGATTCTTATACATGCAATTAACCCACTAAGCACAAAATTACTGCAAGACAGAGAGAAGGAACACCATCACACCAGCCTCACATACTTCACAAATGTTTTTTGGTGACAAATTTTTTAAATCTCCAAAGCTCCTTTATAATACTATTTAATGTCTGTTTTACAAAAATGTTTTCTGAAAGCAATTAGGATGGCAGTCCTTTAGAAAACAAGCCCTGACAGACTTTTTTTAAACTAAAGGTTTATTTTCCTTGGAAAGGTAGATCAGATTTACAGAGAGAAGGGACAGAAAGATCTTCCATCGGCTGGTTTACTCCCCAAATGGCCACAATGGTCAGAGCTGAGCCGATCCAAAGCCAGGAGCCAGAAGCCTCCTCTGGGTCCCCCACATGGGTGCAGGGTCCCAAGGCTCTGGGCCATCCTCTAATGCTTTTTCAGGCCATAAGCAGGCAGTTGGATTGTATGTAAAGTAGCTGGAACACAACCTGGAGACCATATGGGATCCTGGCCCTCGCAAAGTTAAGGATTTAGTCATTGAGCCATCGCCCTGGGCCCATGACAAATTTTTTTTTTTAATTTGTTTATTTGAAAATCACAATTACAGAGAGAGGAGAGATGGAAATCTTCCACCTGCTGGTTCACTCCCCAGATGGCTGCAATGGTGGGGCTGGGCTAGACCAAAACAAGGAGTCAGGAGCTTCTTCTGGATCTCCCACTTGAGTACAGGGGCCCAAGCATGTGGGCTATGCTCTATGGCTTGTCCAGGCTCACCAGCAGGAAGCAGGACCAGATGTGGAGCAGCCAGCACATGAAACAGTACTCATACTAGACGGCAGCACTGCAGGCAAAGGCTTAACAGGTGTGCTACGCCGCAGCTCAGACCCGGGATATGTTAGACAGATGTACTGCCTAATTACAACACTAAAGACACAGAATTTCAAAACTGTGTTTGTGTTTTTTCAAAAGGTTCTGTTTTCTGACTCAATTCAATGTAAAATTTGGTTATACAACTCAAACATTTAATGAGACCATGCTATACATTACACTCCACAGCCTTCTGATTTTATTTATTCTGCCTCTTAGCAGGTACTCTGCCATTTCTGTCACCTCAAACCTCCAGCTCACTTGTTCAAAATCATATCCTGGGCTTCATCAGAACCTACATGGTGCTGCAAGCTTCCTTGTCAAGTGTACATCTGAAGTGCCCTTTTGCTGTCATCCTCTCTCTCTTTTAACCATTATTGCACAAATTAGGCCTTTGCTACCCTTCTGCTGTACTCTAACAAATGCCTTCTGTCCTGCCAACTCCAGTTTCTTAATTCTAATCCACTCTACTTCTATCACAATTGTTCCTTGCAAGCTGGTGCTGTGACACAATGAGCTAAACATCTGCCTATGGCACTGATAACCCACATGGGCACCACTTCTGGGAGGTGACCTGGAGCTAATACAACAGACAAAAGGGAATCATGGCAAAAGGGAGAGTGCAAAAGGCTGTGGGGAAGAGAGTGCTGGGAGGCAAGCCAAGCAGCTCAGTGGGCTTAGAGTACAGAGTGGGAACAGAGAGGAGAGGAGACTGGAAGGAGAAGCTGGTAAATGCTGTAACAACGTACAAAGTTCACTAACGTTCCATTCAACATCCTCAGAAACTTGAACAGCCTTGCCCCATCACCCGACCCGAGCTCCTACCTAGTCGTTATTTAAGATTTCAACACCTAGTCGATGTGACACGTCAGCATTAGTTCTTCCTCTTGCAATTCCTCCTCCTTCCCCCGCAAACCCATCCTGACAAGAGGAACGCTACTGACCCACTTCAAATGCCTCCTTGTCTAGGAGGTTTCCCGGTCAGGAGCACGTAACGCCTCACCTTCGAACGCCAGCAACACTTTATATTTCTGTGGTCTTTTACCAAAAGCTGTCTTATTTACAGTATTTGGGAGTTCAAAACTCCGTCGGAGGGCTGCCGGGCAGAACCCCAAAGATGCTCACGCTGGCCTCAGGGTGACAAGCCCCGCGCTGACAGGAGAGCCAGAGGCGGGCTGAGGGGCCTTCGGTGGGACCTGGTCCCCCGCCTGGTGTCGGGGTGTCGGGGTGTCGGGGTGTCGGGGTGTCGGGGTGACGGGGTGCGGTGGGGCCGCGGGGCTGAGGTGGGGGAGGCCAGGAAGACCGGAGTTTTTGAGGAGGGATAAACTGTCTTACCCACGGCGGCCGCAGTTAAGTTTTTCGTATCTATGGCAACTCACGGACTCTCGCGAGAACTTACTCTCCACAGTCACCGCGAGCTTGAGGCGAGACTCGCCAGCGCCCTGGAAACGGCGCGAGAGCCGCCGCCCCAACGCTGGGGGCAGCTGCTCTCCCTGAAGTCCGTTTTCCTGCGGTTCGATTGTGAATTTACTCGTATTTGTGTGAATTCCTCCATGATCAGGAGGAGAAAAGACCAACTAGAAAATGTATGTATAGAAAAGAGCCTTTAATAAAACCCCTTTGATAAAGGAATTTAAAGAATAATTAAGCGAAAAATGACAACGTGACAGTGTATTTTTAAGGGCCTCACAATGTTGGTTATCCAAAGTCAGGAACTTCTTCCAGTTCTCCCACGTGGGTGCAGGGACCCAAGGACCCAAGGACCCCAGGACCTGAGCCATCCTCTACTCCTCTCCCAGGCCACAAGCAGGGAGCTGGATGGGAAGTGGAACAGCCTGACACAGTGCAAGGATTTAGCGACTAGGCTATTCAGTCAGGCCCTCAGGAAACACTTTTGAGTCAATGTTAACCCAAAGTGTTAATCCACTCAAAACAGAACATTCAAGCGTTGGAATAGCAATATGCTATTGATGATATAATTTGGGAATTCCTCCCCATGGACCAAGGGATAACAGTGAACAGTGTGACCTGGGAAGTGTGGTTAACACCATCAGCCTTTTGGAGAGCACTGTGGGGTAGCTCCCACTCAGACACTCTGGGGACAGCAAACATCCTAGACAATACCAGCCCTGTGTTCCTACACCGTCAGACACAAAAGCCAGTAAACTGTTCCAGGTTCAAGGAGATTAAAGATAGATGACATCTAAATGCAATGTGGATTCCACTGTAGCTTTGGGAACCAGAGGACACTGCTGGGTTGCCACACTGTTAACAGGTTCTGTGCACTGGGTGGCAGTAAGATTTGCTACTATGGAAGGCTGTTTGATGTTATTTAGGTGATTGTCCATTTTAGGGCAAACACTGCAGTGTTTAGAATAAGGCGTCATGTCTGGATCATCTTCTCCAATTGCACAGAATGATGGCCCCTTTGAGTAAGGCATCTCGGTTCTTCTCTCCAAGTAAGGGTTAGGGGTGAATTTGTACTAAGCCCCACCACTTTGTATGACAATGCTTTTCCTGCATCGCCAGGCAGGTTAGAGTGAAGTCACGCACAGAGAACTGTTCCAGAAATTACTCGTGCTGTTGCTCTACTTAGTATTCGCTTTGAAACCTTAAGGTGGTGCTACTTCCTACTAACTACTCCCTACTAGGCTCTGAGGTGACTGAAAGCAAGAACTGTCTATTAACAGTTGTTCTGTGTCCCTGGGGTGTAGAAGGCCTGATTTTTAATTCAGTAGCAGCTTTGACACACTCCCAACAATAGCCAACCTATGGACTTCATAGGATTTTGGAAGGCAGAGTTTTGTGCAAAATCTTTTAAGATTTATAATTTTTTTCTTTATTTATGTAAAACCATGGGACCAGATTGAACCAGTTCCCATATAATGAAAGCTGTCTTCTGTGGGATCTTTGCTGATCATATTTAATGTGACTGGTTTTCTACAATGCAGTTTTATAAATTAGCAAAATTAATATTTTGAAGATTTTTATACATACTATACACATATGCCAGTTTAAAGTAATACATCATGGTTGTGTAATCAAAATGGCAGCTGACACCTACATGTAATTTGGAGAAAATAACAGAAAAATAAGAGACTTGAGGCCATAAAGCAATGGCATTAAAAGTCTTTATTATATAACAAGGCAGCAATCACATCAAGCCCTTCATAAGTAGGAATAGCTCATAAAGAGCAACAGAGTTCTGAAAAGAACTCAGAAGAGAAGATAGAAGTTTACCTAAAGATTCAAGGTCACTTTTCAGAGTGAGCATTTGGCACAGCAATGAGGACAGAACTTGGACGCCTGCATCCTGCACTGGAGGGCTTGGTTCAAGTCTGTGTGTCCAATGCAGATTCCTGCTCCTGTGTACCCTGGCAGGCAGCTCAGAGTGGGGCTGGACACACACAGGAGATTCAGAGTCCTAGCAGTCGGGGATATCTGGGGAGTAAACCAATGGATGGAAGACCTGTCTGGCTGTATGACTTTCAGATGAAGTGGAAATACATTTAAAACTTAAAAAAAATTTTTTTTTATTAGAAAGGCAGAGTGACAGAGCAAAGAGAGAAATCCTCCATCCCCTGGCTCACTCTCTAAATGGCTGCAATAGCTGGAGCCAATCCAAAGCCAGGAGCTTCCTCTGGGCCTGTTACACAGGGGAAGGGTCCCAGGACCTGAGCCTTGCTCCACTGCTTTGCCAAGCTACAAGAGGGAGCCGGATTGGGAAGTGGAGCAGCCAGGATACTAACCGACACCCATATGGGATACCGGCATTACAGGCAAAAGATTATCTTGCTATGCCACCACCAAGAGGTAATTATTTCTCCCCTTTGACATTTAACACATAAGATGGTTGTTGCTTCTCCCATGTCCTGTGGAATCTATATGGAGTATAGAAATAACCAGATGCCCACCCAGATTTTTAAGATTAGGGTTGATAAAGAGGGAGGAGACAACAAGATTCTTATTCAGCTCCTGAAAGCCAGTTAAGAGCACTTGGGTAACCAAATAATATACATAACACTTTATACTGGAATCTCATTCGTTTAGAATGCTGTTGCCTGCACAGCTCACACAGTACCACACAGTGTTCACTGGGGGGTTACTACCACACCCCAGGAAATCACAATAAAGTCAGCTTCGGGATTGAACACCAGAGTCACAAGGACACCAGCAAGGGTCTGTAATCTCCAAATAGCTTACGGTCTGCTCAAGTTTCAGATGAACTGCTCCTGTTTATCTGGGCAAACTTCACACTGCTTTAAAATTTTTTAACTTTTAAATAAAGTACAACATAGACCTAGGTTCATATGTTTAAAAAAATGATAGATAACCAGTCATCATAGGCTGGAAGCTGTTACGGGCACTTCATTCCCCTCCCACTGCTGAACTGGCAATCATGTTTTCAAACCCAGCCGGCTGGAGTCCAGATCAGTGTTTCTTTTTAACAGCGCCTTTTCCTTGTGTTTTGCACTAACAAGGTAAAGGTGATGAGCAACCTTTGTAAAAATTACTCAATTATTTAACAAGGGATTATATTGCTGTGATTTTATTCATTTTAACACCTTAACTGTAGTGACAGCAGCAAGAATCAAGACTTAACGTTACAAAAATTCTATTCCATGTTATGGCTTATGATGATTATACATAAAGGAAACAACATTCAAATTAAGGCAATGCCATGTGCACATCAAGCACACCATCCCACCGCAGTCCTGGGTGAAAAGCTCTTTTGGTTAGGTGACAGCAGGTATTGCTCCATGCAGCTCTGTCCTGGTTTTGTCCCGCCTACTGGCCAACAATGGCCAGAAGCAACTTCCGGTAATCTCCACTCGTGTCACCAGCAATCGCAGTGCCCAGAGTCTTTTGATACATCTGCGTGAACATCTGTTTTATCTGTACAAGATCGATCTGTGTGAGGAATGACATTTCTGATGTTAGACAAAAATGTTCAAAGGTAACTGGCATGTATTACAATTATTTTTTAAATAATGATGAGGGGCTGGTGCAGTGGCAGAGTGAGTCAGGCCACTACCTCTAATGCCAACATGCCATAGGAGGGCTAGTTTAAGTCCTGGCTGCTCTAACTCCTGTCTGATCCAGCTGCTTGCCAATGTGACCGGGAGAGCAGTGGAAGATGACCCAAATACTTGGGTCTTGCCTCCCACATGGGAGGCTCAAATGGAGCTTCAGGTTTCTGGCTTCAGCGTGGCCCAGGCCCAGTCCTTGAGGGCATGTGGAGACTGAACCAATGATGGGAGAGCTATCTCTGTCCCTCCGGCTCTCTCGCATCTTCTTTGCTGTTCAAAATGAATAAATCTTTAAATAATAATGATAGTATGTTAAAGGGAGGACAAAAGCAATAATCAGTGACTGACATTTGATAGGGAGCAGGTACACCCTCAGGGAAGAGGCGGCTCACTGCTCTGTGAAATCGCAGAGAAAGCTGGTAATGTTTTGTCTATTACCCGTCAAAATACTAATCACTTCAAAAACTGATAGGACGTAGATCAAAAACAAAGAACACACAAAATGTTGGTGAGGATGTCAAGAGATGGGAACACAGGTACGCTGCTTGTGGGGACGTAAAACAGTGCACTGACTTCTGAAAACAACACAAACCAGAATAGGACACAGAATTTCAGGATGATCTAATAAGCCTTTCATTCAATTTTACGCAGTGCAAACTGAACGACAAGAGTCGTCTCCTCTTGCACTAGTGCTTTCCACAGTCCCTCTCCAGGGAGGAGCACCTCCAGGCGTGGTCTCTGTGTGTCGCTGCTGCGGCAGAGGGCGCTCTCCTTAACATCATTCCTCAAGGGCAGACAGCCTGCTGAGGGCAGTTTAAGAAATCTACATCCAGAAGCAAGCAGCCAAAAAGAGCAGGCCTCTCCTCACCTCACTCCGGGTGACCACGATCCTGACGAGGGTGGAGTCGTCGGTGCCGGCCCCTTTCATGGCGTGGTACAGCCTCTCAGCGAAGAAGGCGGGCCGGTTCTGCGCGCACTTCACTGCAAGGCAGGGATGCTGCAGTTACCCCGGGCCGCTTTGACTGCTGCCAGCCTGTGTCTGATTGTCTTCAGAATGCTCCTCAGAAAACTGAGGTTTGCTGCAAATAGCCTCCCGCTAGTCTCGACTGTCTCACTGTCTTTCCAGCTGCATCAGACAGGCAGCCTTCTACTCCAGATTTTGGGGGGGAGGGGGGAAGGAGGGAAGGGGTAACAAATCTTACCTGCTCCATTGATGCAGTGAGCAAGAGTCTTTGTTTTACCACTTACAGTGTGAAAAGCCATGGCCACAGCGCTCACCAATATCTTATTAAGGACGAAATCCTGAATTCTAGAAGTCAAGACTATTTTATGGGGCCGGGCGCAACTGCGTAGCGCTTAAGGTCCTCTCCTTGAAAGTGCCAGGATCCCAGATGGGTGCAGGGTCTAATCCCAGCAGCTCCACTTCCCTTCCAGCTCCCTGCGCATTGGCCTGGGAAAGCAGTCAAAGACGGCCTAAAGCTTTGGGACCCTGCACCCGTGTAGGAAACCCAGAGGAATTTCCTGGCTCCTGGCTCCAGATTGGCACAGCACCGGCCGCTGCACTCACTTGGGAAGATCTTCCTCTCTGTCTCTCCTCCTCTCTATGTATTTGCTTTTCCAACAAAAATAAATAAATCTTTTTAAAAAATGATGCTCAGAGGTTTGAGAGGTTTTTCTCTTTGGAAAAATTTACCTAGTAAAATCTCCTGCAGAAGGTTAAGCACTTCAAACAGTTCATGAAAGTCTGAATTAAAAGACAAGTTAATGGCATATCTGATGTAGCAATTAAGGTGCCAGCTGGGATGCTAGTAACCAAGCTGGAGTGCTGGGGTTCGAGTCCTAGCTGCACTCACAGTGCCTGGTTCTTACTAACAGCAGTTGGATCTCTACCATCCATGTGGGAGATGTGGATTTAGTTCATGCCTCTTGGCTAGCTCTGTGGGCCTGTAGATAGTGAACCAGTGGATGAGAGTTCTTTCTCAAGAGAGAAAAGCATGAAAAAAAAAAAAAGGAATAAAAAGTAATTTATTTTACTACAAAAAAAAAGTGTTGAAAGCCACGCATAGCTTTTTCATGACATGTATTTCCATGAACTTTCTGCAGACTCCTCACGTGCATGGATTTCAAAATCTTTTGGAGCAGAATGAGATTACCTTTTCATTTCATTTGTCCACAAACTTTCTGAAGTACCCTAATATTTGTAAAACCTGCCACTGGTATGAATGTGTTACTTTCATCCTACATGATTCAAGAGAATGAAAGTGTTTCTCTTTATGATTCATGGGAATGAAATTTCTGTTCTGCTAGACTTCTAACAGACCACCAAAAACTGATTAGTTAATTGCAAAAGAGTAAGGGGTTTCACTGCATTGAGTACTAAAAAAGTGTGTTTTGCAGAAACTCAAAATTGTGTTTTCTAGAGTCACTAGCAGTTCCTTAGGACTTTTTCATTCTCCGTACAAGAAATGCTATAGTCTATAATCTTGCGTAATCCTCAAAAAAGGCGTGTAAATGAACAACAACTAATCCTGAAACAAACCTATTCGATTACATTAACCATTTGTAGGAAACTATACATAAAAATATAGAATGAGCTCAGCTTCTGCCCAAAAACATACTTGGGAAGCTTTCAAAGCCCCCATTCACTTATAAACAAAATTGAGCAAAAAACTCAAGTGTCTTACAGATGGTCTTCAAGCCACTTTCAATGTATCCAGAAAATTCACTGCCCACGCTCGCTAACAAATCTCGATTAGCCATCTGCAAACAAAAATCACAGGGTTAAATATGTTCGTGTCTTATAACAGAAGACAAGTCTTACAAAGAAAAGCTCCTACCCTGGCATAAGCCTCCATGGTGGCATTGAGCTGAGGAAAGCTTCTCGTGGCGAGGACCATGTTAAAGCAGGATTCGTCTGTCCCTAGCTTCCCCTCCCCAGCTTGATAGAGCCGCTGTGCATCCTCCTGAGCCATCTGGTAATTTACAGTCTGGTTCTCATCTCGATTGCCCTGAGAAAGAGAAAGGCAGCAAACAGGATAGAATTCAAGTTATTACCAATTTCTCCCCCAGCCTCAAGGGATGGGGGCCCCTAAAGAGGCCCATATTTCACCCTGGAGTATCTGGGGTACCCAGCACCAGTTTTGGCCACAGCTTTAGCTTCCCAGTAAGGCAGACACTGAGAGGCGCACAGCTTCTGTCATCCATGTCGTAGACCTGGATTAAGTTCCCAGTTCCTGGCTTTGGCCCAGCCAAGTCTCTGGCTGCAGTAGGCAACTGGGAAAAGAACCAGCAAACAGGATATATTTGTCTGTGTCCCTGTCTCGCTCTGCCTCCCCTCCTCAATCCCAAGAGAGACACATGAGCTTTTATAGAAGCCATAAATAACTAAGTTTTGCTGCACTGTGCCAATTTGTATACTGACCTCTTCCCTGGGGTTGGAGAAAGGGAATGATCAGCAGTGTAAGATTACACTGATATTTGGTTTCTCTCAAAAATAGAAACAGGAACCTATACACACAAAAGGCTTCCCCTCTGGAGTCTTGGAACCCAAAGAACAAATACAAACATGTTCCCTTGGGGTCTGCATGATGGTTAAACTGGCTAATCCTCTGCACGCAAGCGTCAGCATCCCAAAAGGGTACTGGTTCATGTTCCAGGTGTTTCACTTGCCATCTGGTGCCTTGCTTGTGGCCTGGGAGAACAGCAGAGAATGGCTCGAGTCCTTGGGCCCCTGCACTCACATGGGAGACCTGGAAGAGGCTCTTGGCTTTCAATTTCAAGTCAGATCAGCTCTAGCCATTGTGACCATTTGGGGCCAGTGGATAGATCTCTGTCTCTCTTGTTTAACTGACTTTCAAGTAAAAAATAATTTTTTTTTTAAATTAGAAAGCCAGATATACAGAGAGAAGGAGAGACAGGGAAAAATCTTCCGTCCACTGGTTCACTCTCCAAATGGCCGCAATGGCTAGAGCTAAGCCGATCTGAAGCCAGGAGCCAGGAGCTTCTTCTGGGCCTCCCAACTGGGTGCAGGGTCCCAAGAATTTGGGCTATCTTCAACCGCTTTTCCAGGCCACAAGCAGGAAGCTAAATGGGAAGTGGGGCCACCTGGACATGAACTAGCACCCATATGGGATCCCAGTACATGAAAGACAAGGACTTTTGCCACTAGGCTTCCACTCTAGGCCCCCAAATTAATCTTTTAAAAAAATAACAAAGATGCTCCTTAAAGATGGAAAAGAGCATCTGGTGCACTGAATACATAAAGGAATACTGCCAATGGGTGACTACACACAGCACAACAGGCAAAGGTGCACAGGAAAATCTTCCTAGTCGATTACCTTGGGATTCACTCACATAATACATTCCATTTGCCTAGAAAACTATTTCTCTCTCAAAACCTGGTAATGGGCCCTGCCTGAATCCTACAAACAACCATCACTTTATATAAGCTTTTTTAAATGCTGTTCAAAAATTATTTATTTCTATTTGAAAGGCAGATTTACAGAGGACAGGGAGATCGTCCAGCCACTGGTTTACTGGTTTACTCACTAAATGGCTGCAATGGCAGCAGCTAGGCCAGTCCAAAGCTAGAAGCCTGGAACTTTTTCTGGGACTCCCACATGGGTACAGTGCCCCAGGCACTTGGGTCAGTCTTCACTGCTCTCCCAAGCACAACAGTAGGGAACTGGATCAGAATTAGAGCAGCCATGACCAGAACTGGAGCCCATAAGGGATGCTGGTGCTGCAGGTAAAGGATTAACCCACTACGCCACTGCTGCATGGGCACCAATGCCCTGCTCTCTTAACAGCATGTAGGCAAATTCAATATCCTTCAACCCATTTGATTTCTTTGCTCATTTCCACAGCCACTCACTTTAACACGTTTTATTTATGCCTCCTTCAGTTCTTAAGTATTCCTCTCTAGTTTGAAGTCTTTTGAGACAGTTCAACCTTGTGTATTAGCAGGACAGCCAATACTGAGTATTTCATCGATATGATATTCTTTTGCCTCATCTCCTTCAAAACTCCATTCTCTTCTTCCCAGCGTGTTTTCATATGGAGACATTTTCTATCATATCTCCAGTGCGTCTGGGAAATCAGATAAGGAAGGTGCTAATCACACTGTGAACTCTAGCACACTTTTCTGCATATCTGGCTCTCCTCACATAATTCTCACCTCCTCTAACACCTCTGTGACAGTTCAGAATATCTAGAGTTGATGGCCCAACATAACTGGCAGGACAGTGCTAAGCTTAAATGCACACTTTCATCGCCATCCCAGCCACACAACCTCAAGTTAGCTTCTAATTTGATACAACCTTAAAGAAGTTAATTTTGAATTTCTTATAAAATTCAGATCTGAAGAAATAAATTTTAAGAGTAACAACCAGGATACCCACACATTAAACTGTAGGATTCCTCTTAAAGATGACACTACTGAAGGCAGCGAAATATTAAGAGAATTCAAGAATGCTCACTGGCATTGGACAATTTGTTCTCTCCCATCAACACACAAACGTGCTGTACTCACCTGGCACATGGACACCAGCAAACGCTCAAAATGCCCTGATGTATCGGCTCTGATGTCCTTTTCAAGGTCTCGTCCAAACTCTGACTGATAACATCTGACAATTTCTTGGATTTCCTGATTTGTCCTTGTACACAGAATCTCAATCAGTACACGTTCCTGAGTGCCCGCTCCCTAAATGAAACAAAAAGGGAATTACTGAAAACAATAACTTAGAAAGTGAGAATCTTACTGCCCCACCCAGTACTTCTTGGTCCTCTGGGATGGAAAAGCTCAGTATTTTTGGATGATGGGAGATAAGGTGCTTATTCAATTACTTCTAGAAATTCAGAACAGTCATTATTGATGGGTCTTTACATTTCAAATAGGACAAAACACAATACCTTCATGGCATTCCGTAAACTCCAGGCATCATAATATGTAGGTGGCATGAACAAGGCAAGGATCAGTTCTTCCATATTTCCACTTAACTCTGACTTGAGATCTTTGATTAAATCCTGCTCAATTAAAAATGGAAGGTAAGTCATAGACATTCCAAATGTTGATATCTAAATCTTTGAAGGAAAAGATGGAAAATGATATAAAATTATTTTTATGAAAACCTCAATTTCTGAACACTATACACTAAAAAATTAGTCAATGTGTACATGTGGAGTTTGTTCAGTTCAAAGAGCCACTCTATTCACTCTATCAACAAACAAGAAATTGTTATTGTGGTTCTGCTGTACCAAGTACAAAGACAAGAAACACATGAAATAAACAAATTAACAAGCTGATACACAGATATTAACACAGCATAAGAAAACAGTTTTGATTCCATGAAGAATTACAAAATAGTCATTATCTTAATTGGAAAGATAAATATTAAAATAAGATAGTACAAGGCAAGCTGCAGCCCAACCCCAGATGAGCAGCACAAAAATAACAGCAAATCTGAGGTTGACTAGAGGGCTTTGGGAAAGCTGGTATTCCAGACCTCCTGAAAAGGTAAACAATAGCAGGCAAAGAGAAGTAGAAAGGCATGAGTCAAGAGCAGACACAGGATATCTACCCTGTGCATTAAAATCACCTACAGAATTAAAAGAGAGAAAAAGAGAGAAACAGAGAGAGAAACCCATGACTGAACCCAGAAATCCTGTTTTTTTCTTTCTTTTTTTTTTAAAATTCTAAAAGAGATTATGACCTGGGCCTGGTGCAGGAGCTTAGTGGTTAAAGTCCTTGCCTTGAATGTGCCAAGGTGAGGTGGGCCATACCAGACTGGGTAGAAGCACCCTACCAGCATACGTGAGAACCAGGGAGGGAGGGGGCAAAGCCGGTAGGGGGAATGTGGAGGGCTCCCCTGCTGGACAGCCACTCCCACTGGAGAATGTGAGCTGGATAAGGGCAGACCAGACCAGGCAGGGCTACAATACATGTGGGCCTCATGTGAGCTAGATCAGGGAAAAGTCAGGCTGGGCTGATTGTTCCTACAAGCATATGGTACAAGCATAAATTACAGTGGGTGAGGGTTAGTTGGGCTTTGCTGCAGCATCAGCTGTCAGAGGTTGACACTGGGGGCTAAATCTGTCAAGTTAAACTCCAGAACCACCTGGAGAATGGCAGCAATTCAGAACTGTTGAACTATCAAAACTGCATGAGCAGGACCCTCAGAGCGTGCTCCATGTCAGGGACCTGGGATTGGTGGGAGGCTGGGTGGGGCTTTTCCCTTTATCTCTTCCCTTACTCTGGATACAGAAAAAAATAATATTAATGTGGAAACAGTCTTACCCACTTTCCTGTAGCCCTTGAATCTTTGTGTCCTAATCAACTATGCAAAGATTATAAAAATAAAAAAATTTTTTTTAAACTGTAAAGTAAAAAAAAAAAAAAAAAAGAATATGGGGGCTGCTGTTACAACACAGTAGCTTTTAAACTACTGCCTGTGTCACAGCATCACATGTAAGTTTAGGTTTGAGTTCTGACTTCTCACGTCCCAAACCAGCTCCCTGCTAATGTGCTTGGGAATGTAGCTAAAGACGATCCAGGTGCTTGGGCCTCTGACACCCAAGTGGGCGTTTCTGGCTTCAGCCTGGCTCAGCCCTGTCAGTTGCAACCCCATCTGAGGTATGAACAAGCAGACTGAAGCTCTCTTTCTTCCTCTAATTCTGCCTTCAGATAAGTGAATATACCTTTTTTTTCTCGATGTGAAGAATGAAATAAAAAATGACTGCACAGCAGGCTATAAGAGTAATATTTTATAATAACAGGCCAGAAGAAGAAATGATTGGAAATTTAAAAAAAAGCAAGGCTGAATTCAGTTTTAATACAAAAGCAACATGTGAGAATATTCAAAGCAATGTAACACAAGCTAAACACAAAGAAAGAAACATATGACATGGAAAGTACCTTTGTGAGAGAAGTTGAATCTTAAGGAAAGGCAGGGTTTGTGTAACAATAACCTATCTTAAGACTAAAATAGCAGATCTGACCTAGATAGAGAAAGGCGGAGTGGAACAGACAAGGTGAGATGATCTTTTGGGCCACTATCCCCATCTTGGGAAAAGTAAGCCAGACTCAAAGGATGTTAGGAGAATTTCAGGACTGTTATTGCAATGACAAAGCAATCTATCTAGTTGTTGCTCTTATTTCTGAGGACTAATGGTACATTTAGCCACAGAATTTTGCTACATTATTTGTTAGCCAACCATTGCACAGTCACTAAGCAGCTCTTGTTCAGGAGAAATTGGTGCTGTAAATACAAAGAAGAAATTGGCATGGTTTGTCCTAGGTGAGCTCCCGGGGGTGCAACTGAGATGAGGGACAAGTAGAGGTTTCACAAAAGTGCTATTAGACCCAGAGGAAAAAGCAGTTAATAATTTTGCCCAGGGCAGCGAGAGAAGCGTCATAAGGGTAGCTGATATTAAGCCAAATGCTGAAGTTGTTTCATACAAAAAGAAAGAAAAACCGTGTTCTAAAAAAGAACATCATGAACAAAATGTGGAAGTAGAAAAGATCATGTTTTGTTTTGTTTTCAAGTTTTATTTATCTGAAAAGTAGAGTTACAGGGAGAAAGGGACAGACCAAGAATCTTCCATCTGCTACTTCACTTCCCACACGGCCACAGTGTCTGGGGCTACACCAGGCCCAAGCCAGGAGCTTCCAGTGTCCCTGGCAGGTGCTCTCCCAGACACTCTAGCTGGGAGTTGCGTTGGAATTGGAGCAGCCAGGTCTCAAAACAGTGCCCATAGAAGATGTTGGCATTGCGGGGAACAGTTTAATCTGGTGCACCACAGTGCCGGTTCCAGAAAAGATTATCATGTGTGCAGAGAAAGGGAAGTAGTTCATACAATCATTATACATAACCTGTTTACAGACAGGGAGAGGAGAAGACAGTACCAAAGACCAAGAGTAAGGATATGTAGTAAGACTTGAATACCATTATAAATAGGAAGCTGAGAATCAAGGTTGTGTAGTCATAATCTACTTGTTAACTGAGCATCTATCACATACTTGACATGGAAGTATAAGTATTGCAGAGTAAAAAGGTTTTCGACAGAAATAGTGAATTGATTCTTCCTAGGGTCTACCTAGTTGTCTTTCCCTTATACCACTAATAAAAACACTGCATCCAATCTGCTCTGATAAAACATCTACACAAGCCTGCTGGTACTCGCCCCCCAAAAGGAAAACAAAACATACCTTCCCATACATGGTTTTAAAAGCTGCTTTAATTTTTTGTCTCTGATCGTTGGACCGGTTGGCAACCACATCCACAATGGCCTGCTCGTCCGTCCCTGGAAGAACCACTCAGTGAGTAAGGACAGCCTGGGCTCAGTGTTCCTCAAGACAACCTGTCACAGTGCTCACACAGAAAGCACTGGGTGTCACATCCGACTAAGGCATGCACACCCAGGCTGCCACAGAGGCTGGGTTTACTTGAGAATCAGTCACTTCAGCGTATTAAAAAAAAAAAAAGACAAAAAACCCATTCTCCTTACCAAATCCCTTCATTGCTTTACGGAGAATTTCCGCATCTCTCATGGCATCGAAGTTAGCAGCTGGGTAAATTGTTCCTTGAGTGCCTTGAGTCATCGCAGCAGGCTGAGACCAAAACACATATAAGCAAAGTCAACGTTCCCTATTGACAACAAAGCAACTTGAAGACTGCCAGACGTCGTTCTTATGTGGCAAGGCCACTTCTTTGGGCTTCAGGTCAAGCATATGAGTATTTTGTTAACAGAGTGTATCCTAGAACAGACAGGAGAAACCTGCTGCTCTTCAGGGCCGACTAATTATCTCTTGCCAACTGACGGCCAGACACCCAGCTTTCAGGAGACAAGAAAGTCTCATGAAAAAAGAGTCACAATTTTATGCCTTTTTGGTAAAACAGAAAAGAAAAAAAAAAAGAGAGATTGATACCAAATAGTGTAACATAAATGATAATATCTGATTTAAAGAAAGAGTAGATAGCAATGGTTTTGGCAAAATCAGTTCGAGTGTCTAATGTTTTAAATGTTTTATTAATTGATACTTATTTTATTGATGATTATTTTCTTAGTTGTTCCTTTACTAATATCTTTTCATTTCCTATAAGGATCCTGATTATCAGACATGAAATACAGCATTTTACAAAATATAAAATGAAGGTGATGATCAGAGATTCAGAGAAGTACAATAGCCTTCTATTTTATAAGGGAACAAATTAAAAGTGAATTATGGACAGTATTTTTTTGCTGTTCATAAAATACAATATTTTAAAATATTTAAATAAAAATATGTAGGAATAAAATAACAATATGTAGGAATTTAACAATGACCATTTGGCAAATGCCACAGCAAAGTGTTTCAAGTAAGAACCATCCATGGATGCTAAAACTGTGGGGTAAAAGAATCCGGAAAACTATTCCTGAGCAGTTTCTAAATCACAGCAGAGGAAAGCTGCAGGTACCATCTCAGAGAAATGACCACAAACATCACGGATGGAATACATGGAGTAATTTTATAAGTGAATCCTGGGTAAGCATTTTTGTGGTATTCCTGCCAAAAAGGCATATCCTAAATTCTATATTTGGGAAACATCAACCCCAAATTACGGAACAGTATTCAAAAGGTGCACTTTGAATGTGTCAAGCTGGTGAACAACAGAGTGAGAAACTGTTTCAGAATAAAGCAGATTTAACAGACAAGACAATAAATATAATATTTTACCCAGGATTTGCTTCAGAGGCAGAAAAGGGAAATTAGAAAAAATGATGAAGAATAAAAAAGAAAAAGGTAGTAAACGTGTGCTAATACTACTTACTGATTTTGATTATTGCTTTCTATTCATGTAGAGATTGACATTTGTCGAATCTGAATAAAGAGTATACAGAAATTTGTGGTACTGTTTGTAGCTGTTAAATCTGGTATTATTTCAAAAATAAAAACTAAAAATCTTACAAGACAACTCAATGGTTTTTTTAAAATACTGAAGGCCAATTCAGGGCTTACAAAGGATGGAATGGGGCATGATGATTCCATACAAGTTTTTAAATATTTTTAATTATTGGGATGGGTACTGGGGCACAGCAGGCCCCACTTGGGACATTCACATCCCATGTCACAGAGTGCTGGTTTCAGTCATGGCTGTTCCACTTCCAAAACAGCTTCTTGCTAATGCACCTGTGTGGTAGCAAATGATGGCTAAAGCACTTGAATCCCTGCCACACACATAGGAGACCTGGCTTTTGAGCTTGGCCTGGTACAGCTACTGTGGTCATTTGGTAAGTGAACCAGCAAACAGAAGTTCTATGTCACTATGCCTTTCAAATAAATTTTTTTAAAAATTTAATTTAATTTTATATAACCCAGTGTCAGTTAGAGAACAAGAACATCTTTCAACAGACATTCAAAAAAAATTTTTTTATGGTCAGTGATTCTTCCCATTTACTTCTATTTTTACACTAACATTTAGTTCTACTAACAAGCCTAAGCATCCATCTTCTACTAGTTTCTAAGCCAACAATCTAAGCAGGGAATCAAGAAGAATTATTTTATTTCAAAGTAAGAGTTACAGGAAGAGAGAGCTCTTTCATCCACTGATTCACTTCCCATATAGACACAAGGGCTAGAGCTGGGCTGCTTCAAAGCTGGGAGCCAGGAATTTCTTTCGGGTCTCCCACATGAGTGCAGGGCCCAAGGCTTTGGGCCATTCTCTGCTGTATAAAACTGTTTTCAATACCTTAAGTCCTCAAGGAAGTGATGAGAGACAAACACATGAGAAATTGGAAACAAATAAAGACACATACAGGTGACCTAGTGGTCAGTGAACATTCGAAAACCTTACTCACATCACTGCTATAATCCAAAGAAACAGGAGAGAAAACAGGATAGGAAGAAAAGGACTCTGTAGTGATCTGAAAGAAGAGTGCAGAGTTACAAAGGTAAACATGGAAAACAAATCACTCTGCAGCAATCACTGCCAGAAATACCATCACCTAATCAGTCAAGTTGCTAGTGAAAAGTGCTTACTTGGAATAGAGAAGCGGCAAAAGAACTAAAACCAGTGCCAAGAGTACAGGTGAATCTCTAACAAATAGTTCCAAGCACCGTCACCTGTGAGAAGGACCTGTGACGTGTTGTGAATGCCATCAAGAGCAAGCCTAAGGCAGGTGCAGCAGAGTGCACAGGGTCTCAAGTTACACCGACCAACCGACCCTTTCTTCCACCTCATGCCCAGAGTGGGACCCTTGTCATTTTCCAGACTAAATTTAAAAGATGGGAGCCAAATTACCTGACCAGGGTAAGGAGATGGTCCTCCAGGATATTGAGATGGCACCTGTCCTCCCGGAAAGCCACCTGGATGTTAGAGAACATGTTACAAACAGATTTTACTGAATTTCTCACAACAGTGTTGACTAGTGTGAATAAATCTACGAGGATCTTCACATTGTGTTGTGGGTAATGATACTTAAACTTATGCATTTACTGATTCTAAAGCCAACACAGATCATCAGAACCTTTTTAATGTTCTATAATTAGATCTTAACAAATTGTACTCTTGTATTTGAACCAGACTGAGTTCTGATCCCATCTGGAAGGGTTGTCAGGAGATAGTTCTGGGGGTGGTATCATCTGTGGTACATGAGTGGGCAGAGAAGTTCCTGTACGTTTTGCTTTTTAGCTTTACAACAATTTTTTTCATTAAAAAATGGTCCTTATCTCCATCTTAAAAATTAAGTTTTTGTGCTGATGTATTTCAAGAAATCACATACTTAAAATTATTACTAGAGAAAAACCTGCAAATGATTACTGAAGACAATCCTAAATATAAACTAAATTCTCTCAGGAGCAATAGAAACATTCAAAATACCACATACTGCTTTTGTCTGGGTAGCTGTACCTACCAGGTAGTGGGACCTGGGCTGGGCCACCACCGTAGGACTGTGAAGGTGGCTGTGGATAGCCAGAAAAGCCTGCTCCACCTGGTGGGGCTCCAAATCCCTGGCCTGGAACAAGAGAAAGAATATCCAATAAAGTTGCAATTCTCATGATGGCTGAGAAACTTTAGAAAGCTGTCTACTGTTGATAGTGGAACCAGTCCCTGCTTTTTCTTACCAGTTCCTTTGTTTTTATAAAAAAAAAAAAATAGGGCCAGAACTGGGGCACAGGTATGTTGAATCACTGTTTATGATGATGGCATTCAATATCAGGGTGCCAGTTTGAGTCTCAGCTGCTCTGCTTCCAATCCAGCATCCTGCCAATGTACCCAGGGAAATGGAGGAAGATGGTCCAAATGCTTTGGCTTCTGCTGACCATGTGGAAGATCAGGAATGAAGAGGGCTGGTGCTTGTGACATGGTTTGTTATGCTAATGCCTTTATCCCATATGAAAGCCAGTTCAAGTCTTAGCTGCTCTACTTTTGCTGTGCCCCACTTCTTTTTTTTCCCCTTTTTTCTTTTTTTTTAAGTTTTATTTGTTTTAATTGTTATTAACATTGTATTATGTGATACAGTTTTATAGGCACTGGGATTCCCCCCACCCCTCCCACAACCCTCCCCCCATAGTGGATTCCTTCACCTTGCTGCATAACCACAGTTCAAGTTCAGTGGAGATTCCTTCATCGCAAGCATATACCTAGCATAAAGTCCAGCATCTTATTGTCCAGATGTGCCCCACTTCTGTAAGATGCCTTTCAAATAGATCTTTACAAAAATAAAAACCAGCAAATGGAAGATCTCCCCATCTCTATTTCTCTGCCTATCACTTCACCTTCCAAATAAATAAACCTTAAATTTTTTTTTCTAATAAATGGAGGGGCAGGCAACTCACTTAGCTAATAAGATGCCTGTGTCCTATTGTGGAGTGCCTGGATTGGATGCCTGTCTTTAGCTCCTGTTTCCAGCTTCCTGCTGATGCAGATCATGTGAGGCAGCAGCAGTAATAGTTCAAATGATTCAGTTTCTGCCATCTAAGAGGTAGACCTGGATTAACTGAGTTCTTCGCTTCTGGTTTAGCCAGCATATACCGGGCTGGTGTAGACATTTGGATATGAACTAGCAGACAGGAATACATGCTCTCTATCCTCAAATTTTAAAAATTACAAAAAATAAAAACATTAAAAACAAACTTCAGGGCCACCATTGTGGCACAGTAGGTAAAACTGGTGCCTATGAAATAGGCATTGCAAATGGACACCAGTTTGTGTCACATCTACTTCATTTCCAATACAGCTGCCTGCTGATGTCCTGGAAAATACAGGGGAATCTGCTCAAGTGGTTGGACTCCTGCCTTGAGACTCCACGTGGGAAACCTGGATGAAATTCCTAGCTTCAGCCTGGCCCAGCCCCAGCTGTTGCACCCACCTGGGGAGTAAACTAGAGGATGAAGGATCTCTGATTCTCTTGTCCTCTCTGAACCTGTGCCTTTTAAATAATTAAAGTTTAAAAATACATAAAAGGGGGATGGTGTGATAGCTCAATTGACTAATCCTCTGCTTGCAAGCACTAGCATCCCATATGTACACCAGTTCACATCCAAGCTGCTCTACTTCCTTTCCAGATCCCTGCTAATGGACTGGGAAAGCAATAGAGGATGGCCCAAAGTCTCCACAGGAGACCTGGAAGAAGCTTAGCTCCTGGCTTTGCTTCAGCTCAGCTCCAATCATTGTAGTCATTTGGGGAGTGACCCAGCAGATGGAAGATTTTTGTCTCTTCTCTCTAAAATCTGCCTTTCCGAAAAATTAGTAAATCTTAAAAAAAAATAGTAAGTAAATAAATAAAAAGAATTTACTTTATTCATGGTCCTTACTAACTTACAACACAAAAGTGCTAGCTTCTGCTATTCTGTCTTTTGGTGAGGATGGGGTGGCTAAGGCTGTCCTAAAGGTCACAGACATGCTAACTATAGCATCTTAATTGGTTTTGAAGATCACAAACTATCAAGCATAGTGTCATATGCCATTTTTTTATTACCAGTAAATTCATTCCAATTCTCTTCTCAGTGAAATTTCTGAGATTGCTCCTAGAATCCAGGCCTTGTGAAGCAGGTTTATCCCTCCACCTTGCCAGCTAGGGTCCTTACTGTCTAAGATTGGATAAGAGAATCCCCTGGCATCAAACAGAACAAACTGGAATAAAGAAGGAAGAGAGAAATTTAAGAACAGTGTGCTAAATTATTACTGAATCCCCATCCCATAACTCACCTCCAGGGTAGGACGGAGCTCCGCCAGGTTGTGGGGCACCAGGATAGCCTCCAGGGGCTGGATAACCACCAGGCGCTGGGTAGCCTCCAGCTCCGGGGTAGCCACCACTTGGTGCAGGTGGGTAGGCACCTCCTCCCATTGGAGGAAAGCCACTAGGATAAGGATATTGACCCGGAGGGGGGAAAGATGACTCCTGACCTGCAGGCTGGAAAAATCACAGTAATGTTCAAATGAATGTGATCATTGACAAGTGTGACCCAAAGAGAAATAGTACTCATCTTAAAAAAAAACAACAAAACAAAAAACCAAGTCACTGGCACTGTGGTGTAGAGGGTTATCAGCTACAATGCCAGCATGCATATGGATGCCAATTCATTCCCTGATTACTCCATCTCTGATCTAGCTCCCTGCTAATGTAGCTGAGAAAACAGCAGAAGATGGCCCAAGTGCCTGGGCCCCCACCTATATGGGGGAACCAGAAGAAGCTCATGGCTCCTGCCTTCAGCCTGACCTACCCATGGCTATTGTGGCCTGTGGGGACTGAACCACCCCATCCTGCTCTCTCTGTAACTCTTAAAGAAATGAAGGATATATGCATATTATCCTTAACTTGTATAGGTCCCTCCATCTATTCTCCTGGGATGCACAGCAGCCCTCCATTATAAGCATAAAACAAATGTCTAATTCTTACACATGCCTTGGCAAGGAGTTCCGTCTCCAGAGCATCAAAACTATCAATAATGGTGGTACTTAGCAAACTTGTAAAATGTACTCCAAACACTCAGTTTCATAATTACAAATCCAGGGGCCTCTGATCCATTGTAATTTGCTAGCACTGAGTCAAGTCCTTTATAATTTTAACCTTATAACACAAGGTTTAAAAATCAATAATTCATGGGGGAGATTTAACTTACATGTAAGTTTTAAATCAAACAACATGTAACATTTCTTTTGTTTTTTTTTTAATTTATTTTTACTAGGAGAATCAAGATGGCAGAATAGGGTAAGGATGAAGCAGAGAGGACACATTCCAGGAAATAGGAGAGGACAGAAGAGCAGAGGGGTACCTGGAGAGTGTCAGACAAAGGAAAGCAGCAAAAACAATGGTGTGGTGTTGCAGTGACTATTACTCCAGCGGCATTCAGCAAATGGCAATCTGAACTCCACTAGCAACCAGGTGGGAAGGGACTTTAGGAGCTTGGGAGGTGAATCCAGACAAAGAACCCTCCGTCCTGCTGGTCTGTTTGATTTGACCAGGAGCAGAGACTGAGTGGCAGATCACAGACGGGTAGTGCGAGAACAGGGTGGATTTCACAGCCCAGTCAGCCCCCTGGGGAGCCAAACTGGGTGCCATTTTGCCTAAGGAGGCAAAGGCAAGGGGAAGAACTGAGCATAAACTGAGCTCGGAGTGAACTTGTTTTTGATTCAGTTAATGGCAGCAACACAGCATTCTACAGGTTCCACCTAAGACAGGTCTGGGTGGCCCTCAAACGTGATGGCCAGCAGATCAAGAACTCTAGTAGGGGAATTTCTGGTGCCACTTTGTACACTGTGGCAAAAGTTTAGGACTGAAGGACAACGGTGAACTGCACATGTACTGAGCTCATGAGAACTCACTAAGTTCAGTGAATTGCACTGGTCCCACAGGAAAATAATACGGTATATGGCATCGTATGGGTCAAAATAGGCCCGTGTGGCACCCAGACCTAATGTGCAGCAGGTTCCGGCAAGATCAGCACCACCAACAACCTAGCTATATAGGACACCTGGTGTCTCCCTAATCCTGGGACATGCTCCAACTGGAAGAGGGAGAAAGGTTGTACAGACAACAGTGCAGCCTCAGCATGATATCACAGGAGGTGGAGACTGGTAAGCCAGGAGTTGGGGCTACAGAGGCCATGGTGGAAACCTAACATAAGAACCCAGACCTGGAAGTCGCTGGAGGGAGAGGCACAATTGGCTACAAGCAAAGAGTTGTGTACCAATGGAAATAAGTAAAATCGAATTGTAGACCTGTGGATGACAGAGCTTAGAAACCTGCCCCAAGCAGAAGAATCTGATAACTAGAAGTGCAATGACCAAGAGCAAAAGAAAAATCAGAGGCACAATGAATATTACTGAAAATTCTCCTGCAAAGCAGCAAAAACCTTATGCCAACCTCCGAGTTAACTCAGGAAGACATCGAGAAAATGGGGGATACAGAATTCAGAAAACTTATTATAAAGTTTCTGATCAAAAATGAGAAGCACATACGAGAGTTCAAAGAATTTAAGGAATATATTACACAAGAAAAATCAACAATAAAGCAAATCAAGGCTGATATATCAGAAATTAAGAACACAGTAGAGCAAATTAAAAGTACAATGGAGAGTGTCCAAAATAGAATGAAGTAAGCAGAAGGAAGAATCTCAGAATTGGAAGATATTTTCTGTCACCAGGGGGAAGCAAACAAAAAGCTGGAAGCAGAGCTGGATCAGGCAAAAAAAAAAAAAGTATTCAAGAATTGAAAGACAGTATTAAGAGGTCAAATATCAGAGTTATGGGAGTCCCAGAAGGTGCAGAAAGTGAGACTGGTTTTACAGATATATTTAATGAAGTAATAAGGGAAAATTTCCTTAATCTAGAGAAAGAATTGGGATATTACATCCAGGAGGGGCACAGAACTCCCAACAGGCTTGATCATAAGCGATCTTCACCAAGACACATGATCATCAAGCTCTCTTCAATCAAACATAAAAAAAAAGATCCTTAAATGTGCACATGAAAAAAATCAACTGATATAAAGGGATGCCAATTAAACTCACAAGAGACCTCTCACAGGAAACTCTATAGTTAAGAAGAGAATGGAGTGGCATATTTCAGATTCTAAAAGAAAAAAATTGTTGGTCCAGGATAACGTATCCAGCAAAGCTTTCTTTTGTCTTTGAAAATAAAATAAAATTCTTCCACAGTAAAGAAAAGTTAAAAGAATTTGCCTCTTCCAAACCTGCCCTACTAGTGATACTTCAAGATGTTCTCTTAACAGAGAGGAGGAATAGCACCCAACAAAACCAAAGGCAAATGAGAAGAACATCCCAGTCAAATGACAACAGAAGACTAAACCAATGAACAACCCATTCCTAAAACGACAGGACCAAATTACCACCCGTACATATTAACCCTGGAAGTAGTTCGCTTAAGCTTAATCAAACTTAGTCATAGATTGAGTGCACTGGATTAATAAACAAAACACATCTATTTGTTGTCTAGAAGAGACATATTTTACCAACAAAAATCAGCAGAAGCTATATCTCATGGATTTTGATGTTTTTGTTTTTGTTAGTTTCATCTCTTCAAATTAGTTTCTTGTGATTAAATTAAATGACTCAGATCATACAGTAGCATCATTTTCTTCAAGAGGGTTCTTGATTTTCTTTTTCATTTCTTCAGTGACACATTAATCTTTCAGTAACATGTTATTTAACTTCATGGTGTTGTTAATTTTTTTTCTTCCTGTTGTTGATCTTGTGTTGTGGCTTTTCATTTAAGGGGATTTATAATAGCTGTGCAATGAGGACTGTCACATCTAGTAACATGTTATTTAACTTCATGCATTATAAATTTCTATTTTCTACCTATTGTTGATTTTGTATTGTGACTTTTCATTTAAGGGGATGTATAGTAACTGTGAAATGGAGACTAATATATCCATATGTGAGGATACAATGTAGTATGCATTTCTACTTCCAGACAAAGATGGACTTAGAATGAAACTGTTTACTATATCTTGACAATAGGATGCTGGACTCTCTGCCAATGTCCATGCCCACAATGATGGACATATGACTGTGTATGAAGAACTATACTTTAGCAATGACATAGAAGAACTAGCTGGTGAGGGGAACTGGGGAGGGGTTAAGACAAATCCCAGGAGCCTATGGAACTGTATCCTAAGATGATAAATAATAATAACAATAAAACATTGTTCCTAAAAAAAAGAAGAAGAAAAAAAAAACAAAAGAAGTAAAGGTGACCTGCCACTACCCCTTCTCCGACTCTGTCCTCTCTGAACAGATCTGTATTCCTGTGGTTGTATGAGGTTCTTATTTAAATAAAGAAGCAACTTGTTTCTAAGTATTAAAAAAAAAAAAGATTTATTTTTACTGCAAAGTCAGATTAACAGAGAGAAGAGACAGAGAGGAAGATCTCCAATCCACTGGTTCATTTCCCAAGTGGCTGCAATGGCGGAGTTAAGCTGATCCAAAGCCAAGAGGCAGAAGCCTCCTCTTGGTTTCCCATGTGGGTACACGGTCCTAAGGCTTAGGGCTGTCCTCTACTGCTTTCCCAGGCCACAAGCAGGGAGCTGGATGGGAAGTAGAGCAGGCAGGATATGAACTGGAATCCATATGGGATCCCAGGACATGCAAGGCGAAGACTTTAGACACTAGGCTACCACACCGGGCCCAGCAAGTAACGTTTTTCACATATACATTTTTAAAACTTGATCAAAATCCAGGTTTCATGTAAAATCCAAGTGTCTTAAAACTGGTAATAACTGGGTCAAGCTCAATGGCTCAACTGACTAATCCTCTACCTTTGAGCACCAGGATCCCATATGGGCGCAGTTCATATCCCAGTTGCTCTACTTCCCTTCCTGTTCCCTGCTTGTACCTAGAAAGGCAGAGGAAAATGGGCCAAAGCCTTGGACCCTGCACCCACGTGGGAGACCTGGAAGAGGCTCCTGGCTCCTGGCTTCAGATTGGCTTAGTTCCAGCTGTTGCCGCTTGGGGAGTGAGCCAGTGGATGGAAGATCCTTGTTGTTTCTCTGTGTAAATCTGCCTAATAAAAATAAACAGATTTATTTTTGTTTTAAAAATTGCAATAATCAGCAACACATGCCTGCTTTCCTGCACAGTCATATCCACAATCAGCTAGAACTGAGCAGTCAGCAGATGAGGTAAGGGCTGTAAGTCCGTACACTGCATCTATCCTTACTCAGAACATCTGAGTTGCAACATGATTTTAAGATCCATCACAGACTAGTACTATGACAACTGTTCCAAGGACACGAATTGCTTGCAGTATGTAAGTGGCAATACTCACAGGATATCCAGGGAAAGGTGGGTAGCCACTGGGCGGATAGCTTGGGTATGACATTCTGTAACAACAATAAAGAAAAATGCCTCCTGTAATTTAAGAGTTAAGGCTTCTGAATACACATAGATGTACACAAAGGGTTTTATGTACAACACTCGTTCTTTCCAGAATCTAGCAGGCACTAAAATGTGGGTAATGGGATATAAACAAAGCTTATAAAATGTTCTTTGGTTCACCACTTGCACCAATAGAGTCAGTACAGCACACTAACGGTTCCAACTTGGTTTATGCATACTATGATTCTTACCACAACTGAATTTTTTGTATCTGAATTCCACCAATACTATTATTTAGGAACTATTCTAAAAGCCAAATAATTTCTAAAAATGTCAACAGTTTGGTTTATATCACTTCACAAGTGGGAGTAGATTTCTTGACACAAACGTAAGGTAACATTAAAATGAATGCATAGCTATGAAAAAAATGCAAGACCTCCCTTGTGGTGTAATGGGTTAAGCCAGCGTTTGCAAAGCTGGCAGTCCACATCAGAGCACTGTACTGTTCAAACTAAGTCCCTGCTAATGCACCTGGGAAGGCAGGGTAACCCAAGTAGGAGACCAGGATGGGGTTTCTGGCCTCTGCCTTTAGCCTGGCCCAAACCTGGTGTGGCACACACTTGGACAGTCAGCCAGCGGGAGGAAGATCTGTGTCTTTCCCTCTTTCTGGCACTTTGTCTTTCAGATGAATAAACACATCTTCTTTTGGAAAACAAAAATGTTTTCTAGGTTCCAGAGAAATCCCCCTGAATGGAGATAAAAAACTGGATGTGAGAAAACATTTAGCATAGTCATTAAGAGTTGATTTTATAGGGTGGCTGGCACTGTGGCTCAGAAGGCTAACCCTCTCTACTTGCAAGCCCAGCATTCCAAATGGGTATAGCCCATGCCCTGGCTACTCCACTTCCCTTCCAGCTCCTGCTTATGGGCTAGGAAAGCAGTGGAGGACGGCCCAGAGCCTTGGGACCTGCATCCACAAGGGAGACCCAGAAGAAACTACTGGCTCTTGGTATTTGGATCGGCTCGGCTCTGGCTGTTGTGGCCTTTAGGGGAGTGAAACAGTGGCAATAAGATCTTTCTGTCTCTTCTTCTCTGTTTCCCTCTATAATTTGTTTTCCAAATAAAATAGACCCTTAAAAAAAAGCTAATATTCCAGAGTCACACACATACACTAGGACTAAACCCTGGATTTTTAGAAATTTATAATTATGCAAAGCGAAATCTACTCAGTACTCTCATTCACTTTTTTGTTTTTAATTGGAAAGTCAGATATACAGAAAGGAGGGGAGACAGAGAGGAAGATTTTCAGTCCAATGATTCACTCCCCAAGTGGCCACAACAGCCAAAGATGAGCTGATTTGAAGCCAGGAGCCAGGAGCCTCTTCCAGGTCTCCCATCCGGGTGCAGGGTCCCAAGGCTCTGGATTATCTTAACTGCTTTCCCAGACCACAAGCAGGGAGCTGGATGGGAAGTGGAGCTGCTGGGATTAGAACCGGTGCCCATATGGGATCCAGGCACATTCAAGGCGAGGATCTTAGTCGCTAGGCTACGTGCCAGGCCTCCAAGGAACACTCTTAACATTGACTGTCTCTGGTGTTTGTGGCTGAGGAACAATTCCTGAAACTCCTGCTGTATTTCTTTCTTCATCTATTATCTGGTATTCTTGAGTAATTCCCCTTGTCAGATCCAGTTTTTCTCACAATACAGATTAAGAGCAGTATGATATTTGATTTTTCCCCTTTTAAAATTAGTTTTCAAGTAATCTAGCTGCCTAGCATGTAAAATGATCAATGATTCTTTCCGTTATCAACATGAATTCAAAGACTTATATGTATTTGCTATATTTCAATCCATTGAAATCAGAATGGTCAATCAATCCCAACCTTGACCAAACTTTGTTTTTATTGCCTCTTAATTGTTTTAACACAACCTCAGAAATCTGTGGTGCTTTCTCTGCCCTTTTATATGACACAACATTTTAAGATTTATTTTATATTTATTACAAAGTCAGTTATACAAAGAGGAGGAGAGACAGAGAGGAAGATCTTCCGTCCGATGATTCACTCCCCAGGTGAGTGCAACGGCCGGTGCTGTGCCGATCTGAAGCCAGGAGTCAGGAAATTCCTCTGGGTCTCCTACACGGGTGCAGGATCCCAAAGCATTGGGCCGTCCTGCACTGCCTTTCCAGGCCACAAGCAGAGAGCTGGATGGGAACTGGAGCTGCCGGGTTAGAACTGGCACTCATATGGAATCCCAGAGCGTTCAAAGTGAGGAACTTGGCCACTAGGTCATGCCGCCGCCGGACCCACAATATATTTTTTTTAAAGATTTATTTATTTTTATTGCAAAGTCAGATATACAGAGAAGAGGAGAGACAAATAGGAAGATCTTCCATCCAATGGTTCACTCCCCAAGTGGCAACAATGACCAGAGCTGTGCAGATCCTAAGCCAGGAGCTTCTTCCTGGTCTCCTAGTGGGTTCAGGATAGAGATGGAGAAACAGAGATCTTCCATGTGTTAATTCACTCCCCAAATGGCCACAACAGTCAGGGTTTGGCAAGGCCAAATCAGGGAACTTATTCTGGGTCTACCACATTATACAGGGGCCAAACACTTGGGCCATCTTTTTCTGCTTTCCCAGGCACTGCAACACGCAGCTGGATCAAAAGTGGAGCATGTGGCTCCACTTGCGGCTGGCTTAATTTTTTTATGCCACAACACCAGCCACAAAATTATTTCTTTAGATGTGAAAATGGTTCTATGATTTCCATAAAGTATCACACTCTTTTACAGATACACACTAAAAATTCAGAGAGAAAGTATGTGTGGGACTTGATTCACAATAATATGGAGGGTTTGTGCAGGAATACAGATTAAACAAGGTCAGGTATGAGCTGCAACCTGTTCATGAGAGGTGAATATATTACCCACCTCTGTATGTATAACTTTTTCACAAAGCTTTTTTTAAAGGCAGGTTATGCAAAACATAATGGAGCCCGGCACAACAGCCTAGTGGTTAAATCTTCACCATACATGCATCAGGATCCCATATGGGTACAGTTCATGTCCCAGCTGCTCTTTCCCACCCAGCTCCCTGCTTGTGGCCTGGGAAAGCAGAAGACGATGGCCCAAAGCCTTGGGACCCTGCGCCGGCATGGGTGATGCAGAAGCAGCTCCTGGCTCCTGGCTTTGGATCAGTTTAGCACTGGCCTTTGTCATCATTTGGGGAGTAAATCATTGGACAGAATATCTTTCTCTCCATCTCTCCTTCTCTCTATAGATCTATCTTTCCAATAAAAAGAAAAAATCTTTAAAAAAAAGAAAATATAGTGGAATTAGTGTGAACAAAACCAAACTTATTTACATAGTTTTACATTTGTAAATACACTATTAAACTAACACAAGTCAAAAAAGCAATAGAAGAAAATGCATTTTAAAAATACCCTTCAGGATAGGTTTTGAGGGCCAGTCAGTTAAGTCACTACTTGGTATCCCCACATCCCATATTTTAGTGCCAGTTCAAGTACTGGATACTCTACTCCCTGCTAGCGCACTTAGGAAGGCAGCAGATGACGGGTCACGTACTCGGGTCCCTGGCACCTATGTGAAAAACCTTTATAGTTTCTGGCTCCCAGTTTTGGCCTGGCCTAACCCAGGCTTTCCTGGTCATTTGAGGAATGAATAAGTAGATGAAAGATATTGGTCTTTTCCTCTCCGTCACTATGCCTTTCAAGTTAATAAATATTTTTTAAAAAATTGGTTTTTATTGGAAAGTCAGATTTACTGAGAGGAGAGTCAGAATGTTCTTCCATCTATTGGTTTACTCCCCAAGTGGCTGCACAGCCAGAGGTGAGCCAATTCAAAAGCAGGAGCCAGGAGCCTCTTCCAGGTCTCCTGTGTGGGTGCAGGATCCCAAGGCTTTGGGTTGTCCTTGACTGTTCAGGCCACAGGCAGGGAACAGGAAGGGAAGTGGAGCAGCTGGGATATGAACTGCGCCCATCTGGGATCCTGGCACATGCAAAGTAAGGACTTTAGCTGCTAGGCTACAATGCCAGGTCCTAAATCTTTGTTTTAAAAAATACTATGTATTAGCCTGATGGAATATAGAATACTATTGATGAATAAATGTAATACACCTAGAAATTACTCAAATCTATACTTTTACAGAATCGTTCATATTCAACATCTACTATAAAAGCATTACTTTGAACAGAGAGTAAATGATGAACTAGATTTAAAAAGTGCTAGACAGACTGGCACCAAAAAACAGAACAATATTATGTGTAAGCAGAAAGTCACATGTAACTGTGAAGCAGATCATCATCAAAAAATGAGTAAGAGCAACAGAGCCAAACAGAAGTCCTGTGGCAGGCTTCACTACTTTGCTGCAGTGCTTGTCCCAGTGGTTGTCCATTCTTCTTCGGAAATAGCTTCTCTTAGTCCTCCTATCATTTTTAACCTCATGCTTATTCTTAGATTTCATTCTGGTATATCAATTTTACTAAAATGACAGCTCCATGTACTCTCCTGCTTAAACACAGTCTTTTAGTTTTTCTGGGTATTGTTAGTAGTTGAACTTTCCTAAATTACTATCCTTTCAGCATATTACGACTCAGCTAAAAAAAATTTTCAATGACTATTGCTGCAAATTTCACATGAAAATCCATTGCCCTGATATTCAGGTCTCCTTAGTATTGCCTCTGGTTTATCTACTCAATCTCTCACTACTTACAATTTACAATCAGAAATCTCTGCCCCTTGAACCATTCCCATTAAACCTCTGCAGAAACCATATAATAATTAACTAATAGGCCTGAATTGGTCTTGGTCACTCAACCTTCTTGACTTTCTTCTTAGAAGAATGTAGGAGACAAACTCGGGGTTTTTTCCAACTTTAATATGTATATGCATCACCTGGGGATGTTTTTAAAGCCGAGACTGAACAGCTCTAGCCTAAGACCTGAGAGTGTGCATGACCAACAAAACTTCTAGGTATGTAGACTCTGCCATTCTTTGAGACACACCTGGTTCCCAGAACTGTCCGTCATCTATGTAGCATATGATTGGCTAAACCTTTAAATATGCATCTTGGAACTTCTCAGTTTGGCCATAAATGATTCCTTTCTTTCACATTAGGTGGCAAAACATACTGGACTCTAGTCAACATTTACAAAATAAGCTCTGTCCTAATGACAGAAAGGGGCGGGGTAGGGAGAGGAGAGGTGTTTGTTCCCAGTCTGCTCAGTAGGCAGTTTAGAAAAATGAGAAACATTTAAGTTATGACATAAACACAAGACAGAAGTTAAAAATCTGCTAAACTCACAATGACTTAGCATACAAAGCATCAAAGTTACATCAGTAAGAAAGATAGCAAGAAAAGTGATAGATGAAAAAAAAAAAAAAAGCAGCAGGTTCATCTTTTTGCTTTCCTCTGTGAGCCTGGTGGGTTGAAGGAGCAGCAGAGGCAGACACACCAGGCAAAAAAGGCACAAGGGATCGGGGTCAAAAGAAAACAAAAACCTGAAAAAAACATAAGACAAATAAGTAATTTTAAAGAGTACAAAGAATATAAAAGAACATACAAATAGTCTGTGTGTTAAAAAAAAAAACTGTTCTGGTGAGCTAATTGGACAAGCACCCCAAACAATCGATGACAGCAAAAAATATCAGTGAATGGAACCAATGAGCATTGGGAGGGTGACATCATCCTCGGATCAGTGAAATCGACAGCATTTCAGAACTATTCAAACCACTCGGGCAGAACCCTTGGAATATGTACACATTGAGACTCTGGGTTGGTATGAGGTGGCAGTTCCTCATCCCCGGGTACTGGGACGTGTGGAAAGTGCTGAATGGTTTCCCCTTTTTCTCTTCTCTTCCCCCAGAAACAAAAAGAAGAAATAGCAAATTTGGAAGCAATGAGTTCACCCAATTTTCCCTAAACCTCGATCCTTCCCTCCCTGAACAGCCATGTAATCATTATTTAAAAATAAAATTTAAAAATTAAAGAAAAAACTATTCTGGTGACAAAATCCTATTTCAATATTTTTTAGCTACTCAATCTTGTTCTTAAGGGTCAAGAATATGTCAACAAGATTTTCAAGACAGAAGAAAACTTATTTGGGTATAAAACAAATTAATGCACCTTTTTAATTACATTTGAAGAATTACAGAAAGGACTAGAATGCAATTACATTTCTAGATATTAACCTTACAGAAATACCTACAAAATGTATGTATGAACAAAGCTATCCCTCACTGCATTACTTATAATAGAAAAATGATAAAATAGCCTAGATGTCCACAAATTAGAGACATGGGTAACAATTTACGGATATTCATATGATGAAGTGCTACATAGCTATTACAAATGAAGCAGTTTGGGCCAACATTGTGGCATAGATGGGTAAGGTGCTACTTGTAACATCAGCATCCCATATGGGCACCAGTTCAAGTCCTGGCTGCTCCGCTTTCCATCCAGCCCCATGCTAACAATCAGCCTGGGAAGGCAGCAGAAGATGGTGGCCACAAGTGGGTCCTTACCACTTGTGGAGACTCTGATAAAATTCAGGCTTCTGGCTTCAGCCTGGTCTAGCTCTAGCTATTGTAGCCATTTGGGGAGCAAAATGGCAAATGGAAGATCTTCTCTTTCTCTCTGAAAGCCTGACTTTCAAGTACATAAAACTTGAAAAAATAAGCTGGGCTGGCGGCGTGGCCTAGTGGCTAAAGTCCTTGCCTTGAGCATACAGGGATCCCATATGCCACCGATTCTAATCCCAGCAGCTCCACTTCCCATCCAGCTCCCTGCTTGTGGCCTGAGAAACTAGTCGAAGACGACCCAAAGCCTTGGGACCCTGCACCCAGATGGGAGACATGGAAGAGGCTCCTGGTTCCTGGCTTTGGATCAGCATGGCAAGGGAATGAATCATCGGATGGAAGATCTTCCTCTGTTTCTCCTCCTCTCTGTATATCTGATTTTCCAATTAAATAAGTGAATCTTAAAAAAAAAAAAAAAAAAAAAAAAGCTAGGCTTGGTGCAGTAGCCTAAGGGCTGAAATCTGGGCCTTGCATGTACCGGGTTCCCACATGGGCACTAGTTTGTGTTCTGGATGCTCCACTTCCCATCCAGCTCCCTGCCTGTGGCCTGGGAAAGCAGTAGAGGATGGCCCAAAGCCTTGGGACCCTGCACCCCTGTGGGAAACCCACAGAAGACTCCTGGCTTCAGACAGTCTCAGCTCAGCTCTGACCATTGCAGCTACTTAGGAACTGAACCAGCAAACAGATCTTTTTCTCTATCTTCTTTCTATATAGATCTGCCAATCCAACAGAAATTGATAAATCAGGGGGGGGGGGAGCCTTTAAAATATTTTTATTTTATTTTATTTGAAAAGCAGAGTTCCAGTGAGAGGTCTTTCCTCTACTAGTTCACTTCCCAAATGGCCAGCCACAACCACCAGAGCTGGGATGGCATAAAGTCAGGAGCCAGTAGCTTCTGTGGGTCTCCCCTGTGGGTTTAGGGGCCCGGGCTCACAGACTGTCAGGGAAAGAAGTGTATAATAGGTCGGCAGCCTTACAAATAAAACACTTTACTTTCTATGAAGTGTATGTAAAGAATATTCCTGAATGGATAAGCAAAGAATTCTTTTCAGTGTATCTTTATCCCTTTTAGAATTATGTACGTATCATCTGTGCAAAAGGTAGATTTTAAAAAGAAATTAATCCCATGGTAACTCAACAAAACCACTTAACTTGGTCCCGTGATAAGACTCTAATGAACCTGAGTCTCTGTTAATATTCTCTGCCAGCAATCACTTTTTTAAAACCAGAAAGTTACTGCAGCCTCTCCAAACCAATCTCCACCCTAGGGAGTGAGTCACCTGCTAAAGAGGCGGGTCCCACAATGGGCGTCTCCCAGATGGCATGAAGCCCAGGGACAGAGGCAGCTGCTGCAAATTTATGGGGGTAAGGGGGAGAAGAAGGAAAACAGGAAGAGTGACTAAAGTTTGGCAACAGTAGACCGAATTTTGCAAACTGGCCTTTAGGGCCACAAGAACCATTTAAACTGCCCAGCGAATCGGATAAATAACCTGGACGGCAGCAAGGGCCCTTGGCGTGGACAGGCAGGCAGTGGGGTCGCCGATGAGTGCTGAGGGGCAGTTTTGCAGTTTGCCAGGGCAAACTCTTCTATCTGCCTATCTACAGTGCTCATCACGCCCTTCTCACCTGAGAGATCATTACTCTCATTAACTAATTAGGGCACATTACTTTATCACATCCACTCCACTCCCAATCTGCTGGCAGCAATGAGGGAGTGTGAAGGAAACAGATATCAGCCGTCTCCCTCCTAAGCCTGGTTTTCCTGGAAAACAGTTCGGCAGGTCAGCGAGCAGGACTCGAACGTGGAAAGCTATTTCCTGGAGTAGTCTCCTCGAAGCTGGCGCCCTGCTGGCCCTACGTTCACCACGCGCAGGAACAAGCGTCCTAAGTTTCCCTCAACTCTGTAGGGTCACCACAAAGCGGGAGTCACCAAGCCAGACGTCGTTTGCTTGCAAGGTTGCTCTCAGAATTTCCTTCCCCTTCGGCCTGCCGGGGCCGAGGCTTCACAAGCAGCCACCCCCGACCGCCGCTGCTCCACCCGGCGGGGTCCACCTGAGGGAGGGGCGCCCCGGGTCGCTTGGATCCGCGCGCCGCACCCAGGGACGCCGAAACTTTCTCGTCCGTTCCGCAGACACCGCCAGCCACCTTGGCCCCGACCCACCGCCAAGGCGCGCCCACCTCGCGGTCGTGGTCCTGAGCCGCACAGCCCGAGACGCTGCCCACCCAGACCCTCCCCGCCTCCGCCACGCCCTGACGTGGGACACACACGGAAAGCGCCATTATCCCCGGGGCGAAGGGCCCCAGAGCTGTCCGGGAGCGCGCGAGGACAGGGTGGGAAGAAGAAGGGGCGCCATTCCTCACCTGACGGAACCTCGGCGTCACAGCACACACAACCTGCCTGTCAGCAAGATGGAGCTGGGCCGGCCGCGGGAGGCGGGACGCCGGGCGGTGCGCGAGCCCGTTAACAGCGCGCGGCCGCAGGGACCGCCCTCAGAACCCGCGCGGGCGGACCTTTCCCTGGGCCGCGCCCCGCGACCCCACCTGCGAGACAGTCGCTCCCTTCAGGTGGCCTGGCCGGTTTTATTGCATTTCTCAGATCCACAGAGCCTACTCCAGTCCCGGCTCCCAAGGAACTGAAAAAGTTGCCCGTGGTTCTCGTATGAGATCACGGAGCCCCTTTAAGTGACAGGAGACAGAGGGGCTGAGACGAGGTGTCCTTCCTGCCACCTCTGAAATACCTTCAGCGTTGTCTTCTGTCGGTTTGGTTTTTAATCAGCCTCCTGTGAAAAGAATTAGTACTTACTGGTTGTACTAGACAGCCGGAAGTGGGGATATACTAATCAAAACTACTCCATGAAGGAGTTTGTTAGGTGATTTCTTTATGGCAGCAATGAACCACACACCAGGATTATTTCAACACTTGAGGCAATTACAAGGGCTCACTCAGACCAACATCTTTAACTGCTTAAGGAATAATTTAGATCCCAGGGCAAAACCTACCCAAACCACAGTTCACAGTGATTTTCGGAATACGGACCCTACATTGGACGCTGATAGAAATACAAATTCTTGGGCTACACCTCACCAGCGCCGACTCAGACTCTGACCAGTTGTCTGTCTTAACAAAGCCTCTCAGGTGATCTTGAGGCATACTAAATTTTGAGAACCAAAACTTAACTTCTTTTAAATGCCTTTCTACCCCAAATCCTTCTCATGGAAGCAGAACATTGAAAAACCACTGTTAAAGTGGAAAGTACTTGAGGTAAGTCACTGTCAAATTAAACAGTGGTGGACAAAGACTCTGGGTACCCCATCTTTACTTTCTCTAGCTCCCACTACTATTTGTGCACCTGGAAATAAAAGGTTTTTTGGTCATGTCTATCCCCATAATCTTCCAGAATTTAAGCATTATCTGAGAAGCCTATACTACTCTTATGCTTACAGTTTTTCTCGCCCCTCCCTCTGCCTTAATTACTACGAGGGAAGTATGCTCAAAACTGAATTTTCAACCTATTTTCCTGCGCTGTAGGCCCCAAAATCCAAGTCTCATTGGACACAACCAGGACATTTTTCATTTTTTCCTTTCAACTTGTCCGTTTTTCCTGGCATACAAAGCACTGTAGAACAAGAATCAGACCCATGGGCCCGGCGGCATGGCCTAGTGGCTGAAATCCTCTCCTTGAACGTGCCGGCATTCCATATGGGTGCCGGTTCTAATCCCAGCAGCTCCACTTCCCATCCAGCTTCCTGCTTGTGGCCTGGGAAACCAGTTGAGGACGACCCAAGGCTTTGGGATCCTGCACCCGTGTGGGAGACCTGGAAGAAATTCCTGGATTCTGGCTTCAGATCGGCGCAGCTCCAGCCATTGCGGTCACTTAGGGAGTGAATCATCGGACGGGAGATCTTCCTCTCTGTCTCTTCTCCTCTCTGTATATTCGACTTCCCAATAAAAACAAAAATCTTAAAAAAAAAAAAATCAGGGCCCGGCGCGATGGCGCAAGTGGTTAAGGTCTTGCACACCCGGGATCCCATATGGGCACCGGTTCTATCCCGGCAGCCCCGCTTCCCTTCCAGCTCCCTGCCTGTGGCCCAGGAAAGCAGTCGAGGACGGCCCAAAGCTTTGGGAACCTGCACCCGCGTGGGAGACCCGAAAGAGGCTCCTGGCTTCGGATCGGCATAGTATCGGCCCGTTGCGCTCACTTGGGGAGTGGGTCATCGGATGGAAGATCTTCCTCTCTGTCTCTCCTCTCTGTATATCTGCCTTTCCAATAAAAAAAATAATAATAAAAAAAATTCTTTCAAAAAAAAAATAAGATCCTTTCTTTCCTCACACCTCCTCTGGTTCACCAAGCTCTGCAAACTTTTAGCTTGTTTCAAATGTGGCCCACCTCCCTCCAGCTGACAAACTCCCAGGCTGTTTGTTATTCTTCGCCTTCTCTGGGGTGGACTTAATTGCACCTTTTAGCAACCAACTAGATCTTTTTTTAGATGTCCACTAAGGCACATTTATGTGGAATCACAGTACATGAGTACCACCTTTATTTAACCTAACGATCTTAGCAAAAACACATCCCTGAAGGCCATTATAATGTTCCAGAGTCCATATGACCAGGAGTCACTGAGGCTTAAATATTAACGTCCACTGTGTCAGCCTGTTACGTGCTCACGTTTTGTATAGTTAGAACAGTAATGCGGTCCTTGGGGGACACTAAGCAAACTCTGAAGACATTTCTGATTGGCACAAGTGGGGGTGGGATAGGGTATGTGAGTCACACATGGTGGGAAGGACCCGGACATGCACCTCAGTACCCTATGATCGTTCCTACAACAAAGAATTACTCAGTCCGAAACATAACTCTGAGCCAGAGCAAACTATCTAAAGAATAAACTGAGTCATGCCACTCCCTTGGATAAATGCCTGTAATAGCTCCTGGCTGGAGACAGAATAAAATGCAAACTCCTAATCATGGTCTATTAGGCCCTTTTCAACTGGGTCCCTGTTTAGCTCGGCCATCTTCCTCCTTTTCACCTTGTTTTTCAAACAATAAGCTCCAGTTACATTGACATTCTATCCAAATACATCAATCTTGGGTGCAAACATACCAGATTCTTAGAACCTTTGTACTTTCTATTACTTCTATCTGGAATGTTCTCTGCCACAGGGTATCTCCTCAGCGACTTACTCCCTAACACTGCAGCATTAGTTGCCATTGACACCAAAAGCACTACATTAAATATACACAACCCTATTTCATTGTCTTGATAGCATTTAAAAGCATCTGTGATCGTTTGTTCTTCCCATAGGCATGTAAGCTATTGACAGGAATCTCTCTACAGCCTGTACAATTTATCATAATTGCACCCTAGGACTCAGATCATCTATTTCATTCAGTGATCATCTAGAGATTTCTGATAGTACGGGAAAAATTAGGTCTGACATACTGAAGATCTATAGTAGTGCTATCTCAAGGTGTGTGCAATGGTAGTTTTCAGAATTTTGTGTCTGTCACCTTGTTTCCCATTAAACTCAAACACATTACAAACCAGAGCATCTCAGAATTATTGGCAGTGAGTATGAAGCTAGGCATCTGACCTTCTCTATGATTATTAATTTTCCTAGATGTTGGACATCTTTGTGCCACCTGCTGCTGGGTGGTTTGTCTTCAGACTAGACTCTGGCAGATACATCCTTCATCCAACACAATGGGTAATTAAATGTTAAAGAGATCTTTGTTTTCATTTTCTGGTTACTAAATGTTACTATTTATATACTTTGTTAGAGTTAGAAACTACCTTGGCCTATGCCCACTGCCATTACCTCAGTAAGGGACAACTGTGTTCCCTTATCTGAAACATCATGTCCCAACTGCTTTCAGTCCAAGACTAAACATCTTGCATAGCAGCGCCAGTCTAATCCTCTACTGGAGAAAACTCAAAGTTTTATGCCTTCAATAATGGCTACTATTAATTATATACTAATGCTAGGCACTCAACAAATACTCTCATTTTTTTAACATTAATATTTATGTTTTTGTGATAGCTTTATTGGTATATAGTTCACCCATTTATGCAATTCAGTAGTATCTGATATATTTCAAGAGCTGTACAGCCATCACACTTAAGGTTAATATTGTTACATTGCCCCACCTTCAGAGAAACCTCATACCCTTTTAGTCATCACCAGCATTCTCATCCTCTTCAGATGTTAGTCTACTGTCTCCACAGACCTCCTATGAGACATTTCACATATATTCATTCCTACAATCTGTAGTCTTTTTTCGTTTGTTTTTAAGCTTCATTCATGTTGTAAAATGAATCAGTACTTTGTTCCTTTTTGTGGCCAAACAGCATTTTCTTGAATGGATATACTATACCTTGTTTAATTGTTTATAAATTGGTGAATATTTTGGGTTGCTTTCACCCTTTTGGCTCTTATAAACACTGGTGTAAGTTTTCATTTCTCATGGTTATACACCAATCAACAAAACTATGGATTAAACAGTAACTCAATTTCTTTTTCCAAAGATCTATTTATTTTTATTCTTATTGCAAAGTCAGATATATAGAAGAGAGACAGAGAGGAAGATTTTCCGTCTGTAGATTCACTCCCCAAGGGGCCACAATGGCTGGAGCTGAGCCAATCTGAAGCCAGGAGCCTCTTCCAGGCCTCCCACATGGGTACAGGGTCTCAAGGCTTTGGGCTGTTCTCAACTGCCTTCCCAGGCCACAAGCAGGGAGCTGGATGGGAAGTGGGGCTTCTGGTGCCCATCTGGGATCACCATGCACATGCCATGCAAGGCGAGGTCTGTAGCAGCTAGGCTACCGTGCCTGGCCTGAAAAAGATCTTCTATCCACTGGGTCACTCCCCAAGAGGTCACAATGGCCAGAGCTAAGCCAATCCAAAACCAGGATACAGGAGTGTCTTCTGAGAGTCCCAAGGCTTTGGATCATCTTCTACTGTCTTCCCAGGCCACAAGTAGGGAGCTGGATGGTAAGTGGAACATCCAGGATTCAAACTGGCGCTCATACGGGATCTTGGCACATGCAAGTTGAGGATTTAGCCACTAGGTTACTGTGCCAGGCCCTCACAGTGTTTTTGTTTTTTTTTTTTTTTTTCTGACAGGATTATAAAGAGAAAGGGGGAAAGAAGGAGAGAGATAACTTCCATCTGCTTGTTTGGAGTAAACCACAATGGCTGGAATAATCAGAGCATTCCAGGTCAAAGCTAGTAGCATGGAGCTTCATTTGGATCTCCTTTGTGGGTGCAATGGCCCATAAGCACTTGGGCCATCTTCTGCCTCTCCCCCAGGGTATTATCAAAGAGTTGAGTCAGAAGCAGAAGAGAGGCAGGACTCAAACTGTTGCCCATGAGGGATGCCAGCATGCGGTGGTTCACCCTGAACACAGTCCCTCCATTTAACTCTTAATGCAAATTTGAACATTTAGATATTAAACGCTACACAAGAAAACTATGGCTCAGATAAGTTTGAGTTTCCCAAGGCATAAACATATTTGATGATGGCTCTAAGGTTCATATTCAGGCCTAAATAAAGTCTAAGCTGAATGACAAGCAAGACACTATCCATAATCTATTCCCAATAAACTGCTCAGACTCAATTTATACTAATGCTCCAAGGTACCCTAAAATACTCCGGGTTTTTTCTGCCTCCAAACTTTCCTTCTTGTTTCATGTGGAATAGCTTGTTTCATAAAATTCTAATTCACAATCCCTTCACTACCATTTAGCAAAGTGATTCTTTCTCACTCTGCTTCCTTAGCACTATAAGACTTTTCTCTTATATCACATTATCTGCTAAAATAATCTCTATCGACAAATCACTTCCTTTCCTAGGAAGTTAAGAGTATGTGTCATTTACCTTCCTACCTCCACAAAAACACTTTACAATGCCAACAGGATAGGTAGTAAATGTTTTTGAATAAATAATTGAATTTTAAAATTATCCTGAGAGTGGGTATCAACAGCCTGTCTGTCTGTATCAAAATGGCAGGTTGGATGTGTGTTTGTATGTGCAGCTCACGACAAGGTTTCAGAAATGGATACTGACAGGATGTTTCAGTCCTCAATGTAGAGAAAGATGGAGGCAGGCACTGTTGCACACTGGATTAAGCTGCTTGTTGGACGCCTGCATGCCCTGTCAGAGTGCCTGCTTGCATCCTGGCTACTCTGCAATTCTGATCCAGCTTCCTGCTGATGTACTTGGGAAACAGCAATTAATGGCCCAAGTACTTGAGTTTCTGCCATTCACAAAGGAAATGTGGATGGAGGTTAAGAGTGTTAAGAGTGGCAGGCACAGAAAACTAATCATTTCCTCTGCAAGAGAGAAAGCCCTTCTGAGATGCTGGGGAAGATGTGTCATACTTGCAAGTCATTCAGAAATGAAACAAATCACTTAAGCAATGCCAAACTGAGTTTATTACAGTAGAAAAGGGGATAACAATCATAATCTATTCTGTAAGGTCTGACGTACGCAGGAACATCTTGGACATCAGATTTCTCTGAACCAAAACAGAAAAATGAGGTATTTTTCTTAAAAAGCCAGGAAAAAAAAGAAAACCTGTTATCCTGACAACTTTTTTTCTGGTTTCTACAACTTCCTTGACTAGCTCATTCTTGCACTCCCTCAAGTCTAGTTGGAATCTGGCTTAGCTATTTAAACCCACACTATCCACTGCCTCTTCCAATTATTTCTTCTCCAGCTGGCAGGTACTGCCAAGAAATGTAACATAGTAGGCAGAGCAGTAGACTGGCTGCTTGTTGGGGTTGGAATACACCTGTTCGGGTTTGAGGGATGCGAAAGGATTGGCTCCACAGGCAATGATGTGCACACCCAGGTCCGCCAGAATCTGCAAAGAAGCTGCCAACTCCTGGTGGCTGTGGGAGAAAGGTGAGAACATTTGCTCTACTGATGCATACAAAGGAGTTAGAAAAGAAGTTGTTCAAGAGCCTAACACTTTTGTAGTCATTAATCCTAAAAGTTACCTAAGGAGGTACCAGATAAACACTTTCCTTTCCCTTCATCCCACATCTAAATCTAATTAAGTACCAGATGAACTGGCCCAGGATTTTGTTAAGGGGAAAAGCCACATGTAAAAAGGAAAATCATCCTTACTAAAGGAAGATGGAGCAACGGGGGGTAAAGTGAGCTGATCTATACCAAGAGGGCTGTGAGGCATGGATGTATCACAAAAAGAAGTCAACACCTGTAAAGAGTAATCAACGTAGGGATCTCATAATCACGAAGCAACAGCAGGGTGGGCAACCAGGCCTCCATCAGATCCACAGAGGCATGGAAACCTATGAAGCAGAAACGGAAACAGAAATAGGAGAAAGGCTGAGGGAGACCCTGAGAGCAAGATAATTCCTTGATTGTGTCTACTCCAAACCCCACATTGTTCACCCCTCATAACCACCACCCCAGATTCATCAATGACAAATTCTGAACCCAGGTGTAGTATATATGGCAACTGCTCAACCAAAGCTACCATCAGATTATATTTAGTGAAACCAATTCAATAGCATTCTGTGGTCACAATAATCAGGATGAAAAATTCCTCATGGAGTCACCCAGTATTGCCCTGGCCCAAGACTCTTACCTGGATGAAATGCGACTACCAAATCTGGGTAGGATATCTTCCCAGTCTCTACCTGCTCCTCCCAGAAGTCATGATAGAGGCCCCTGTGGCCACTAAGCTGAACTGTGCCAGGTTCCAAAGTTGAAGCTGGAGTGCTCTTTAAAGAACCAGTAGCCACATCTACACCCACCATGATCACACGAAGGCCAAGGTGACCAGGAAACATGTAGCCAAGCTCATCATAGTCTCCAGGGCTAGTGAGAAATGTCTCCACATGAGAAGCACCAACCACATGCACTGTGCCTCCTCCAGGCTTCCCAGTGTCTATCCTCATGGTTCTGAGCCCTAGGCCCAGTGTCAGGGGCCGGGACAGGGCATCGGTCACAAGTCGCTTCAATGAGCCCTGTAAGACATCCGGGTCTGGCTTTGGGCGTCCTGCACTGGCCCACAGGGTGTTCATGGCATGAGTACCTAGCACAGCATCCAGTGTAGTATCTAACTGTGACCCCCTCATAGAAAACCAGGTATCCCAGTCCTGTACAACTTCAGCTGGCCATGGCCAAGGTCCTGAGGGTAGGACAAAGTCACCTGCAGGAAAGAAAGAATAGAATGGATTTCAACCCTCCCTGACTTCAAAATTCCCTCTTAGTGATCATTAGTCTCTCCAAGTCACTCTGTTAACCTGAAACATGCTTTCATAGTTTTCTACAGGAACATATATGACATATACAGTACAGTTCCCCAATACTGCCACTTTACCTGTGACCAGAAGCCATTCCATGAGACGGTCCACGGCCACAAGACGAAGCTCTCGACAAACTTTCCTGTGTGCTGGCCAGTCTGACCTCTGGCATTCTGGATCACAGTAGTACACATTTCTGCACCTAAGAGAATAAACCGTGGAAATACATGTTCTTAGACCAGAAAGGTGATGGGGGAGGAGGGTGAGGGGGACCGAGAAAGGCAATTAATTCCCACAAACTAGGAAGAAAGATTGGTGAGTGGGTAGAGATGCTGCAGAGAACAATTATCATTGTCACATGAAATCAGGGGATTATTATTTGGTGAGAAGGAATGGGAACATAATTATCCTTTCAGAGTGATCCATCAGTTTCTGGCAGGAACAACAAATGTTCTATGTATCTTTCAGAACAGATATGGTCTTAGTCCTTAAACACTTATGAAGAATGAGTAGAGGATTATATTACAGTTTCTTCTCTGAACACTTCATGACAACAACAAAAATACAAGCAGGATTAGAACTCCATTCTGATCTTCCTGTAGGTTGGATCATATAAGAGGAGCATTCCTCAAGTTATTTCAAAAACTCTTAGACCTTTCGTTTTGAAATGGGGTCTCAGTACAGGGTCAATTCTGAATGCTGCTCCTACCTGCCCCACACACAAGTCACCTCTTACAGTGCCGGAGAACCTTGGAATCTGGAAGGCTGCTGGGGAGTGCTTTACAGTGAGCACAGAAGCGAAATGTGTCCTCCATCCTCTGGAACATTTCCTGAGGACTCCGGAACCCAAAGCCTGATCCTGGGGTCCCTCCATCTATGACCAACCTGTGGAAACAGCATGGAGGAGTGGCAACAGGGAGAAAGAATATCTCCCAAACCTCCCATGTTCCCCCACCTTGCCTCCTATACATTCCCAACTATTCTTGTAACTATCCCGCCAATTCTCATTTAAGTAAATTCTGTTTCTTCTATAGTAATAAAACTGGCAAAGTCAAAATGGGAAAATGCTTCAAGGCAAATACTCTTCATTGCCTAAATTATACTCCCATTTAACCTCCTGTAATTCTTTCCACCGCATACATCCTTTTTTCCACAGAACTACACACTCACTTGTATTCTTCATAGCTTTTCATGTTCAGCTTTTGAAGGATCAGCTGCGATAAGCCAGGGACATTGTTTTCCAAGGAGAAGAATCCCAAGGCGTCAATACTAGGGCCAGGTTTTGAGAGAGTTAGAGGTACAGGGGTCCCAACTGTGGGTGGGGTGACAACTGTGGGAACCACTGATGAAGAAGGTTTCTTGTGCCTTCGTCTCTGGGATCGAGGAGCCATAGTTTGTCCAGTAACTCCTAAAGACTGCACGGAGAGAAGGAACGGAAATTTTCAAACTGGACACTTTTGATGTATTTTTATACACTTGACTTATATTTGTCATTCTAGTTTCTCATACCCAGGTTATTAGAAAGACCAGGTATTCATCTGGTATTTACTGATTACTGCCAAGCAGTTGTGAAGAATAATAATTATATCTTAAAACAATTAATGCGTAACATAGTTTTGTATATAATATGAAAACATGTTACTAAATAAGTGCATAGAAATAGGTCTGGTAGCATTCTTAGAAAACTGGTAACAGTGATTAACTCTGAACAGAAGATGGTCAAATGGGCCTTTAGACTAATACGTAATGAATAAATTTTTAAGAGAATTCATTCATACATTATTAACATACAGTATTTTAAGTCAACATAAGAGACAAAAAGCAACAGAGGTTTAAGTTGTCTCAAACTACCACCTACTGATAGAATTAATTAACATAATCTTATTGGGAGGACAAATTATATATAAAGATTTATTTATTTTTATTGGAAACACAGATTTACAGACAGAAGGAGATACAGAGAAAGATCTTCTATCCACTGGTTCACACCCCAAGTGATTACAACTGCTGGAGCTGAGCTGATCTAAAGCCTAGAGCCAGGAGCTTCTTCTGGGTCCCTCACATGGGTGCAGGGTCCTAAGGCTTTGGGCCGTCTTCCACTGCTTTCCCAGGCCACAAGCAGGGAGCTGGAAGGAAAGTGGAGCAGCCAGGATACAAACTAGTGCCCATTCAGGATCCTAGTGCATGCAAGGCAAGGACTTTAGCCCCTAGGCTACCACCCTGGGCCCGACACAATATTCTTTTAAAAGACCTATCACTACATGTATAAGCAATAAACCAAGAAGTAAAAACTAAATGAAATATTTGTAAAATGTGCACCACATGCTGAGCTTTATAGTAAAACAGGTCAGGTTTTACCAGCAAAACTGCCTATGGGAGACTTTTTGAGGTGGAATTTAGATTCATATTTAGCTGGGGATCATGTGATATCCTCTTTTGCTTCTTGTGTTTTCCCACACCTTTTAAAAAGATAAGTAAAAATGGAACATCAAGGAAAAAACCAACCCATTCATTAAACACATATTTATTGATAAAAGGTAAAATAATTTTCAACATAAAATATGGAGACAAATATGAAAACCATATTTCTCATCTGAAAAGTCCTGCAGTGAGGTTAGAAGTTAACTATATGGCTGCTTATTAGAGCAAAGAAGAGAGTCTCTGGGTGAGCTATAAGAATTCACCAAACAAGTGGACTACACCTTAACAGGTGGGAACAGTTTCAGCACATGGAGAGGAGAAAAAGGAATTCTAAGCACTGAGAAGAAATGAGCATACAAACAGAGAAGGATTTACGTTGGGGACTGGAGTTTGAATCTAAGTATGAAGACTTAAACACAGGAGACAAACATATAAAAGCCTCAAAAGAAAATACAGGGAGTGGTTTCATAACAATTTCTTCTGTATGACATCAAAAACCATAAGACAAAAAAATGGATAAATCAGACCAGATCAAAATTCAAAGCTTGTGCATCAAAAGACATCAGCAGAGTGAATGACAACCCACAGAAGGGGGAAAACTATTTATCTGAAAAGGAATTTATATACACTATACACATGTATAAATATCCTAACTAAAAAATGAGAAGGGTATTTGAAAAGGCTTTTCTCCTAAGAATGTGTGCAAGCAGACAACAAAAATACACTCAATTAGTCATTAAGAAAATTAAAATCAAAACCACAAAAAGATACTATTTTATATCAAGTAGGATGGCTATTAAAAAAAAAAGAAATTAATGCTGATGAAAATATGGGGTAATCAAAAGCATCATAAGTTGCTTGTGGGAATGAAAAATGGTACAGCCAGTATAGAAAACACCACTGCGGCTCCTCAAAAAGTTACACAAAGAATTATCACTTGACTCAGTAATTTCATTTTTAGGAATATACTCCAAATAATTGAAATTACCCAAATTCTTTTTTTCTATTAATTAAAAAAATTTTTTAATTTTCATGATATAATTCCATAGGCTCAGGGGTTCAAATTATTGTATATTAATGTTAACAGCAGTGCTATTCAAGAAAAAGAGAAAAAAAATAGCACAAAAAGGAAAAAAGTCATCCAAAAGTTCAGTTGAATATTAAAAAAAAAATAAGCTTGGGGAGATACATATTCATTTCCATATAAGTATCATCAAGCTATAAAAAGAAAAAAATTCTAAAACATGCTACAATGAACCTGAAAAAGCATTGTGCTAAAGGAAAGAATCCATACAGAAATCTTTTCATGTTATAATGATGATATTTATATGAAATACCCAAGAGGTAAATCTAGAGATACAAACTAGATTGACAGCTATCAGGGACTGGACAATGATGAACTGGGAAATAGCTGTGTAACAGTTACGAGATTCCTTTTTGGGATGATAAAAACCTTTTAGTGAAAAACAAGCATGTACTGAAAGCCATTTAATTATTCTTTATTAGTTGTGCTATATGAATTTTACCTCTAAAGGGAACAGAGGTGGGTATTTCATTTAGCAGTTAAGATAGCACTTGGGACATCACACCTGGGGTTGAGTCCCAGCTTACCCTCTGATTGTGGCCTCCTACTGGCATGCAAACGATGGACATGGCTCCAGTGATTAGGTCCTGCCACACTAATGGACATGCAAGACAGGGACTGACTGTCCAGCTCCCAGCCTTCAACCACCCCAGCCCCGAGTGTTGTAGGTATCGCAGAAGGGAGACTTTCCCTTCTCTATCTCCCTCTCCAATAAATAAAAAATTTTCAGAAGAAAGGGAGGAAGGGAAATACAGGGAGGTGGGGAGGAAAAGAGAGTCAGAGAGAAAAACCATAGAGATCAAGAGAGTAAAAAGTTATCCCTTCCCTCTTAACTGTTATTAGGGACAGGAAAACAACAGAGGATAAAAACACTGCCAGTGATTATCTCTATAGTAACTGAGGTAAGAAAGTTCCAATCATGTTTTGTTACAAAAATGGTCCAACATTAGATCCTTCCAGACTATTTCTGTTGGGGGGAAGGGGGAAGTCCAAAATCATCATGCATCTGAGATGTAGATGGCAAAAGTAAACAAAAACCTCCCTGAATCATCAGTTCATATCTAAATCTTAAAACAGAGCATCTGCAAATCCTTGCCCTAAGGCTAATGGAGGAATGAATGTGAAGTTTCTTTGTCTTTGTGCTTACACTTTCATCCACCTTTTAATAAGCAGAGAAAAAAGAGAAATTTCACATCTGCTGATTCTCCAAATATGCACACAACAGCCGAGGCTGCACAAAGATGAAGCCAGGAGCTAGGAATTCATCTGGAACTCCCCCTGTGGGTGGACCCTACTGCCATCACCTGCTGCCTCCCTAGGCAGATATTAGCAGAAAGCCGGATCCGAAAGCAGAGATGGAATCTGAAGTCAGGTAATGAGATATGAGTCCCAAGCAGAGGCTCCCTCTATCCATCCTCATCCCGAGGCTGAATGGTTGATTTGAGACATCACAAGAGACTAGCAATCTCATTTGTGTGCCACATCCTCATTACCACCAACGAATAAGAAATTGTATCTAATGATATTAAATTATCCAAAGGCTTAAAGGACACAACCCTTATTCATGTTTCTTTACTTATGAGTGGATGGAATACCTCAGGATACTGTTTCAAACATCTGATGTAACCTTCCATTTTTTCCTTTGCGGAATTTTACTTACGTCAGGTTTTTAGGACACAGCACGACTAATCCCAAATACAATTAAAAAGTGATGCCCTCTACTTTTAATCATCACCATTCTCAACAAATTTTCAGAACCACTGCCATTCTAGAAAAGCACTTCTCTGCTCTGTCTACATATTCCCTTCAGGCAAGGTAACAGGTCCTTAAACCATGAAGGAATGAGGATTTTAATCACAGGTATGGAAGCAAGTATCTTTGAGATATCTTCTCTGGGTTAAACTAAAGCCTTTCATTTTTTGCTTTAGTGAAAGCCAATTAAGGTCAGAAAAGTACTGTCTCACAGAACTGTATTTCCAGAGAGGTCTCCAATGGAAGCTTAATCTTGGCAATAAGGATACTGCTGGACATGGCTGGAGATAAAATGAATCACGTTGCTTGGGAAGAATGGTGGTGAAATTCCCAATGTCACCGTGTCCTCTGTGTCTATAAATGAGCGAACTTCCCAGCAGGCAAGTTAGATGGGAAGAAGTCAGTTTTGGGTATTTGTGTCTGTACACACACATATCATCAAGTTCATGTCTGAGTTTGTGTACACTAGAACCAAACATAGCTTTTCTGGTTCTGACTTTGCTGTAGAAAACACCAACCTTTGCCAAGTTCAGAGTATGTTTAGAAACAAAGGAAGGGTGAGAGGAGAAGGCGGGAGACAGAGACACAAGAATTACATTGGAAAGTGTTATGCTAAGTTCCCAGAATTTTCCAGAGTTTACCCTATCTAGAAAGGGAACTCTTCCCCAACAAATGAAAAAGAAAATGCTAACATCAAGAACTAGAGAAGAGTCATACATTCCACTGCATAGGAATACCATGACTAAATCACAAACTAAAATATTAACATATTTCTTGACCTAGGTCTCTTCTCTTATCCTCCCCTCCTTGTAACCAAGTGCCCTGATTTCACCTAAAACTGTTTTTTCATTATCTCTAGACCAAAAGGGCCCATCTAATTTTTTCTAATTTGCCAGCAAATTGAAAACGAACTGGAGAACTAGGGAGCAGAAGGGAGCATAAAGTTGGTCCCTGGGGCGCCTCAGAGAGGATAAAGAAAAAGAAAAACTCTATTAAGGACATTGCCATTATGACCACATTCAGCTGCTTAATCAGTGATTAACACCTCTTAGGGTGATAAATACTTCACTCAATTATAAAGCAAGCAAGCAGACAGGTTGACGGAAAGTAACTTACCCTACTAAGCCCTCGACTTTCTTCCTTCTCTTTCCTCCAAGTGAAGTGAGTGTTTGATCTCCTCAAATCTAGGTTGCAGCTCACTTGCACCTGTCCATTTGTATCAGTTTCCTCTGCAAACTGCTGAAATGTTGGGGCTCAGTGATTAAGTGTGCCCTGTCCACCAGACAGGATGAAGTCTCCCTAACGAGGCAAGTACTGACCTGGCTGCCTGCCTGCAGACGTCTCTCTCTCTGATCCTCCTCATTCTCTGCCAAAAGAGCTGAAGACTGTCAACACTCTCCAGCTCACCAAAGGCCAGGGCACACCGAGGAAAGATGAAACTGCTTCCTGGACTTCTCTCACTCAAGGCATCATTTCTGTTCTCAGTTTACAGCTTCAGACAAAAACCCCTCAGAATCGTTCAGATGTCAGTATTTGGCTAGAAAGGCTATGCCCTTAGCCCAGAGGTACAGGAAACCCCTGGAGTTCCTGCATAGAAGCTAGACTCAAGATGAATTCCCCCAAGCCCAAACATAAATACTACTGCTCAAACAGAATTTAACAATCCATGCTTAAGAAGAAAATTGAGGGCCCGGCGCGGTGGCGCAAGTGGTTAAAGGTCCTCGCCTTGCACGCCCGGGATCCCATATGGGCGCCGGGTCTAATCCCGGCAGCCCTGCTTCCCTTCCAGCTCCCTGCCTGTGGCCTGGGAAGGCAGTCGAGGACAGCCCAAAGCTTTGGGACCCTGCACCCGCGTGGGAGACCCGGAAGAGGCTCCTGGCTTCAGATCGGCATAGTATCGGCCCGTTGCGCTCACTTGGGGAGTGAACCATCGGACGGAAGATCTTCCTCTCTGTCTCTCCTCTCTGTATATCTGCCTTTCCAATGAAAAAATAATAAAAATAAATCTTTAAAAAAAAAAAAAAAAAAAGAAGAAGAAAATTGAGCGCCCGGCGGCGTGGCCTAGCACGTAAAGTCCTCACCTTGAACGCGCCTGGGATCCCATATGGGTGCCGGTTCTAATCCCAGTAGCTTCACTTCCCATCCAGCTTCCTGCTTGTGGCCTGGAAAACCAGTTGAGGACGGCCCAAAGCTTTGGGACCCTGCACCCGTGTGGGAGACCAGGAAGAAGTTCCTGGATCCTGGCTTCGGATCGGCATAGCATCAGCCGTTGCGCTCACTTGGGGAGTGAATTACTGGACGAAGATCTTTCTCTCTGACTCTCCTCCTCTCTGTATATCTGCCTTTCCAATAAATAAATAAATCTTAAAAAAAAACATTATTTTAGGGCCCGGCGCGATGGCGCAAGTGGTTAAAGGTCCTCGCCTTGCACGCCCGGGATCCCATATGGGCACCGGTTCTAATCCCGGCAGCCCCGCTTCCCTTCCAGCTCCCTGCCTGTGGCCTGGGAAAGCAGCAGAGGACGGCCCAAAGCTTTGGGAACCTGCACCCGCGTGGGAGACCCGGAAGAGGCTCCTGGCTTCGGACCGGCATAGTATCGGCCCGTTGCGCTCACTTGGGGAGTGGGTCATCGGATGGAAGATCTTCCTCTCTGTCTCTCCTCTCTGTATATCCGCCTTTCCAATGAAAAAATAATAAAAATAAATCTTTATAAAAAAAAAAGAAGAAAATTGATACTCCAAGAGGATAGTAATATATTAGTCCAAAAGGCAATCAACCATATGAAGAATAAGAGAATTAATCTGTGAACTCACTTTTCCTGAAGGGAAAACAAGGTATTCTCTCAATCATCATTGGAAGGATCCCATCTGTTTGCTTATTTCAAACAAAATACAGATGTTTCTGTAGTAAAGTCAGCAAGACTAACATTTCTGTTATTGACTAAAGATGTGTAGTACTTACAGGAACAGAAAATAAGAATCAATTCAGTGCACACTTTTATCCATTTTTATAACAGATGCTGATGCTGATCCTGGAAAGTCGATTTTACATCCTTAGCTCCCTTCCAACTGAGTTCAAGGACAATCAGAAGCTGTTAGGGCAGTGCTCCTATGTGACTTCATAATCTGATTTCCCACCTACATCTGGACCCAGCTGTAACGTACCTGCCTTGAGGAGCATGACATGGTTGGGAAGCATACTCACTGGCACTGAGGTCCTGGAAGGTGGCAAATCAAATCCCCATGAGAAAAGATGCAGAGTAGATTTCAAAGGAATACTGATACTGTAGAGAGCACAAACTGTAAGCAGGGAATGTGGGAAGAAAAATGTTAAGAATTTGGTGAAATATATTATGCAGAGCAGCTGTGGAAAAAGAAAAATCCGTTGCAACAGGGCAAAAACACTGCATAAAATAGGAGATTCATTTTGAGAAAAAACGTCAGACCAACTTAAATTTAACTGCCCTCAAAATTTAACTACAAATCTATGAGGTTTATGAGTTCTGTTGGTAATGCCTTAACACTGACTTCTCTAATTTAGAGAAAAACAAAGGGACATGATATATGGAAAAAAATTGTGCTGATTGTCAATTTATAACTCACCATCACTAATACTTGCTATGATAAACATTTAAAATTTTCATTTTAAATTCTAATTTAGAAAGATCTGATCTTTTCACAATTTGTACTCATCAAGTCACATTAAGAAAAACTTAATAAATGGTTTGTTGTGGAACAAATTCTGAAAACAAAGAGGTTCCCATTCAACAACTAGTAAAAGTGACAAATATTATTTATAGTGATAGATATTATTGTACCATTCTTTATGTCCACCACTTTCTCTGAGTTCTACTTCTTTCTCTGAAGTCTTCAGTTTTACTATTAAACCTTAATTATTGTAGTCTGCTAAGGCTTACCCATGATTCCTATAATACAGTTTGAGGGCACTTCAAAAGGTTCATAGAATTAAGGACATTTAGAGACAGGTGTAGGCCTCACCTGGGTTCCATGTTCATGCCTGCATTGGACTCCTGGCTGCAGGTCTGGATTCCAGCTTCCCTCTAGTTACAGACCCTAGGCAGCAGTGGTGTTGACTCAAAGAGCTGGGCTCTTGCCATTCATGTGGGAGACCAAGACTGAGTTCACAGCTCCTGGATTTGGCTTCTGCCCCGTCAAGACATTCGGGAAGTGCATTAGTGATGACAGCACCTATGTTCTCCCCTTTTGCCATCCAAATAAATTTTTTAAAGTACATTTATTATAGTAACACATTTAAAAAATACATGTAGGTTTTTGATACTATGCATTTTCCATAAACTTCTGAATAACCCTCAAATGAACTGTAAAAGGAACCTAGTGCTAATGAAATTCCTGACATCTGATATAATTCTTGTCTTAGATACGTGTACCTTAGCAGAACTACTGAAATATGAAGTGCATAAACTTTAGAGGTAGCTCATGGACTAATCAGGACACTAATGTGTTAGCAAGCAGAAGTGTAATAATCAACTATTTGAGAAGTTCTGCTTGTTATCTGGGATTGTGGTAAGTATATTCAGCTGTAAATTAATGCCTTATGTACCACTGCAATTACTGTTGAGAATTAGAATTTAAATCACATAATTATATCATTGTAAAACTAATTATAAAATGATGAGTTCATTCTAATTTGCAGAATTCCAAACTTAGTTTGATTATGGCAAAGGATAAAGAACAAGATGGTAGGAAAGTACAGTATCATTACTATTTTTCTTCTTGTTATAAAACACCCAATAACTTTCCGACACTGTCATAAAATTTTATACCATAATATAATTTTTAAAATGAAAATTAGTGATTTTAAAATATTAAATGGTGTGGGGTCCCACAACAGGTATCCAAAGTAGCTCATGTGCTCAGCTACTCAAGTTCACACAAGTCAACAAGAATTAAGAAAAAAAAAAAGAAATTTATGAAGACAAGAATTTAATTCATCAATCTGTCATGTACTACATGATCATCTTCTCTGAAGGATACTTCAGCTCTAGTAATAAAATGTTTTTTTTTTTTTTTTTGCACTCAAAGTTTCAGTATGATTTCATTTCCCAAATAAAACCCAACACAGAGATAGGAGCAGCGGCCCATGCATGGAATTTATTGTGTGCTACTGTTTATAAAATATTCAAATAGTCCTGCACATGCATAATATTTCCAACTTAGACAGGAGACCATACAGGGTGCACTTTCTGGCAAACAAAACAATAGATGGTTCCGCTGCCTGGAGCTCTGAGTTGTATTCCAGGGCATGAGGGAAGCAGGCCACCAAAGAAAAGGGAAATATCAAATTACAGTGGCAATCAATACAGGTCAATAATTGTGAAAAATTAACACATGGTTCCATTTAGTTTAACCAAGCATTCTGTAACTATCAAAACTAAAATTTCAACATGCAGTCTTGACTTTTATGCTTCCACTAACATTTGAATGATTGAAAAGAACCGTTGTTTCTAGGCTGCATTGCTTAATCGAAAACACTTCCAGAACATTTAAAAATTTCCTTTGCATTATAACATAAAAATGATAGAAAGCCAGCAGTAAATCACCCTGGTGGCTATTTAAGCAACTTGAGTACTCACAATAAACTAAAATTTCTCATAACATCTAGGTAACCTATACATGTTGTACCTGTACATCATAGGTCTATATATTAAATATTTGCAAAATGAAAACATGCATACACAAAATACGTCAAGTTTTACAGACATGATTTGAATTAAAATTTACTTTGACAATGTACAAACTTCTTTTAAAGTACCTTAAATGAGTAATTCTGTAATTCTTTGCAATTTTGAAATTTAGAGGTTTTCCTCTTTAATCTCTGGGGTGTAAATCTCAAAAATCTGGGTGAAGAAGAATCTAAATTAGCTTTTGGATTTGTGTTCAAGTAAGAACAACCACCTAGAAATAGGTTGTGCATTCATAATTGGAAAATACCAAGACTATGTTACAGAATTAGCCACATTTAAGAACTATAGACCTGAGGTCAGCATTTTTGTATAAACACCAACTGGTTTTCTCAGCATTTTGCCTACAATTCAAGATACAGCTAGTAATCTCAGAAATGTATTTTAAGACCATGCTAATTCATCCTTTAAAGACATTTCATGGAAAAAAAAAGTCCACATTAGCTCTTAAGATTGCATCTGAATTATGGTTGAAAAAGAAACTCTAATTCTACTGAGGGGGGAGGGGGAAAAAACCTCATTTGTAAACTTAAATGTGTGAACCACAAGCATAATGGAGGTATAGATGCCCTCCACTGGAAATTGCCCCAAGCCCCTTGCTCACTGCTCTCCTCCTTGGCAGCGATGACCCAATCTTATCAGATAGCAGACATGTCCCAGGGCCCTCAAGCCTCCATCCAGGAAGGGGGCTGGGGTCTCAAAAGCACAATGGTTTTTTCCAGAGACTGTGACATTTACAGTCAGCTTGGCCGACCCCTCCAGCTCCTCGGGTGATCTGTCCATTTGGGGCCCGAGATGTGAGAGTCCCTGGGAAGCTGTTGGTCACTGGGCACTATGGTTGCCAGTCCCGTGGTTCTCAGTGGCGTGTGCGGTGTTCAGAGAATTGAAACCATCTTGCTGTACAGCATCTTTCCGAGGTGGCATTCTCTCATTGATCCTATCCAAACCCTTTGCCTCTTCAAAACTGCAGATTCTATGTGGTGGAGAGAATCCTCGTATTGCTTAACAAAATGCAAATTTGATAAGTCAGTAATAGAGAAATGTTTCTGAGATTTCAAAAACATAATTAATGATTTTTAAGAAGAGAGAAATTAGCTGTAAATAGGAACACTTAAATCTTACTTCCCCTTAAAATGTGAAATGTTAAAACCTAAATATAAATATGATAACTTCATAAATGACAAGTGTTAACATAGTCTTAGAAAATATACCCATAAAAATAAAAACTTCTCTGCTCATAAAATTATTTTTTAGGCAATGGTCTCAGGGTATTTCTGTAGCAGTTTTCTCCTACCTCAGACCCTAACATCAACAGTGATTACCACAGTAAGGGAACAAGAGCAGGGGCAAGTGAGGAGGCTAAGCAAGGTTAATCCTCAACATACAAATCTGTACAAAGATCATGGGAGGAGAAAAGAGGTAAAGGTTAAGTTAAAAATTTAGCAGATCAGAACTATCTTGGAGGTCAAAGTATTATCACTCCATCACCATCAATATGAAAAGAAAAAGGTGGGAAATGCCTCCAGGAGTCAGATTTGCGTTTGACTAATAACAAAATGCAGCATATATATTTTAAAAGGAATCTTCCTTAGCTCACTGCTCATTTATTGCAAATTCTTTTGGAAACCCAAATCAAAACAAATGGCAACCGCTCACATTTTGCTAGGGATTCCATTACCTTCATCTGGAATGATATAGCCCCCATTATTAAAATTTTATCAGAAAAGATTTCCACACTAATTATAATGTGATTCCTTTATAGATATATTCTCTGGGACTTAGTCTGTGTAAGTAAACCAAATGACTGGGGCAGCAAAACATTAAGTAGAATGTCATGTCTAGCTAACACATGATATCTATGAATATAATCTTACAGCAAACTACAGCCAAAATGCTAATGGAAAAAAATTCATACCAACATTACAGAAAATGGGAAAAAGTAAATTCACAGCTGAATCTAGAAGGGGCTTCATTCAGGGGTTAAGAAAAAATCTTAGTAGTACAGAATCACGCAAAAAGAGGGAAGAGATCTCTATTTACAGGGTCAGTTTAATTATTTCCATTAAAACAGGCAACTTCAAATGCTACAATATATAATGCAGAGCATGCTATACTGTCTGGAAATCAGAATCTTTCAATTCTGGTTGCATGTTATACCACAAAAGGCAGTAAGTCAGATTATCACTATAGAAATCAGCCCTTGTGATTTTATTTATTTGCAGGAATGTGACTGCTAAACTTGGTGAGTCAGGGAGTATGATTCATTTTGGACTTCGTAAGCTAGGAGGAAGACACACCCACGGACACTCTTGGATGCCCACCCACACACCACAGATCTCTGGCCAGCGCAAAGACTCTCATCGTACCTTTTTCAGCCTCAATAGCCTCAACTGTGGCTGTACAGAAGTGAGCAGAGGCATGCAAAATGAATGAGAGAGATGAGAAGGGTCACATTGTACAGCAGAAAAGGCAATGATCACTTAAAATAATACAGTATCCCACACTATATCATCATTTACAATTTAACAAAAATAGCTCCCATATTAGAAAGTCCCGTCCAATCCCCCAATTTCTGACACAGCAGTTTACACACAGCACTATGACATCACTCAGAGCACAGAAAACAAAGACCTACTATAAACATCAGACATCTCAGCACCCATGCAAATTTACTCTAGTATCAATTACTTCTCTTGAATTCAATATCTTGATGGCCTTAGAATTCTCCATTGTGTTTATCATATTCATCACAATCACAAGAAAATTCCCTGGTGTAAGATCATGATAGAATTGTAGCAGAAAAGCAAACAGGAGAGTTTCCTCTCATGCCTTAACAAAAACAGTACTCATTACCAGTTGGTTCTCAAAGACATAAACTGGAAGGGACCAGTAATGTTTTATTTCTAATTCCAAAGGCAAAATGTAAGCTGCAAAAGCTGGGATGGCTACGGTGAAGTTTAAGGAGCCATAAACTTCATGAATTTCTCTAAGTAGGACAGTTCCTGAACTCCTATCTTTGTGGGGAACCTAAAAAGAGCACTTTTTTTTTTAACCAGGAACTTCCTTTCTTTTCTAATAATTACATTCCAAATATCTAAAGATTTCTAGCATCTAAAAATTCACTTATATTCATGGATTATCATAAACTCAAATTTATCTCAGGAACTAAGAACTTCTTAAAATCAGGAAAGACTGGGAATATTTTGAAATCACCTGCCATTCTGGGATGCAACTGAAGTCTCACAAGCAATAACTCCTCATTATTTCATGATAAGATAAAGACAAGTCCTATTGTAAATCAGAACCATGTTAGTAGAATACCTTGTACTGTCCCACTTAGAGACAACCAGGCACAGCTTGTTGTCAAAGACGGTTTCCCCCTCTTTTCTGGGTTTGAGCTCTTTAAAAAGCTCCTACTGAGCACCAGGATCTAAGACTGACAGAGATGCTACCTCACAGTGCTGCTGCTTGCCCATCTGCCTCAAAGTGCACACACTCTGAACACTGGTAACTATGTTCTGTCCTTTCTCCCCTGCTGCTTCTGCAAAAAGGCCAAGTAGAATAATTACTC